TCCATACTGCCCGATCTTTTTCTTGAGGCTGTACTTATATTTCATATGTCTTTTATTCTTGTTTATGTAAAGCACTTACAATTTCCATTGTGTATGAAACGGGCCATATACAGTAAATAACCTTGCCTTTCCTTCCCCTATGTGGTGCAGGATTGATCCAGACGCGAGCCTGTCCCCCAGACGTCCTTCAGTCTGTGTGTGTGTCTGGAGTCGGGGCTGTTTTCATGTTTGCTCCAGAATGCCTCCAGTGCAGAGTCAGCCTGCAGGCAGAAGAGGACAGAAGCGCACTCATCTTCATCTGCTGCTCCTCTTCCTCAGCGCGGCACAAACCCATGCATACATTCAGATCCCACACGACTGTGAGTAAAACACCACGCACACTCATTCCACATGCCTCCGACTAAACGTGTGGTTTCTGTTGCTGAACGCCGTCTCATGCACTAAACACAGCTTTGCAAGTCATTTCCACAAACAAATCATCATTCATCAGTTACTAAATACTAACATGAACAGATGAAGTCAAAATTATTAGCCCTTATTTTGCAAATGCTGTTTCTCATATTGAGGAATTGTTCTCAGTGTTTCCTCTAATGTTTGTTCTTCTGGAGAAAGTCTTATTAGTTTTATTTGAGCTAGAATAAAAGCAGTGTTTAATAGTGTTAAAGTCATGTTAAGGTCAATATTATTCACCCCTTCAGCAATATTAGTGTTGGATTGTCTCCAGAACAAACCACTGTTATACAATGACTTGCCTAATTACCCTAACTTTACCCTAATTACCCTAGTGAAGCCTTTACTCCTGTGTTTAAACTGTTGATGTCGACGGTACACTTTTCTATTGTTATCCAGTGTAAACACACTAGACGGACGTGCATAAGGAGTTTATAAGTAGTTAAGAATGGATTAATGATGATGAGCCCCTCTAAGTAAAGTCATGATATAATCATACACAAACATATCATGAGTTCATGATAAAATTAAGCATAAAATAATGCTGTTATTAAAACTTTTTTTAAGTTTAGTGGCGAATTTGTACGAGTTCAGTCGTACGAAATTGTACGATTTTAAAAAGAAGGCGTGGCACCTAACCCCACCCCTAAACCCAACCATCATTGGGGGATGAGCAAATCGTACTAAATTGTACGAATTAGATTATACGAATTGGCCACTAAATCAAAAGTTACGAGTTGCCGTGAGATTGTTAAACTCGTGTTAAAGTAAGTTCATGATTAGCATATGCTTCAACTCATTATTGGTCCATAATAATGTTTAGTTAACACATTAACACATCATTATTCATGTACTGTTATTGTAAAGTGTAACCTAAGACCTTTTAATAGCACAAAAAGAAACCCCCGTTTGTGATATCAAGCATCAGAACGGACTGAGCTAGATATAACTGGCAGCGAATGACAGCACAGGTTTTGACTTGCCGTGGATCAATAATGTGGATTGAATGCTGTATCAGATCTCTGTCTAACCCTGCTTTCCTTCTGTCTCTTTAATCTGCTTTCTCCTGCTGCTCTGCCAGACACATATAACAAGCGTAAGTACATCAGTGTCTCTGTTAATATCTTGACTACCAGAAGTTCACATCAGTCCTTTCTAGAGGACGATTGTAAACCTGAATATCTCCTATGTACTGCATGCTACAGAATTAACTCTTTCATTCTCTGAGGAGGACATTTAGGACTTTTAAATGCTAATAAATGTATAGGGATGGCGCAAAGAGCTTAGAATGACAAAGAGTCGACACTCAATTGAACGTTCCATTGCAACAGCAGCGCCCAGCAGCAGCCCCGGATTCTGCCATTTCGGAGTGAAAGCGATCAGCTGTCCATTGAATCTCATTGCTGTCGCGATGGCAAGCAGCTGCTTTGTTTTTTATTTATTTATTTTAAAAGCGCATTAAAGCTGAGATACAACCTGAAAGACGACAATACAACACTTACCATCATAATCCTCAGCACTTCAATAGTTTATTTTACAGACTTATAATATGCTGTTGTTCTATTGGAGTTTTCATTTCTAAAATGGCCTCTGCGCCATCTAGTGGCTGTTTCCCAATTTACACTAGAGTGTCGCCTCTGGGTGATTCTATGCTCTTTGGATGGGGTCATTTGTCCACTAGGACAATTTTGTGGAAAGAAGAAAAATGTGTGGCTAATAATATCCATTTAATCAAATGCTGTTGTTTATTTTGAAGAACATTTTCATATTTTTTTTACTTAATGTAACACGATTAAAGCATATAAAAAGAAATGTCCCCCCTTAGTGGACATCTGTGGTTATTACAACCATCTTTTAAATGGCAATCACCAAGACTGACTTCCAGCTTCTAGAAAAGAAATCAATTAAGTTCCTCTAATTCAAATCGTTCCAACTCAAGTTGTACTAAATGCAAGATATCTCTGTTTCAACGAAGGGGAATTGCTTTTTTGAAATATCATCAGAAATAAGGGCTAAAATAGCCCAGAAAGAGCAAAATTTCAAAGATGCTCACAGTACACTAATAATAATGCGATAGTGTCAGTCATAATTCCAAAGTTGACTTTAGTATTTTCTTTGTAATTTCAATAATTTTAAGTATTTCAGGCCTGTGGCCAGCCTATTAAGTGTTTTTTTTTTTAAGTGGACCTTTTTGCAGTTATTCCAGGTTCAAATGCTGCATTTTAGTGACATAATTAAATAAAATACTTCTTACAATTTTGTCAAAATGCTTATCATAGTATTTTGTGTTTACAAAAATGTATATTTATTTAAAAATATAAGTTATTACAGTTTTATATATAATGTAATGAGATTAGAATTTTAGAAACATGAAAAATTGAATTCTAATTTATTATCATCCATTTTAAAACAAACAAACAAACAACAACAAACAATTGGGAATCTGTTAAAGCTTGTTTTAAATGAAAAACTAGTCTCTAGGCAAATACCAAACTGTCCAGCTCATTTCCTCAGTCTGAATTTGTCCACTTAAATAAAAAAAAAAACCTTCTTTTATTGGTTATTCTTCTTAAAGCCTTCATTCTGTTGGTTATTTTCAAAATTTATGATGGAATACTGTCAAAAATGGGACAATTGAGCTCATATAGGGGCCAAATCTGTCAGAAGAGGGGTGGCTCCAGAACTTCCCCTGGCTACGGGCTGAGTCCACAATATTTTTTTCCTCTAACAAATTTTTCTAGTATGCTCATTGCCTTTAAAGCAAGTGGAGAAATTAAAAATAAAAGCAATTGGAAAATATTTATTTGCAACAGACTTATTCTGAAAGCATAGCCCTTTATACATATATAATACTATTAAAAACACTGTCCGTTGGAGGAGGGTTGGGATATCGGTTGGTCAGTCAGTCAACAATGGCCTCTGGTGGATTTACACAAGAGCAGGCTTGAATAGCACTCGCGAAAACAAAAACTGCAAACAAAAAAATTTCTTTTAGGACGCATTTGGCGCACTCCAGAAATGTATGTAAGGGTTTGTAATCAGAATGAGCCCGAGTTGTTTATTTGCTTGGTAACCAGGAGGTTAAAGTAATAAATACTTTGCAAACGTTTTATGTACACCTATGAATAACAGTGGGACATTAGTATAAGACAAAATAAGGTTTGTGTGATATTTCTGTCTCTTCCCCCAGTAAAACAGGCTCCAGAGTTCACGACTCAGCCCGTGTCTCACACCGCTTTCTCCCTGGATGATGTTAATCTGGCCTGTGAAGCCAGCGGAGACCCATCGCCCAGGTCAGTCTTTAGCAGAGCTGCTTATTATCATTATTATTTAGATCATTACACTGCCAACAGCACAGAGCTTCAGCGAGTCTCAGGTATCAAAAAGACACCAATGGCCAAACTTCACCTGGAATCAATACTGGTAATGCACTGCATGTATTAAAGTTCTCTTTTCCTTCATAATATCTCCGACATACATGACAGCAGTGATGACTGGCTAGATAACTGGCTAAACGTATGTGATGTGAAAGAAAACCTCTCTGCATGTTCTAGTATATTCTCTCGCTACGTCTGAACAAGGGTGCCCAAACTCTATCCAGGAGGGCCGGTGTCCTGCATAGTTTAGTTCCAACACCAATCAGACAAAGCAGAACCAGCTAATCAAGCTCTTTCTAGGTATACTTGAAACTTCCAGGCAGGTGTGTTGAAGGAAGTTGGAGCTTAAATATGCAGTTTGAGTTTGGACACCCCTGATTTAGAGCCTGTGCGCCGGACTGCAGACAGTCCAACTGATTAGGTAAATCAAGGAAAAAACAGAAACATGTCAACAGTCTTGTGTCAAGCATTTGTACAGACTAACCTCCCATCGAGAATTTGTATAGTGTTAGTAGATTGTCAAGTAAGGGTACGTAGAACAAACTGACATGCAGAGTTACTTGTCATATAAGATGTCACCAAACTTTTCCCTCATCTTTAAAATGGACGTTATATTTTTCTCACTGACAGTTTTCGCTGGGTCAAAGATGGAAAGCAGTTTGGGGAGGTTCTGTCAGAGTCTGGAACTCTGACACCGCATCCAACAATGGACCTGCACTTCTATCAGGGCACATATCGCTGCTATGCTGCAAACGAGCTGGGAACCGCCGTCTCTAACCTGGTGCATCTGACCACAGAGCGTGAGTTTGTCCTCAAACACTGCGTCTCAGTTACTGTGTTTGGAATAATATTGTGCTCTTAATAACAGTTACAGTTTCAACAACACACAATTTGCTTTACTGTGCATTAAATGCAACATTATTCACAGGAAATGTGGATGACCTGCTAGGTCAGGTTTAAGTTTCAAGAGTTCCAGTCTATACATACGGTTTTTCTTAATGACCATACATTTCCATCCAAAACCAACAATTCAGATAGACCAGAAAGAGTTCATTGACTGCATTTAAATATTTAATTGTGTATCTTTAAATTTGTCAGGAAAACTAAAGCATAAAAGGTGTGAATGTATGTGTTTTGACATTACTTTGATCCTTACCTTTTTAATTCCTCTTAATTCCTCGACACAGTTCTTCAAACAGATAGCCATTTCAATTCTTCTGCTTTCTACCCCCTTTTTAACAATGGATTTACCAGCAGTTGCTCTGATAATTGTCTTGACAAATGAACTAATATGAAAGACTGAGCCTGTCATCACCCTGGAGCTGAAGCCCACAAGAGGTCTGACCTGAGTCTTCTACACGGTTCGACACTGTGGGCGTTTCATGGAGTCTTAGGGCTTGGTTTGGAACCGCACTTACACTCCAGCCACCAAGAGTGAGTTGCTGATGTTGTTTGCAAATTTATTTGGAAAAAAGTGTTTGTACTAGGAAAATTATCTATTTCATCCATCCTCTGCTGGTTCCTACATTTTAGCTAGTTCCTCCAGCCCTGAATTTCTTTTATCTACAATAGTTCACCCACCCCCTGAATCTCCTGCATCTCCTCTGGTTTCTCCAGATCTGAATATCATTCATCTTCTCCGAATCCTCGAGACCTTTAACTCCTGCATCTCCCCTGTTTACTTCAGATGTGAATCTCCTACATTTTATCTGGTTTCTCCAGCCCTAACATCCTGCATCTCCTCTGGTTGCTCCAGACCTGAATCTTCTGCATCTCCTTTGGTTTAGACCTCAATATCCTGCATCTTCCCTGGTTGTTCCAGCTCTGAATCTCCTTCATCTCATCTAGTTCCTATAGACCTGAATCTCTTGCATCTCCTCTGGTTCATCCAGCCTTGAATCTCCTGCATCTCATCTGGTTTTTCTAGACCTGAATCTCCTTCATCACATCCAGTTCCTCTAGACCCAAGTCTCCTGTATCTCTTCCGATTCCCCTAGACCTGAATCTCCTGCATCTACTCTGGTTGTTCCAGCTCTGAATCTCCTTCATCTCATCTGGTTCCTCTTGACCTGAATCTCCTGCATCTCCTCTGGTTTCTCCAGACCTGAATCTCCTGTATCTTATCTGGATCCTCCAGACCCAAATCTCCTGCATCTCATCTGGTTCCCCCAGACCTGAATCTTCTTCATGTCCTCTGGTTCCTCTAGGCCTGAATCTCCTGCCTCTCCTCTGGTTTCTCTAGACCTGAATGTCCTGCAACTCATTTGGTTCCTCTAGACCGGAATCTCCTGCATATCCTCTAGTTCCCTTTGCCCTGAATCTCCTGTATATTATCTGGTTCCTCCAGCCCTGAATCTCCTCTGGTTCATCTAGACCTCAATATCCTGCATCTACTCTGTTTTTTTCCAGCTCTGAATATCCTTCATCTTCTCTGGTTTCTACAGCCCTGAATCTCCTGCATCTCATCTGGTTCCTCTAATGCTAAATCTCCTGCATCTCATCTTGTTCCTCCAGACCTGAATCTTCTTTATGTCCCCTGGTTCCTCTCTACCAGAATTGCTTGCATCTCCTTTGGTCCCTCCAGTTCTGAATCTACTGCATCTCTTCTGGTTTCTCTAGCTCTAAGTCTCCTGCATCTCCTCTGGCTCCTCTAGCCCTGAATCTCCTGCATCTCCTCTGGTTCCACTATACCTGAATCTCTTGCATCTCCTCTGGTTCTTCCAGCCCTGAATCTCCTGCACCTCTTCTGGTTCCTCTAGACCCGAATCCCCTGCATCTCCACTGGTTCCCCTAGACATGTATCTCCTGCATCTCTTCTGGTCCTCTAACCCTGAATCTGCTGCATCTCTTCTGGTTCCTCTAGACCAGAGTCTTCTGCAAAATAAACATTGGTCTCTGTAGTTTGATTAGTGACAGATTCCTGTACTTAATTTTTTGCTGACGTTGTGACATGACCTGCTGCACTAATCTAAACACTAATACATGAGTGAATAGTGAAAAGACTGTATGCATTTCATTGAAACAAAGGGCTGTACATGTGTTTTGTTTAGATGTGCTTCTCCATTTAAACGATGGAAATGGTAAAAGCATTGACAAAGTCTGTCAGGATGTGAGCACTAGATTATCTCTGTCAAACCCAGTGCAGTATAAAACAATGTGAACTATCAATAGCAGTCATGCACACTCTTTCTTTGGAGTTAGCTCAAGACAACAAAAAGATAAACCAACCGAGTGTATTAACGTCCTTATAGCATCATGTCTTATAGTAACATTTGCGTGACAATGCAATTTTGCACAATGATGCAAGGATGCTGTTGTTGTCTGATTGTGTTGCCTTGACCATCATAATTTACAAACTGTTGTAGTCGTGATGCTGGATTGTGATGATGAGCTGAGCTGAATAATCAGCTGACACTGTATTAACAGATTGTTCTGGTCGGTATAAAAGACAGTTGTGCTTATTCCTTTTTACAGCCGTCCCAAGCTTGGCCAAAGTGAAGAAGCAAAAACGAAGAGCGTATGAGGTGGGGGAAAGTGCAGTCCTCCGCTGTAACCCTCCCAAGAGTTCTGTCACCCCGAAAATACATTGGATGGACATGCGTAAATCCTCTGTTCAATCTAAATCACAATTATCCCACACAACATTAGAACTTGTATAACTGAATGCTTGTCCTCTCTCTCTCCCTCAGAGTTTCACCACATTCCTCTGAATGAGCGAGTGACCATAAGCCGGGATGGAAATCTATATTTTGCCAATCTTATAGCCAACGACAGCAGAGACGACTACACCTGTAATGCGCACTACATCAACGCCAGCATCATCCTGCCTAAAGAGCCCATGTCCATCTACGTCACTCCCTGTGTGTAACTTTCTCAACTGTATTTGTGTAATTAGACTCAGAAATGTAAAGTAAAATGGCTTTTCAGGAATATTTTTAATGCTGTAAAATGATGACACAAAAAAAGCAATTAATGGACAAAGTTGTTTGTGTGCAGCCTCACATCTTTTACCCACTACACAAGAATGACTGGATATATTTAGTGCGAAAAGGTATAGGCTAGTATTTCAAAAACTTTCTTCATTATAATTCAGCAGAAAAGCAATGTGGAGGACTCAGAATGGTTTCATTAACACTCTTCAAGAGTAATCATCTCTGCTATTAAAATTTAAGTTGTGAGTGCCACCTATCAGAATTGACAAATGCCTTGTTGATGAGGCCAGAGGAGAATGGCCAGACTGGTTCCAGCTGATAGAAAGGCAACAGTAACTCAAATAAGCACTCGTTACAACCGAGCTCTGCAGAAGAGCATCTCTGAACACACAACACGGCCAACCTTGAGGCGGATGGGCTACAGCAGCAGAAGAGCACACCGGGTGCCGCTCCTGTCAGCTAAGAACAGGAAACTGAGGCTACAATTCACACAGACTCACCAAAACTGGACAATAGAAGATTGGAGAAACGTTGCTGCTCTGATGAGTCTCCATTTCTGCTGACACATTCGGATGCTCGGCTCACAATTTGGCCTCAACAACATGAAAGCATGGATCCATCCTGAAAATGACTCTTGTGTACATTTGTTTATGTTTTTATGCAGTAGTAATGGGGATTCATTTGTGTTCCTCTAATATGTTTTTTTACAGCAAACTCTGTGGTGAAGAATCGACGGGCGAAGCTGCACCACCCAGCCGGAGCCCGCAGCTCATACCTGGTGCTGAGGGGTCAAACACTGACCCTGGAGTGTATCCCAGAAGGCCTGTAAGTGTGTCTTATGTACAAACCAGAATATCTGCACACACTATTGTGTAGTTTACCTGTGATATATATGTAATTACATGCATGCATGATCGCTATTTAAAATAAATAACTTGAGCGTGCTAAAGACATGTGATTGGCTCCTAAAGCAGTCAAGGGTGTTGGCAGGGCAAGTCTATGGTTGTATGGAGTGTATGTTGGGGACATCTTGCAGAATTAAGAAACAACCCACAGACACATTAAAAGTAGTCCGATCCTACGGGAAACCCACAGACTGTTACAGATTGCTTTAGCACCACCTGCTGGCCGGTGTTATGATGTATTGCGTTTAAATTAATCATTTGATATCATGCACTTACTGTGTACATACATGTTTTTAACATGATACCCACATAGATACCCACATAGCAAAATATCTCTGGCCCACACAATCAGCTTTTGCTTGGCCCACATGCTACAGTGAATTACGGTACATGACTGGACAAAGTCTGGCTTCCGGGCTAAGCCTCTGGGCCAAGCCTCAGCCAAGTTAATAACCTGAGCCTGAACTGGGACAGATATGTTGGTGTGGCACGACTGCAATTAAATTTATAAACTCATGAATCATTGCCCTTTAGGCTTGCTATGGCCGTGCTTTTTCTCGAAGCGACCTGGTTGGTAGAATTTATTTATTTGAGAATGTATTTTAAAATGGGGGGTCCATACTTATGGGGCCCATATGCTTTAATAACATCTGGGCCAAATAGCACATTTTACTTCTGGCCCAAGTATTGTGTGCCACCTTAAAGATGGTGCTAAACCAGGGCTATGTTTGGCCCACATGCTGTATGCCAGTGTCGGATAGCTGCCCGCTGTGCCAGATTTATGCCAAATCTGGGCCAGAATTCTTTGCTACCCAAGTGCATTTATGTTCTGCTTACTATAATTACAGGGATATACATCTTAACCCAGGTGTGTCCACACTTGGTCCTGGAGGGCCGGTGTCTTGGAGAGTTTAGCTCCAACCCTAATCAAACAAACCTGAACAAGCTAATCAAGCTCTTACTAGGTGTACTAGAAACTTCCAGGCAGGTGTGTTGAAGCAAGTTGGAGCTAAGATCAGCAGGACACCGGCCCTCCAGGACTGACTTTGGACACCCCTGGCTTAACCCAACCTCAGATCTGTCTATAACCTGACCCGTATCAGGAACACCAGAGGTGTTGTGCAACACATGAACACTGTAGGTACATTGTACTGACATAAGAAAATAAGCACACAGTAGTTAAGGCCACTTCATATAAAGTGGGACCAGATAATACACATGAACCTAGCAGAAGAGACAGAGACTTTTAGTTGCCAATTTGATCAATTTACAAACATAGAGCTTGTCAGATAGACTGAATGGAGGCTCAGATGTGTTTGCGTGACAGGAGAGAACAAACCTGTCTGTTTAAGGCAAATATTTTTGAGCTTACATCCAATGTGATGACCTAAAACGGCTTTGTGAACCTCAACAAGGTGTACCTGACTGTTTAATAATGGTTTTTGTAAACTGAAGTATCACTGCAGTAGTAATGATCATGCCATTGAAAAGGGGCTCAAATCTGTCTTGTTTTTGTGTGTGTGATTCAGGCCAACTCCAGAGGTGCACTGGGATAGAATAGACTCCGCTCTGTCTCCAAACCGCACCAAGAAGCTGTACAACAACCGCTGGCTGCAGATAGACAATGTGCTGGAGTCTGATGATGGAGAGTACGTCTGCACTGCCAGAAACAGCGAGAACTCCGTCAAACACCACTACACTGTCACAGTAGAGGGTGAGACACACACTGAATCCACTATCTATAAATAAATGATGCATAACTGCCTAAAGCAAACCCTGTTTTTTTTCACCAAGATGAGAGTTGCATGGCTATTCCTACATTAATAGGCTTTCACTAACCTACGCTTTAATTAGTGGCATGCTACAACTGATAACATGTTATTTTGATTGTTTGTAGCACAAAGACAATGACTATATACTTCTCTCTGATATCCTTATAGCTTTTTCCACGTAGTTTCTGATGAATATGATATCTCAGGTTCATGTAAAATTACTTCAGTACTATGAAATTCCAGTGGCAAAAATGATAAATACACTGAATTTGCACACGTCATCATAATCCCCTGCCGCTTGCTTTGTTGCCTGTACTGTGGTCAATGCATTAATAGCACCATTGATTAACATTGGACATTTTATGGGGACTTTATGATTCTAAATTATTGTTAATTTAGTGTTTGAATGATTCTCTAGCGTAATGTCTAAAGTGATGACAGAACAGCTGATTTTGCTCACAGTTTAAGGCTGAACAGCATGAAATGCCATCAGTCTACAGAGATTTCCCAGTGTTTCTCTGCTGTAATCGGGAGATCACAATAATTAACCCTGAAAAAGCCAAAGCAAAGCAAACACTAGCAGATTACTGTGGTATAAATGTAGCACTAAAACATACACAAGAGAGAGATCGACTTAGAAAGTCTATATTGTTTCTATAATGATTTGATCAGCTGTAGTTTAAAATTACGCTGAGTTTTTCTCCTCTAAGGACTGATTATGCAGTCTGTCACCATCTTGTGGCCATACGTCAACCGTCAATTTATTTGCTCAGTATGACAATCTGATGGTCCCCGACTTGCTGAATCTCTGAAATTATAAATATTTTAATTAAAATAGGCTCTATCTTTATAAATGAACTGCATAGCTGCAAACTAAACAACTACGTTCTCGACTAAAAAAGCCTCAAAAGTACATGATGTTGTCCAACAGCTGCATTATATATCCAGTTTGTTTGTGTTGTTTGCAGCTGCTCCATACTGGACCCGGAGGCCTGAAGAGCATCTGTATGCCCCGGGAGAGACGGTCAGACTGGACTGTCAGGCCGACGGTATCCCTGCCCCGAACATCACATGGAGCATCAATGGAGTTCCTGTTTCAGGTCAACATCTAAAGCATTCTGCATTCACAATCACTGATCTGCTTACTTGTCTTACTAATCAGAGCTGTGATTCCCAAACAACAACGTAACTCAAGGATGAACTAATGTGGTAGATGCCTCATTCTGGAAATAAATGACGTAATGACGAGAGTTTCCCCAATTCTGTTGGAGATCTACAATCTCAACCACATTATTAAAGATATGAAACTTTCATGACTCCTTTAGATCAGTGATTCTCAACCATGTTCCTGAAGGACCACCAGCTCTGCTCATTTTCCATGTCTCCTTAACCCAGTGGTCACCAAACTTGCTTCAGGAGGGCCGGTGTCCTGCAGATTTTAGCTCCAACCCTAATCAAACCCACCTGAACAAGCTAATCAAGGTATTACTAGGTGTACTTGAAACACCCAGGCAGGTGTGTTGGGGCAAGTTGGACCTAAACCCTGCAGGGACTCAACCCTCCAGGACCGAGATTGGTGACCCCTGCTTTAACTAAACACGCCTGATTCAGATTCAGCAGAGACTGAAAGACCTGTAATGGGTGTGACAGACAAAGGAGACATCCAAAACATGCAATGTCGGTGGTCCTCCAGGAACGTGGTTGAGAAACACTGCTTTAGATCATCCACAACAAATGATTTTTTAAAATTACTTTCTGCAATTTTTTTCACACACAATATTGTTTGCATATAAATATGTATGTTACACTTTCAAGAAGGAGACAAAGTCCGTTCTTGTAGCAACACATTTATTTCAATTGAAACACACAGGAAAACACTGTTTTTTTAAGAAGCATGCAGCTAACCATACACTGACTACTGCTTCTTTGTGCTATGGGCACCTAAGTCAAAAATAATAACCTGTCATATTGTGCAGATGTTTAGCCAATACATGACACAGACATATTAGTATGTAAACCACACTCAAATAGGATCCAAATCAATTTACAATCAACATCACAAAATACACCTAAATGTGTATATAGACGTGAGGTTGGTTGTATATTGGGATATTCAGACATTCTCCTTAATAATATAATGCCAGAAAAGTATTGTAAATAGTGAAATCATATTAGCAGCAAATGACTATCAAAGTACAGCATTGTTCACAGTCAATTAGACAGTGTTAATGTTGTTTACAAGTCATACTCGCATGCTAATTCAGATCCAATATTCAGAGTAACATGCTAAACAATATAGAGACTGCTAAATGAAACCAATATAAAACCAACTTTACCTCTATAAATTGTATTGTGATCACTTTCTCACAGCATAAAATAAGGCATAAACAAATTATACACATTTGTGCATCACAATCTCCTTCAACTTGTATACAAATGAATAAAACAATACCTATAAACAACCACAAAATAACTATTTATCACATTTCCCCATAACTCCGTCATACATAACGGTTTAATGCTTCATCATTAATCTCTATGAAGTGTAATTTTACTTAATGAACTATATTTGAACTGAATTGTAATGCAAAATTACAAAATTAAAAAATAAAAATATTTTACTGCTAAATCCAACTGAGTTTATTCTTAACTGTATTTTCTGAATGTCTCTTTTAATGATAGAGGTAAAGTTGGTTTTATATTGGCACATTGGTTCATTTAGCAGTCTCTATATTGTTTAGCATGTTACTCTGAATATTGGATCTGAATTAGCATGCGAGTATGACTTGTAAACAACATTAACACTGTCTAATTGACTGTGAACAATGCTGTACTTTGATAGTCATTTACTGCTAATATGATTTCACTATTTACAATACTTTTCTGACATTATATTATTAAGGAGAATGTCTGAATATCCCAATATAAAACCAACCTCACCTCTATCTTTCAATGTAATGGCTAACAGTTAACGCTAAACAAGGAAATCACACGTTTAAACTCACTGTACACAACCATATTAATAAAAATCACTAAAAGTTTAATCATTGTGTCTCATTTTCACAGAGTATTAGTTATATGCATGTTTATATTCACTTCCCTCATGGAAACCTATTAGTTTTTAACACTTCCGCCACTTTGGCACCTATAAATCACGGTTAAACTCAACTAATATAAACTCCCAGGACATAAATTCATCTCTAGACAAACAATATGTGTTTCAGTGTACTGAAATATGTGTTTCAGTGTGTTCAGTGTAAATTACAGTAAATAATATTATCTTACCTGTTGAAACACACAGGAAAACACAGTTTGTTTAAGGAGCACGCTAGGTGTGTCTGCCATGCAGCTAACCATTCGACTACTGCTTCTTTGTGATTCAGTTACCGACACATAGAGAGAAACGTGGTTGCCCCCTCCTGGTGAACCCGAGTTTTACAGGGATAAATATCACACTACTTCTGTAATACACATGCATTGTTATAGAAGACTACATTATTCCCGAATTAGATTAAATTAAATGAACAAAAAAAAGATGGGGGGTTGACAGTTTCTATTAGTTAGGGCTACATATACATAATAACAAATAAGTCCACATACAACCTCAGAATTTTTACAAAATTGTGTACAGAAATAGCAAAAAATGTTTATAGATTCTGTCTGGCCCTACACATGAGTTAAGATAATTGTACACCTCTTAACGTGGAGAGCCTGTAAAGTCTAATGTTTTCATTGGTGTGTGTGTGCTGTAGGCACGGATGTGGACCCGAGACGGCGTGTGAGTTCTGGGAAACTGATCCTGTCCAATGTGGAGTTCAGCGATACGGCAGTGTATCAGTGCGAGGCTGTCAACAAACACGGAAGCATCCTGATCAACACACACGTGCATGTTGTTGGTGAGCATTAATAGTGTAAAACACATATTATTTACATGGTTCCTATTCTGCACAGGCTCATAGGGAACATGTGCCCAGGGCTACATATTTGAGAACTGCAAAATATATACCCGGGGCTATGTATGGCTGCATTTTGTGTGTAAAGTGTACGACAACCTTCTCTTCCTTTTTTGCTAAAGCTTTGACGGATTGCCTCCGTATGGACCGCTTTTCTGGCGTAACCAGTTTGCTTAGTTTTCCATGTATGGGATTGGACTTGGGATGTGGATCGGAGTGGACTTGGGTTCAAAACCAACAAAGCACACTTCCAGAAACCAAGTAAAATGAAACCAAAAAATAAATAAGGCGATCCTTGGCTCAGTTGGCGTTTCTGTGTGGAGTTTGCATGTTCTCCCTGCCTTCGCGTGGGTTTCCTCCGAGTGCTCCGGTTTCCCCCACAGTCCAAACACATGCGGTACAGGTGAATTGGGTTAGCTAAATTGTCCGTAGTGTATGAGTGTGTGTGTGGATGTTTCCCAGAGGTGGGTTGCGGCTGGAAGGGCATCCGCTGCGTAAAAGCTTGCTTTATAAGTTGGCGGTTCATTCCGCTGTGGTCACCCTAGATTCATTTCCAAACAAAATGCAACGTCCCCCGACATTGAGGTACAGCGTCAATCTGCCGTCATGTTAACGTCCTGGCCCTGCAGGGAAAACTGACTTTCGTAAGATGCTGTTTTACAGACTGACCTTTGCCTTCTCTTTGGATTGTTTTGTTTGTCTGTGTACGTGTATTATGTCTTGTCTCTTTGTAAGGAGCATGTAACGTGTTGTTATGCAAGAACATTTTCAGATCTAAGTCTGACAATAAAGTACTGTATTGCAGAACTGCCAGCTCAGATCCTGACCCCAGATGAGCGCCTCTATCAGGCCACTGCAGGACAGACTGTAATGTTGGACTGCAGAACGTTCGGGTCGCCGCTGCCCAAAATACACTGGTGAGCGTGTACTTTGTTTTGCATTGTCATCATGCATTTTCTGCACACACCTACGACTCAATACTGTAGAAGTAAAAATGTGTGTAATCTTTGTAGCTTTCAACCAAAGTGCACTTCAGCTTTTTTTTTAAGTAATTGCTCTTAATGCATCTTCTTAAATTCTTGCTGTAGAGTAAAGTGCATGCAATGGATTTAGAACCATGGTGATCTTAAAGGTTTATTTGGGGGAAATGGGATAAGTAAAGCTTAATTGTGTAGAGCAACATCAATGGATGTTTTGTTGTCCTGTGTGTATAATCAAACGGGATTGATTGTTTGCAGGGAGATTCTAGACTCTATTCCAGCTCTGTCCAATGCTAAAATATCTCAGATGACCAACGGAAGTCTTAAGATCAGTAATGTGAGTGAAGAAGACAGCAACAGATACACATGTTCAGTGAGCGAAACCAACAAGAGCATCAGTGCGGAGCTAGAGGTCCTGAGTAAGTGCCCACTACACTGTTTCATGCCATGGTAAAGCCACCCACATTCACCCATCAAACAGTCTGTCCAATTAATGACCAATAAAATACTATAATCCATTAATGACCAATAAAATACTATAATCCATTAATGACCGATAAAATATTTAACCCATTTAACCCCATACACCAGGGGTTCTTAAACTCGTTCCTGCAAAGTTTAGTTCAAACCCCAGTCAGACACACCCGGGCTAGCTAATCAAGCTCTTACTAGGCTTTCTAGAATCATCCGTGCAGGTGTATTAGGGCAAGTTGGCAAGATGTCCTTGCTGCAATCTGCAGCTTAATGACATAGGCGATCATCAACTACATAGTGGACCTTGTACCGCCCACCAAGGTAACGCTCATGCTACTGTGACGGTTTGGTTTCGGGTAGGGCAAGGTGTAGGAGATCACCAACTACGTAGTGAACCTTTTACCACCTACTAAGGCAGCACCCATGCTACTGTGATGGTTGGGTTTAGGGTAGGGGTAGGTGTAGGCAATCATCAACTACGTAGTGGACCTAGTACCTCCCACTAAGGTAACGCCCATGCAACTGTGACGGTTGAGTTTAGGGTAGGGCAAGGTGTAGGCGATCATCAACTACATAGTGGACCTAGTAGCGCCCACTAAGGTAACGCCCATGCTACTGTGATGGTTGGATTTAGGGTAGGGGGAGGTGTAGGCAATTATCAACTATGTAGTGGACCTTGTAACACCCACTAAGGTAACGCCCATGCTACTGTGATGGTTGGGTTTAGGGTAGGTGTAGGCGATCATCAACTACGTAGTGGACCTAGTACCTCCCACTAAGGTAACGCCCATGCATCTGTGACGGTTGAGTTTAGGGTAGGGCAAGGTGTAGGCGATCATCAACTACATAGTGGACCTAGTAGCGCCCACTAAGGTAACGCCCATGCTACTGTGATGGTTGGGTTTAGGGTAGGGCAAGGTGTAGGCAATTGTCAACTACATAGTGGACCTAGTACCGCCCACTAAGGTAATGCCCATGCTACTGTGATGGTTGGGTTTAGGGTAGGTGTAGGCGATCATCAACTACGTAGTGGACCTAGTACTGCCCACTATGGTAACGCCCATGCTGCTGTGATGGTTGGGTTTAGGGTAGGGCAAGGTGTAGGCAATCGTCAACTACATAGTGGACCTAGTACCGCCCACTAAGGTAATGCCCATGCTACTGTGACAGTTGAGTTTAGAGTAGGGCAAGGTGTAGACAATCATCAACTACATAGTGGATTTTGTACCAGCCACTAAGGTAGCGCCCATGCTACTGTGATGGTTGGGTTTAGGATAGGGGGAGGTGTAGGCAATCATTAACTACGTAGTGGACCAGGACAACTATGTCATCAAGCTGCGGGCTGCACAGTACAATACATTACACTATTAATAAAGAAGGTATAATAAGGGAAGCGCACGCCTACACACCATTGCCCCAAGATCAACCCCTGACCCACATGCTGTCTCTGATATGGTCGTGCATTGATCATTGATTGTCTTTCCATGGTGTTGTCTGCAGACAGAACAAAGATTGTTGGACCTCCCCAAAATCTCCATGTTATACGTGGAAGTGATGCGATTTTACACTGCAAATACACAGTGGACCACAACTTAAAATCCCCCACGGTTCAGTGGAAAAAGGATGGACACAAGATCACAGCATCTACAAGCAATGACAAGTAACACAGCTCTTCTTATCTTTATGTCATACAGTTTGGATGATCCTCTATTTATCACTAATTGGTCAAAACAATCTTATAAATACATGTTAATATCAGGTATTGCAAAGCCCAAGAAATGCACAATGTTTTCTAGAGATATGGAGTGATTAAGAAAGTGTCTGGTGCATATGGAGAGAAGACTATTTCTACAGGTGGTTCATTAAACCCACTCACCTGGCATATGCTGGTTTGGTTGCAGATACCATGAAATCGAAGGCTCTCTGAAGGTCTGGGATGTTCAGATGGAGGATATGGGCATCTACAGCTGTGAGGTCAGCACTACACTGGACTCAGACACTGCCAGCGGATACATCACTGTTCAGGGTAAGTCTGTCAACATCACATACGTCTAAACAGACACAATCTTACACTTCGTAAAGACGTTAAAGTGTCGGACGCTCTGCAGATAAACCTGATCCTCCTCAATCTCTGAAGCTGTCTGAAAAGATGGAGCGTAGCGTGACCATCTCCTGGATGCCGAGCGTCGAAAACAACAGTCCTGTTACGGGTAAGTGCAGCCCTGTCCTCTTTCATTATATTTGGGGATGAGGATGATAATGTTTTCGGTTTTTCAGACACACACTGCCTGTTGGTCCTCAACCGAGCTGAGAGGTTCTGAACAGAGGTGGTTTTATAATGTGCTTTTATACAGGGTATAATTTGTTCTAATCTGACTTGATGAAAACAGTCTGCAGAAACATTTTGATTGACATTCTCCCTTTGTACGTGTCATTAGAGGGGGAAAGCCCCGCCCACTAGTGCCCATTACTTCATTTGCATAAACAGCAGTCCTGAGTGAGAATATGGCTTGGGGTGCAAGAGTTCCTGGGTTCAAATCCCGGACGAGCCCCCAATTTCTGCTATGATCTCTAGGGTTTGGCCGTTAAAGAAAAACAGTGGGCGTGGCTTGTTTTTTCTACTGCGAGCTGATTGGATGTAGTAAAGTAGGTGTTTTATTCAGAAAGATGGGGAAAAGGGTTTGGGGAGAGTTATTACCGCCTAACAGACTCCTCCTGCTCACCAATTGTTTGATTTCAAAACTGACTGCTGGAGGGGCGTGGTTAAACGTGTTAGCCCCACCCAATACCTCAGACATGCCTAATCTGAGAATTGAACTGAAACAGAAATTGAAATTACAGGAGCAAACTATTGTTTTTGTCCTAATGACATGCACAGATGAACTGTTCAGCACAAAACTAGCAATGTGAGATAACAATTTTACTATGGCTTGTTTTGATTTCATGTGTACTTTAAACACTTTATTTCTGTTGTCCTGCAGAGTATGTGATTGAGATGAACGAGGGGGAGACTCCAGACGAGGGTCAATGGCAGAAATACAGGAGTGTTTCTCAGGACATCCGACAGCTGGAGATCCACCTGCAGCCCTACAGCAAATACCACTTCCAGATCCGGGCAGTGAACAGCATAGGAACCAGTGCTCCCAGCGAGTCCTCGCTCTCCTACAGCACTCCAGCAGCCAGTAAGATGGGTTTTACAACCTTTTCTGTTTTTTTGGCAGAATATACCATTTAATTTAAGGGATTTTTAAACTTATAGGTAAAAAATCTTACTTACTAACTTACTTACAGACTTACTTACTGACTTACCTACCTACCTACCTACGTACCTACCTAACTACCTACCTATGTACTTACTTACTGACTTACCTACCTACGTATCTACCTACCTAAGTACGTACTTACTTACAGACTTACCGACCTACCTACCTATCTACATACTTACTTACTGACTTACCTACCTACGTACCTACCTACCCACCTACCTACGTACCTACCTATGTACCAACTTACCTACCTACCTACGTACTTACTTACTGACTTACCTACCTACGTATCTACCTACCTAAGTACATACTTACTTACTGACTTACCGACCTACCTACGTACTTACCTACTGACGTACTTACATACTTACTTACTAACTGACTTACCGACCTACCTACCTACCTACCTACCTACGTACGTACGTACTTACCTACTGACTTACTTACTTACTAAATCAGCGACCTTCTTGCTGTGAGGTGACAGCGATACCCACTGCGCTACCGTGTCACCCCCAAAAAACACACATATAAACACATTTATTAAATATGTCACGTTCATTCATTACAATGGCTTGTATTCCCCTACGGCAACAGTAGTTTGAGGATATGCCGAGCAGGTCTATCAAGTGAAGAAAACCTTCCATTTCTAAGTATTTTTGTTTCACTTATTAACATTCTCTGTTGTGCACAGAACCGGACACGAACCCAGAGAATGTGATGACCCTGTCCACTGACCCAAAGAGTATGATCATCTCATGGCAGGTGATTATGAGTGCTTTTTACTCCCCTAAAGAGAAACACATTAAAGAGTAACGGTCTTCAACATAATCTCTTCTGTATTTCTGCATTATAGGAGATGGATCGGCGTCAGTTTAACGGGCCGGGGTTCCAGTATAAGGTGTTCTGGCGTCGAGCAGCAGACAGCGGTGCACACTGGACAGAGAGCAGCGTCTCCAATCCTCCACTGATGGTCAATAACACCGGAACATTCGTCTCCTTTGAGATTAAAGTTCAGGCCGTCAATGATCTTGGTGCTGCCCCAGAACCGCTCACTGTGATCGGCTACTCCGGGGAAGACTGTACGTACTCTAACATCTACAATAGTTGATCATGATTATGATACACAGGGCAAATTTTCCAAAGCCAAGTTGCTTGGCTACTTTTCTACTAAGAATGGGAAAGAATATGGACCCTTTTCACATTTCTGGGTTTGTCAGTCGTCACAGATGGTAAACTAGCGTTGCAGTGAATGGGAGAGCACAACAAATCATTTATTACAATCCTATTTGCTGAAATAATAACAGAAAAACTCAATGATGGTGTTATCAAGACTTTCAGAAAGAGGAAAACAATAGTGTGAGACTGATAACACGAGTCTTGTGATAAGGGTCAGTTGTATCTGTAACACATTGCTCGAGTTAGTTACCCTGTGTCTCTCATTTATGCCATTGCTCCTCGGCAACATTGCTGAAGAGGTTGCCCTGTGTATCATTAGCATAAGTGTTTCAGGAGTCTTGCTGAGAGAGTAATTGCTCTTGAACTTTACAGTTCCTCTGGAGGCTCCGTCAGCGTTGTCTGTCACTGAGCTGCAAAAAACTTCTGTGATGGTGAGATGGAGTCCAGTCAGGCCGGAGTCTGTCCGGGGACACCTACTGGGATACAAGGTACAGGATCTTTAAATCATAGCTTACAGTCGGCACTTGTAACCATGGACTATAAACACGCCATAAGTGTTAAGGGTGTCACAATCCTCCAAATCCTCGATTCGATTACATTTTCGATTCTAAAGGCACGATTCGATTTTCGATTATGAATAGTTAATTAAGTAATGACCAATTAATTATTAGTAGCCTTAAACTACCTGACCTGCATGGTCTTTGTTTTACCCATAAACAAATCATACAGTAAATGAATAAAGGCAAGATACACACATAATTACCACCTGTCAATCACCTTTTCTGCGGGACTCGTGAATAGGCAGTGATCTGTGTCGTTATAATGGCGTCGGTAAAAAAGACACATAACCAACAGGAACCAGCCAACAGTATCTGAGGTGTTCGCTAAAATGACTGAGTACAAGTGAGTGAAAGATTGAAGCAGTCCTCTGACTGCCTGGACCTGCTGTCTCGAGCGCATGGCTGTGTGTGCGTCTGTGTCTGTGTGGTCACGTGATGTGCATTTTTAGAGGTAGTGAGGAAGGAGGGCTGCTCAGAAATGCTACACGCCACTGTGGATGTCAAATAGTTGTCGTGCTAAAATGCCATTAAATAAACAAAGACAGTGTAAACAGGGCCTGAGTGTGTATTTTTCGCGAGCGGATTTGCAACGGGGGCGGGCGGAGAATCGCGATGCCGGTGTTGTCTATCGGACGAACCCTAATACGTACATAGCAGAGCTTGCAAAACTGTGTTTTTTGTCGACAACATGAACGTTGTCAACATAAATCACTGGAAATCCAAAATACTTCCACACCGGCGACTTCATTGAAAGAGGAGAGGGTTTAAGCTCTGTCGACGGGTCTCCTGCTTCTGCAGTTTAACAAGCACTTCAACAAGCCTGTTTTTTCCCGCTTGGCAAGCCAAGCTGACGTGACATGGGGGCGTGGCAGCATCGACGATTCTATTTTTTGATTCGATAATCGAAATTGAGCATAAATTTCGATCGATTTCGATTAAAAATCGAAATCGTGACACCCCTAATAAGTGTCTATTTATGGAGATCCTCTGAAAGCTGAATTCATAGGCTTTCAACCCGATTTTCATCTCCAGACAAAATGCAGCGTCCCCACGATGTTGCAATACAACGTCAATCTGACGTGATGTTCCTGTGCCTGCTGCAGGGTCTCAGAATGCACAAGAAGCACTGCATTAAATTCCATCGTTCCCCGCCATGTCTTTACATCATGAAAATGACTTTACCACTCCACTTTCAATGGAGTTTCTGCGCTCTCCTGATGGCGCTTGTGTTTAAACCATCTTTCATCTCGTTTTACAACTAAATGAATGCTGAAGTCAATTCAACAGATTATTCATTACCTTACAACATTCATGCCGTGAAAGGAATCCTATGAAATTGAAAAAAGTCAAGTTTATCACTAGAGGAGAAACACTAGCTGAGCATATGTCATATAGTTTGCCTGCTTTGTGTTTTCAGATCTATTTGAGAATGAAGGGTCCCAGTGGGAGACTCCGGGCCGGGCGGTCTCCAGCAGTGGGTAATCCCACAGTGATAGAGGTCCCTGCAGACGCGGCAGAGAAGATCGTGAGCGACCTGCAGTATTACTCAGATTATACTCTGACCATCACTGCGTTCAACAGCAAAGGTGAAGGTCCACATTCAGAGGAGAGCAGCTTCAGCACTCCGGAGGGCGGTAAGGACTCGTCTCAGAGCATGTCAAACTTCTGTGTGTTCATTAATGCATGCGTGATGAACTCCTGCTGTCCTGCACGCAGCTCCCGGACCCGTGTTATTCCTGCCCTTCGACAGCCCGTCTGAGAGCGAGATCACCCTGCGCTGGGAAGCACCACACAAACCCAACGGGGAGATCAGAGGATACCTGCTGCAGTACCAGGAGGGTGAGGACACACACACACACACACACACACACACTGCAGCTGTGGGACAACAACACACCCCAACACTAACCCAACTGAGAGACTCAATTTAACTTAAATCCTCAAATCTATTTAGCATGCAAGTGGGGTTAGAGAAATAATCTAGCTTTTAGCTATCAAAGTGTTCACACTTGCGTTGATTTAGTTGTGGCAGATCATCCTTAGCCAAACCACAGGCTTTATTCTTCACTATAGTGGCTACCATGCAAATCTTGACATGACAGTACCCTCTTTGAGAGATTAATATGAATTATTTCATTGCAAACTGGATTCTGATTAGTCAGTCGCAACATTATAAGATCTGTTTTCCCAGATAACAACCGCTGAATAACACAGTAAATGCACAGCTAGTGTTTTTCCCCACTGATAATCTTCCGGTGAATGATTATTATGGCTATTTTTATTACAATATAATTCCTTTAACAGCATCGATGTTGTTATGTAATTAAAATATAATCAGTTAAATAGACTCAAGCATTCATTTAGTTGTTCAAGTGTTAACCGAGATGAAAGTGTAAATGCAAGCACCATCAGGATCAGCAGGCCAGCGCAGACTCTCCAATAAAAACCCTGGAGTGAAATAAATGTGCATATTTTAAAGACATGATGCTGAATAATGTCATTTAATGCAGTGCTTATTGTACATTTTAGGACCCACTTTATATCATATATCAATCAGGCAGTGAAGATCACTGAATTATGAAAGAAAACAGACCTTAAACGTTGTAATTTTGTAAAGGCATACAGTTCACCAGAAGTGTTGGAAATTAGAAGTCCTTCTTCATATATACCCTATTATGTGTTTAGTTGTGACTGGCAGTGAGAGCCCACAGCATGTGGAGTCCATCGATCTGCCGGCGGTGACGGAGTTCACACTGAAGAATCTGAATCCGGAGAGCCGCTACACCTTCCACCTCAGTGCCCGAAACAGTGCCGGCGATGGGGCTCCGGCCATACAGAGCGGCGCCACCCTGCTGGACGGAGGTACACTGCACATCTCTCATTCATTAGTCTGAGAACAAAAACAGATACACAGATGAAGCAGAGTTATTTAATATCCTGTGAGTTTTTTTCTTCTTATTCAAATATTTCCCAAATGATGTAATGATGTCAATATTATTCACCCCTTCAGCAATATTAGTGTTGGATAGTCTCCAGAACAAACCACTGTTATACAATGACTTGCCTAATTACCCTAACTTTACCCTAATTACCCTAGTGAAGCCTTTACATGTCACTTTAAGCTGAACACTAGTGTCTTGAAGAATATCTAGTCTAATATTATGTGCTGTCATCATAATTAAGAGAAAAGCCTCCTAATGAATCAGGAGTGTGAGTAGTTCTGAGTTCAACTGTATGTGTCTCCTCTGCAGAACCTCCATCTGTAATCAACATGACAGCTGGAGAAACCTCCGTCAACCTCAGCTGGGTTCCTGGAGACCGACATCGAAACGTTGGCTTTAGTTTCCGTTACCTGAAAAAAATAGGTAAGAGAAATATCTTTACCATCATACTATCAACTAACAGTAAACGAAGAGATGTTGATCACCGTCATCAAACATAAGCAGTAGCGGTGTTTCCATTGAAAGATGTGAATTAGATTTATGCGCAAGGCTGTAATATCACATAAAACTTCAGTGAATAAATCAGCATTTCCAGTCAGTGTTGAACAGAAGAGCATCACCTCCTCAGCTACTCTCCAGCACAGATATCACTGAGAGAAGTGGAGTCTGCGGCACTGTGGGGATTCTCCACTGTGCTGTTTGTTCTCCTTTAATAAATAAGCTGCGCCTCAGAAAACCAACATCAAACTAAATAATCGTGGTGAATGTGGTGGCTTTTGGAGGTGTGAGATGCTTTTTGGGAGCATGTGTAACCCCGCCGGTCTTGCGCCACCCAACCCGCTCTGAGCTGGTATCGAACCAGCGACCTTCCGCATGGGAGTCAGTTGCTCTAACAAGGAGGCTAAAGACCATGGCCTCTAGCGAAGGTCACTAGAGCAGCTTTAGAGGTCAGAGGAGTGAGGTTTACCTGCACAGCACTTACTAGCTGGCCTCCGCTACACGTGCACAGATGCTCAAGACAGTTCTGCAGCTAATAATATTATATTAATACTAATGTTTTCGCAGAGGGTGCTGAATGGGAAGAGTCGGAGAAGATCAACTCCACACAGGCCTTCTATCAGCTGCAGGGTCTGGATTCAGGCGTTATTTACCATCTGCAGGTCCTGTCCGGAAACACTTCTTATGACTGGGATTTCAAAACGATATACAGGCGAGGTACGCTCTCACGCTTATTTATTTACTGTTGTGCTTGTTGGTTATGAGCAACATGTTGTAAAAGTGCTTGTCCCTGTACTATTATGTTTAATGTTTCAGATCATCAAACATATTGGGTGAAGTTTGTTTATAAACTAATGTCGAGAGGATCACGTGCTTATGATTGCTTTCAGCTGGTCCCGCATTATTCAATTTATTATTCACCAATCAGACGATTCCTAAGCCACTATGAATACCCTGAGTTCCGTATCACAGCCATCTTCATTTTAAAGAACCCCCCTCCACCCCTACGCCTTCTCCTTTCCTAGATGGGTGGCACGGTGGCCCAGTGGTTAGCATTGTTTGTTGCCTTACAGCAAGAACGTCACTAGTTCTAGTCCTTACCAAGCCAGACGACGCTTCTGTGTTTACACGTTCTCCCCTTGCTCACCTGTGTTTCCCCCGGTTTCCTCCCACCATCCTAAAACATGCAGCTTAAGTTAATTGACTAATCCAAATCAGCACATAGACATGCTGCTAGTCAGTAGTTATCTCTTAAGAGCGATCACTATCTGTTCATTAACTACAGCAGGGGAGTTCTCCACATCTACCTGAGCTCGCCTTGCACACTGGAGGGAGCCGAGGGAGAACTCTTGAAAGGAAAACAAAACCCAAAACTACACAGCCCTGTGTAAAGCAATGTTTCCCCCCAAACCTAATAACTAGCTGGGTCACCCTTAGCAGATCAACTAGGGTAAAGTGTTCTTCAGTGCCCGAAACAGTGCCTGCTAATGCCACGGCCTCACAGAGTGGCGCCACCCTGCTGGATGAAGGTCAACTGGTGGATTAATGGATAAATGTGGATTTTTGTGTGTGTGAACTGCCCCTTTAAGAGTTGTGTGTTCATGTGTGTGTGTGTGTGTGTGTGTGTGTGTGTGTGTGTGTGTGTGTGTGTGTGTGTGTGTGTGTTCTCAGAGTTGCACAAGTCGCCTAGCAACTTTGCGACGGAGGGCTGGTTCATTGGTCTGATCAGCGCTCTGGTTCTGCTGCTGCTGGTTCTGCTCCTCCTCTGCTACATCAAGAAGAGCAAAGGAGGGAAATATTCAGGTGAGTGACTGAAGATAAATCATCTCTGCTGAGTTTACTGAAGAGACTTTGTTATGTAACTTAGGATAGCAGCACGGTGTCTCAGTGGTTAGCACTGTCGCCTCACAGCAAGAAGGTTGCTGGTTCGAGTCCCACCTTGGCTCCGGTTTCCCCCACAGTCCAAACACATGCGCTATAGGGGAATTGATCAACTAAACTGACCATAGTGTATGAGTGTGTGTGGGTGTTTCCCAGTGATGGGTTGCAGCTGGAAGGGCATCCACTGTGTAAAACATATGCTGAAATAGTTGGAGGTTCATTCTGCTGTGGTAATGCCTGATTAAAAAAGGGACTAAGGGACTAATGAATGAACATTCAGGTTTCTGTTGTGAGTTATGTGATGAATCTCTGTTTATTTGTGTCTCAGTGAAAGATAAAGAGGAGGGTCAGGGGGACGCAGCAAACCAAAAACTGAAGGATGACGCCTTCGGAGAGTACAGGTACACGTTCACAAACACACATCACATTACACAGAATCCATCAGGGATAAATCAGTGGATAAATGACAAAACGTGTGCTTTACAGGAAGTGGAATGAGGTCAAATGCTTTAACATCCAATCAAAAAAGAAAAAAAAGCGCAATTATTGGTGTTAAAACTTGCCCACATTCGAGATGCGAAAAAGCGCACACAGCGGCCTCTCGCGCATTCACAAAAACTGCAAAAATACATACCTCCCAGGACATAACTCACGGCCTCCAGAAACGTCCACGGGGCTACATTTTCAGAACGAGCCTGGGTTGGATTTAGTGACGCGGTGAGAGTTCCAGACTGGCATACTGAGATATTAGTTTCAAGTGCAGGGTGCTGCAGCTATAGATGTTAGTTTTATAAATGCTCAGTTCTTGTAACTTGTTTTGTTTTAACATCGCCCTGACATACGAATGAACACTCTGTGAATAAATATGCATTGTTTTGGTCATAAAATTAACATTATTAAAATAAATCAAATGCTTATTTCAGAGTATTTGCACAAGTCAGGATTCGAACTCTGGTCATTTGTGCACTCGCACAGTCCACTCGGCTACATGAGGTAGATGTTTTATTGAAAAACAAACTGCACAAATACGTACCTCCCGGGTCCTTTTCAATCAAACGCAGATTTGCCAGGTCTCAAAACGCTTCTCAAATGACTAAAGGCCCGTGCACACAGAGACGTTTTTTTTGCTCGCGTTTTCCGGCTACGTTTAACACCTTGCGACTAAATAACGGGCGCCAATGTGATCGTGCACACCAACGCGCAAAATGCCAGGCGCAAAAGCATCATTTTTTTTAAAAACGTCTCATGCTCGTTGTTTTTGACGCGCACGTCAAAATCTTCTCCACCAATCAGATCGGCACTTTAGCTCACGTGCACGGAGCTGCTGAAGTTACAGTAAACAGCACTTGGAGGCGCTTAAGCGCAAAACTGTTAACGCGAGCGCACATTGAAAAAGATGCCCAGAGGCGATATGAACGTGGAGCTGCTTACTGCACTGGTGAACAATAATCCTCTCTAGAGCATTTCTTTATCGAGCTGGAGCTGCTGCTTGAACCATCCATGCTTGTTCAAGTCACCAGAACGTTTTCCAACAAACAACTTCATCCCCTCCTCTTCCTCAGTGTTATAAGCAGGTGTCAGAAGCTTAAAGTTGTGTAGCGCCATCTAACGTCAAGGAGTGATTTTGCATTCTCGTCTGCTTGACGCCAGTGAAAAGCGATTGGGTTTAAATATGGAAAAACATCTTGTAAAACGCTGACGATAAACGCAAAACGAAAACGAAAAGCGTCCCGGTGTGTAGGAGCCTTGATGCTTTGAATCACTTTAGTCAGATCATGCTTTAACTCAGTGTTTTGAAACACTCTCGATACTGTGACGAGACGTCAGTTTGACGTCAGCCATTCCTACCCATTTTCTTAATCTTCAGGGTGATTGTTTATCTGATGATTCCCGATGTGGCACACAACATTGTAGTTCCCGATCTGAAGGGAAAGCATGTCTGTAAAGCTGAAAGCATGCTAACTTGATCAGACTGTCTGAGTGACTTGTGCTGTTTTCTGTCTCTTGATTCCCTCTGCTTTCACACTCACGCACAGATCTCTGGAGAGGTAAGACCTGTTTTATTTACTGTGTTCCTCCTGAACGTGCATGAGTCTGACCTGCTGTGTGTCTCCATCAGTGATATGGAGAAGTGCTCCATCAGCCAGCCGTCGGGGTGCGAGAGCAAGCGCAGCAGCAACGACAGTCTGGCGGATTACGGGGACAGCGTGGACATCCAGTTCAATGAGGACGGCTCCTTCATCGGGCAGTACAGCGGTCGAAGGGATCCACGCGGGCACGACAGCTCTGGCGCCGTGTCGCCGGTCAACCCCAACATGCCTCCGCCCAGCCACAGCTTCCCCACCTCCGTCACCGGGATCCTGGGGCCTAATTAATGATGCATCATGGGCCCTTGAGGGACTTTAGACAGGATAACGATTTCAGGACGGTCATGATTAAAAGTCGTCATCTGCAGACACTCACACATCGACACACACTCATTCCACAGAACGATTTCTCGTAACATTCCACCCTGAACACTGTTTACAGCGCCCATTCCTCTGAGTCCTCACCCGCTGTAGGGATCGGGGTCCTGCTGGGTGTTGCCGCAGCCGGTTCAGCATTTAAGCTCATTGCACACTGATGCCGAAATGTCCATGTTCAAAAATACATCTAACCTCAGGTTGTGTCAGTCGCATTGACACACTGCCTACGAAACTTTCATCGGTTTTCAATCAGGCGGAAGGCAAAATCCATCAGACCGTCACTCGCAGTACAGATCACTTCAAGACAAACACAGTGTGTGAAATAAAGACAGAGTGTGTAGGATGGTTGAGAAACACTGCTGTAGACAACTGTTTGTGCGCATGTGCGTGTGTGTGCTTGCATGTGTGTGTGTGAGTCTGCCAGTCTCTGTTTAGAATTCGTTTACAAACAGAACGTGTCAAGTGACACAAGCAAAGTACCAAAATGCTGCTGATTTCCTGAAGTAAACCTTTAGTCTCAGGACAATCCTACGCAGTTCTTTGATACGCTGAACTCTCCATCCTCTCGGTAGCATGCAGTGGATTGGATGAACGTAATATTTTGAAGAGGAATTGAATTTTTCGGGGAGGAATTAAATCAGATTTTTTTTTCGTTTGTTGCAACAGATTAATTAACACACGTCAGACTCCACGAAAATATATGCGTACAAACATTTCGGACTTCAGTGTGCAAAGACCTTTAGGGCCAGACTCTTAGAAATTTAGTAGGAGCATTAGTCTGCGCTGAGATTTCTAAATCAGTGTTTAGACCCAAACCCGGTGCTGGAGGCCTTCAATTCTGCAGATTAGCTCCACACATCCGTCTGGAGGATTCTAGTATGTCTACTGAGAGCTTGATAAGCTGTGTTTCATTAGGGTTCAGACTAAACTTATGTGTATTACCTAAACAGCGAGGTACCTGCCATACCTGAACCATACCTGAATCATACCTGCCAACAAGTTTTTCCAGGGAGTATCCTGTATTTCACATCCACCTCCCATCACCCTCCCGTTTTGTTATTTCTCCTGGAAATCTCCCATATTTCCAACCCCTGTACCATACCCCCAACACCCCATCCCAACAAGCCCATCTTTTTGGTATAGTCCTCGACACCCCCACTCATCAACTTTAGTATAGTATTGGGTTGCTGGCGCCGTCTGAAATTCAGTCCATGGTACAGTTACTGACACCACAACCATCCCACTCCCCTGGTTCTCAACTTTGTTACTCAGATTTCCCCACCCACATCCACACCCAACCCCCATCCCCCCCCCCCAATTCATCTTTTTGGTACAGTCTCCCACATCCCCACCGGTTCTTCAACTTTAGTACAGTATCCGGTTGCCGGCGCCTCCCAAACTCTAGTCCAGTGGTCACCAAACTTGTTCCTTGAGGGCCGGTGTCCTGCAGATTTTAGCTCCAACCCTAATCAAACACACCTGAACAAGCTAATCAAGCTCTTACTTGGAATACTTGAAACATCCAGGCAGCTGTGTTGAGGCAAGTTGGAGCTAAACCCTGCAGGGACACCGACCCTCCAGGACCAGGATTAGTGACCCCTGATCTAGTCCATGGTACAGTTACTAACACCAAAAAACATCCCACACCCCTGGTTCTCAACTTTGTAACTCAGATTTCCCCACCCACTTCCACACCCAAACCCCCCATCCCCCAACCCATCTTTTTGGTACAGTTTTCTACACCCCTACTGGGTCATCAGTTTTATTATAGTATCCAGTCAATGGCACTGTCTGAAATCCAGCCCAAGGTACAGTTACTAACACCACAAACATGCTGCGCCCCTGGTTCTCAACTTTTTTATTTAAATTCTCCCACATCACCATCCCCACCGACCATAACCCCCCACCATAAACCCCCCCACGTGCACCCAGATGCCCAGAAATTCATATACAAATGTTGGCAGGTATGGGTTAAACTATATAGTGCTCTTGCCGGAACAAGAGTTTCCCAAAACCTGCCAGAGACCCTTGGTGATGCCCCGAGCCTGACCCCTTCCCCTCTCCCCCTCACACACTCGATCTGAACACCACACACACACACACTCACACATGAACTTCAGGACGCCTTCCTAAGTCTCGTGAATGATTGGCTTTTTAAAAATCCTATTCCTCAAGAGCCTGATAAACGAAACAAACAGATCTCGCTGCCTCTCTGAACAATGCCTTATGTAGAAAACATCAGCTGAGATGTCTGCAGTGCTGCTGTACGGGGCGCACGCAGCAGAAACAATGTCCTGAAGGCTGAACAAGGAGAAACAAAATAATCATTCATGTTTAATTATGAGTTATGTAAAGCCATTCTTCTTATTCTTTTTAGTATTGACTTAATTTTTTACATGTTTATTGTTTTATAAAGGCTAATATATTTTGCTTTGTAAATATCTCATTTTTTAAGCTTCAGTCGTGTACTATTATTGTTTGTTATTTTGTGTGGGATGCTTTTCTAAATCCTTCATGTTTCTTTTATAATGCAGTGTGTAGAAACATTAATTATTCTACCGTCTCTCCGTCTTAATAATCAAAGTTCAGGGCCGTGTATCATTTGTATTGTTGCCCAAACGTGTTACGCGAGTATGTTTTTAAACTAATTTTTTTGATGCAATTGTTACATTAAATCCCTCTGGAGTTCATACAGCCGCTGCACTAAAGCCAAATTTTGTGATTTTGAAACTAACATATTATATATTTTTAACGGAAAACAAACAGCAGCTTTGTTTGCGGGTTGATTTCCTGCGGCGAATAACAGCATGTGGAGCTGTAGTGCTAGGCTAGTTAATGTAGTAGTGTAACGCTGAGGCTAATCCCGTCATACTGCCTTAGGGGCCGTTCACACAGAATGTGTTTGTTTTCCTTTTAAACACACTACTTTTCTATTGATTTTCAATGTAAACGCACACTTGACGGATGTGTTCGACTATTACGCTCACGTCTTGTGTCAATGTGTCAACAAACGTGAACACCACATCATTTAGACACCATTTTAAGTTAAAAGATCTTCAACTTTCATGTGCAGTGCTGCTCATCACTGTCAGTCCCACAGCTGTGGACCAATCAGAAGAGCTTGGAGGCGGTGCAACCATCCTGTTTATAGCATAAAGGTGCGATGACAACTTTTATTTATCGTTAAATCATGGCGGAGGAGACACTTATTGTCCAGATATCCTGAGTTGTATGATGGATCTTCAAGTGCTTATAACATATTGTTTTCCTATTTCCAATTTGTTTGTGGAGTCTGACCTCACATGAATCAGCTTCAGCATCCAAGCGCTATATCAAACTGTTTAGTGAGACTAAACAATAATAATAAGCGTTACAACGTTTACAAAGCGCTGTAATACTTTCAAAAATCATGATCGCAATATCCGTTGGCCGGAAAGTGATTCGATTTTTACAAATTGTTATAATAATGGTGTCTGTGATGCAGCAAGTCCGGAGACTGCTGTGTCATTCATTCATTCATTTTCCTTGGGCTTAGTCCCTTTATTCATCAGCGGTCACCACAGCAGAATGAACCACCAACTTATTCAGCATATGAGTTTATGCAGAGGATGCCCTTCCAGCTGCAACCCAACACTGGGAAACACCCATACACACTCATACATTACAGGCAATTTAGTTCATCAATTCACCTATATATACTCCTGGGGCCGTTTATATATCGAAGTTGTTATTTAGCTGCACCGTGTTGGTGTTTCGTAACATCAAATTTTTATGATGTAGGTCGTTAGCCCAACCCCCAACCAGGGAGAACATGCAAACTCTACACAGAAATGCCAACTGGCCCAGTTTGGAATCGAACCAGCGATCTTCTTGCCGTGAGGCAGTTGTGCTACCCACTGCGCAACCGTGACACCCCACCATGATTTAATAAAAAAAATCACTTTAATGTGAATAAAAGTGTTATAAACTAATATTTTCCTATTTTAACCGAGTATCCGCTTGGAGCCGGAAACAGTAGTTCATTCGTCACGACTTTACAAGCGGACGGGTCTGTTACTGTCCTTATTATAGTACAATCTTAACATTGCATCCGGTGGATTTCGCTCTGCATTGTTTAAAGCCCATTCCTGTGTGAAGCGTTTTAGAAACAAAGACCGTATGAATCACACCAAACACTTTTTTCTAACAAGACGCACCATTTTTTATTGGTTTTCTAATGTCTGCAAGCGTTTTGCTGTTCATGCATCCTGAGCACCTCTCATTTACCTGCTTGCTGCACCTTGTGTTTTTGCCCGTGCGCTCTGTGTGCCTGCAGTGAAAAACACAACACTGAGCAGAAAAAACAAGCTACGCCAGTCACGTCTTTCATTGTCCAATCAAATGAAAGTAGAGGCGGGGTTTCCCTTGAAGGGACAGCAGTGTTTGTGTTGTCAAGATGACTAAGGAGACTTTTAAAGATGTAGGAGTGACTAGCGGTCGCTGTTTCCGGCTATCCAGAGCTGTAATGCTTCACAAATCCACACTTTTACGTTTTACAATTATAACAATAGGCGGCACGGTGGCTCAGTGGTTAGCACTGTGGTCTCACAGCAAGAATGTCGCTGGTTCTAGTGCTGGCTGATTCGAGTTTCTGTGTGGAGTTTGCATGTTCTCCTCGTGTTGGTGTGGGTTTCCTCCGTGTGCTCCGGTTACAGTCCAAACACATGCGCTATAGAGGAATTGATTAACTAAACTGGCCGTAGTGTATGAGTGTGTGTGAACGAGTTTTTCCCAGTTATAGGTTGCAGCTGGAAGGGCATCCACTGTGTAGAACATATGCTGGAATAGTTAGCGGTTCATTCCACTGTGTCGACCCCAGATGAATAAAGGGACTAAGCTGAAGGAAAATGATTAATAATGTCAACAGCAGCGCTCGCACAGATTCAACATAAAAAGCAGTGCGCACTTCTTGTTTTCTTGTCAGCAATAACACATTCGGTGTGATCGGCCCCTTGCGGAGTCTGAGGACTCCTGTGCTTGAGCGTTCGGTGTCATGGGTCTGTCAGCTTGCCAATATTAACACTCCAGCAGTGCTAATCATGTACAGTAAACTCCTACTAACAAAACCAGTCTAATGAAATCTGTGTACAACCTGAGCTGGCGTGACTCTAGCTGTATGTGTTGACGGAAATTACGACGAACTGACGGCAGGTAAATAAACACGAAACTGATGGTTCACATTATGAATGTATTGCTTAGATTTCACCTTTGATACTTTCTGTTGTATTTATACTATATCCATGGTGTCATGCTTGAATTAGCGATTCCTCTTATTTATTCTCATGCTAAAATCGGACCTTTAGATTAGCGTTTAGAGAAAAGGTCTGAAATACGATGCAATTTTTTGAACTGGTCTTCTTCTGGATGAGCGAATGTTCTGAACACTGTTGTACTTGTGTGCGAAACTTGACTAAATGCATTTTGGGGGAAGCAGTGATGATGTCTTTACAGCCTTACTGATTTGGATTGAGGTTATAAAGTTGGTTTTATATTCGCACATTTAGACTTTCAATAAAACAGTAAAGCAGATTAGAAAGGCGAATACAGATGAATAATAATAATAATAATGTGGTTATGAATTATGAGATGATATTGTTGAATATTGTGTCTGAAATCGTTCATGACAACATCAGCACTATCATTGACTGTCAGCAGTGTTGTTCTCTGATAGTCAATGGCTGCCCTGCTGAAAAATCCAGCTTAAACCAGCCTAGGCTGGTTGGCTGGTTTTAGAGGGGTTTTGGCCACTTCCAGGCTGGTTTTCAGCCATTTCCAGCCTGGTCAGGCTGGGAGATGACCAGCTAAAACCAACTTGACCAGCCTAGCCAAACTGGCAGTCCAGCCAAAACCAGCTATATCCAGCTTAAACCAGGCTGGTCTAGCTGGTTTTAACTGGATTTGGCTGGAAACCAGCCTGGAAATGGCCAAAACCCCTCTAAAACCAGGCTGGTCAACCAGCGAAAACCAGCCTAGGCTGGTTTAAGCTGGATTTTTCAGCATGTTGATCATTTGATTGACCTGTTTAGAGTTTAACAACAATAATTTTCATTATATTGAGAAGATGATAGACTGAAAGCGCAAATATAAAACCGTCTATACCTCCCTCCGTATGATGAGTGTCTATTCATTTGTACTTGTTAGCTGTTTTCTTTTATACTGTCGTTCATTTCTGGTGCATTTGCTGGCTCTATCCAAACAGAACCACACATCCCGGCAGTAATATAGACTTTGAGTTACCTGATATCATTTAGCACACGTGTCGCTCATACGCCCTCCTGAATTGTACTGTTGAAAGTCATCCTGGTTAAAGCAGAATATTTACAACAAATGTATGTAAGATTATGTAGCCTGTGTACGCATTCAAATCTATTTTCCTATACGAACCGAGTGAAGCGGTGGAGTCCAGTGCATGGCTTTACTGTAAAGACCTGAAGAGACGCGGCAGCGAGCACGTCACCTTCCTTTCCTGCGTTTTTTGGGATATGTTGATATTGTATGTAACCGTCTTCTTACCTCTGCCTTCTATTTGTACGATAAATGACAATAAAAAGACGGCTAACAAGTGATATGTGAGCTGTGGTGACGAACGAGCGGCAGTCACGATGGGCTGTACAAAAACAGAGAATATACGCAGTCAATGATGGAGCTTGTGAGCTGCAGTGGTACCGTGTGCTGTATGTGCTGAACAATACTCAATAAAACAACATTAATTATGCAGAAAAGAACACCTCTTACCTCGTCTGATGCCTTTTTTTCCTTTTTTTATATGATGTATTTAACTTTTTTTACATCCCAGCAGTGACACAACGTCATAAGACATTTAAATTAAGTTAGATTTAGGTGTTGACATCAGGTGACCAATGTCTAGCCATAGCTACGTTATTTTGTGAATAACGAGGACAAGTTGATATTTGGTTGATTTTAGGTTGTAGAAAGTAACCAAAATCCAACGTCGAGCCAACCAATGTCTTATTGACGTCCAACAAAAAAATCCAACATCTGATAGACGTCATAGTGATAACGTCCACACAACGTCAATTTGTAACATTGTTAGATGTTGGTATTTTGATTTTAGGTTTTTGGAATGTGACCAAAATCCCCCGTCAAGCCAACGTCTTAAACCAGCGTCATATTGACGTCACATACTGACATTTATTCATCAGGTATGGCAACCAAAATCTAACGTCTGATAGACGTCATAGTGGCAACATCCACACAACGTCAAGCTGTAACATCATTAGACGTTGATATTTGGTTGATTTTAGGTTGAATAAAGTGACCAAAATCCACCGTCAATCCAACGTCTTAAACCAACATCATATTGACATCACACACTGACATTTATTCATCAGGTATGGCCACCAAAATCTAATGTCTGATAGACGTAATAGTGGTAACGTCCACACTACGTCAAGATGTAACATCATTAAACGTTGATATTTGCTTGATTTTAGGTTGGATGTTAGAAAGTGACCAAAATCCAATGTTGAGATAACATCCTAAACCAGCGTCATATTGACGTCAAATACTGACATTTATTCATAAGGTATGGCAACCAAAATCTAACGTCTGATAGACGTCATAGTGGCTACGTCCACACAACGTCAAGATGTAACATCATTAAATGTTGATATTTGGTTGATTTTAGGTTGCATGTTGGAAAGTGACCAAAATCCAACGTCGAGTCAACATCTTAAGTGAAGTTTCACAAACTAATTTCGAGAGGAACACGTGATATGATCAACTACACCTGATCCTTATCACTAATCATTAGCTAGTCTATCAGATCATTCTAAAACTACTTTAAATATCCTGCCTAAACTTCATTCCCAATCTTCGCTTTTTGAACTCGGCACTCCCTGTGCAGAGTTTGCATGTTCTCCCCGTGTTCGCGTGGGTTTTCCCCGGATGCTCCCACAGTCTAAAAACATGCATGCAAACAAATTGTAATAACAGTCACAAGCACATAACACATACATACATGATCAATCAGTACCACCATATAAGCCTAAGTATAAACGGGAGCGCTTGAGACATACCTGATCCTGTATCCCTCCTAATGCTCATTGACCAGGCAGGAACCCTGGGCTCATGTATCTCCAAGCTTAGGGTTTTCTCCCGGGACAGCATGCCAAACCTGCTATCATAGTCGAGCATTATCTAAGTGTAAACTCAGCGTCATATTGACTTCAAATACTGACCTTTCTTCATCAGGTGAGGCAACCAAAATCCAACATCTGATAGACGTCATAGTGGCAACGTCCACACAACGTCAAGATGAACATCATTAGACGTTGATATTTGGTTGATTTTGGGTTGTAAAAAGTGACCAAAATTAAACGTTGAGCCAACATCTTAAACCAGCTTCATATTGACATCAAATACTGACATTTATTCATCAGGCAACCAAAATCCAACATCTGATAGACGTCATAGTGGTAACGTCCACACAACGTCACGCTGTAACATCATCAGATGTTGATAGGTTGATTTTAGGTTGTGTTGGAAAGTGACCATAATCTAACGTCGAGTCAACATCTTAAACCATATTGACGTCATATTGACATCACAAACTGACATTAATTTGTCAGGTATGGCAACTAAAATGTAATGTCTGATAGACGTCATAGTGGTAATGTTCACACAACGTCAAGATGAACATCATTAGATGTTGATATTTGGTTGATTTTAGGTTGTAGAAAGTGACCAAAATCCAACATCGAGCCAACGTCTTAAAACAACGACAAATTGACGTCAAATACTGACATTTATTCATCAGGCAACCAAAATCCAATGTCTGGCAGAGGTCATACTGGTAACGTCCAAACAACCTAAAGCTGTAGCATCATTAGATGTTGATATTTGGGTGATTTTAGTTTGGATGCTGGGTTTTGAAGTTGGCCTGATGTTGGGTTCTGACGTCATCATGATTTTAATTTCCAAACAAAATGCAACGTCCCCACAACGTTGTTGTTTATACTATTTATTTTTTCCTATTTATATTGAAATTGTCAATGCATCAAAGTCTTCCCTCTGTAGTTATTAAGATATGTTATTATTTACTTTCCCTTTCTTTTCCTTTTTATACTATTCCATATGTATTTCTGTATTAGCTGTTATTGAATTTGCTCAGTTGAGTTACTATCCTTATTGTTGCCATCATCCCTTTCTCTAATTCCCGCACGCTTATTGCTGAACAGCAGAAATAAAGATACTGAAAGCCAAACAAAAGTAAAGTTGAATGATTATTTCAGAAAGCATTTAATCATATGAGTAGAGAACAGGAGAGGGGCTTTAAACAACAGAAGCAACAGTAAATGAACATTAAATCAGGCAGAAACAAACAAAAAAAAAGCTTATTTTAGATATTTCAAGAAGCGGTCATTTCAGGTACTGTGGGGGGGAAGGGGGTAAAAACTTTACAAATTGAGAGTTATTGCATGTGCTGAACATTCAGAGAATCAACTTTCTGAATCACTGCTGAAGTCAAACGCAGAGGTCAGAAGTTTTAGGGCAGAATCCACAACAATACATCATAATAATGATCATCTTAAAGGGTCAGTTCACCCAAAACGTTTCTAATTTGAAGAATTCTGGAAACCTGTAACCATTGACTTCCATAGTATTCGTTTTTCCTACAATGGAAGTCAGTTGTTACCGGCAGTCTTTAAAATATATTCTGTTGTGTTCAACAGATGAAAGAAACTCATAAAGGTTTATAATCACTTGAGGGAGAGTAAATAACCAGTACATTTATATGTTGTTGGGTGAACCGTCACTATAACTTTATGTATTGTGGGTGGATTTTCTTAAAGATGGTTTTGTATTTGTAAACATGACATTATTTGATCAGTTCCTGTAAAGTGTAAATAAGTGTGAACAAATATCTAGAATAAACCAGCAGTGCTGACAGGCGTATGTCTCCCCTGACAATAACATTCACATTAATGAAACGTATACTCGAATCATTCGGGTCGGGACACTGCTGGGCCACGCCAGACAACTAGCGCAGATCAAACAAAAAAGGGCTCACATCAGGTTCTGTCTAGACCAGGGGTGCCCAAACTCAGTCGTGGAGGGCCGGTGTCCTGCAAATTTTAGTTCCAACTCCAATGAAACACAACTGAACCAGCTAATCAAGCTCTTTCTAGATATACTAGAAAAGTCCAGGCAGGCGTGATGAAGCAAGCTGAAGCAAAACTGCGCAGGACACTGGCTCTCCAGCACCGAGTTTGGACACTCCTGGTCTAAACAAACAATGTACACGTGAACACACTAACTGAGCGAAAGCTTTCTGAAACAAAGCTGTGTGTTCTGAACTTCTACAACAGGACGTGCGGTTCCGCTCCAGCAGGGGGCAGTGTAGTCTGTTTTCTCATTACCAAAGGAAACCAGAATTTCCAGTGCGCATTTAAGTGTAAACAAAGCAGCGTTCAGCACCATTATAACAGTAATCGTCACTCACCAGCGAAGGATTCCAGCCTGATCTTACGAGGAAACGTAACTATTTTACGTTTTGTTAGTTTAGTGGCTGATTCGTACGAGTTCAGTCGTACAGAAATGTACGATTTTAAAAAGTAGGCGTGGCATCCAACCCCGCCACTAAACCCAACTGTCATTGGATGAGCAAATCTTACTAAATTGTATGAATGAGATTGTACGATTTTATACGAATTAGCCACTAAATCAAAAAGTTACGAATTGCAGTGGGATAGCATTGCGGATTTACTCCAGATATGTCTGATAATCTAACAATCCATATAGTTTGCAGATATTTGGGACATGTAGTGAAATTACAGCCGACTTCTGTGTGTTTCTTCGTGACTTGAATTGTTTACGTCATTTCACTATGTCACACTATGATTCGCTACTGGATAACCAATCAGAGTGCTGTCTTAAGGCTGATTTATACTTTCGTGTCAAGCGCACGTGTATGCTATGGCGCGGCCTACGGGTGGACACATATAGCCTTCGCTGTGGCCGTCGACGTCGGCGTCGCTGACGCACACCTTTTAAAAAAATTTACTACATGTCGCAACGACGCATAGTCCAAGCTTTGTTATTGGTCAGCTTGGTAGTGCTGACGAGTTTGGGCGACACCGAAAGCCGCGCGAGTCGTTGGAGCGTTTGTTTACAAGTGTGGACTCCCATGAAGGAGCTCCAGATGGAAAGTTTTGTTTTGTGTTTACCTCATGGTTAAAGTTGTAGCTCATCCGCTGGTTCCTCAAAATGAGCGCGTTTGAGCCACTTGTACATTCAGGAAGCGTTAAAAAAAAACTAGCAAAGAAACTTGACACAGAGGAACATTAACACCTACTTCCAACTAGCATTTCAGAAGTGTTATTGCAGAGCAACAGAAACAGCGTGCAGAAGGTGACTTTTAGGTGACTCCGATTCTCCACGCTCGGATCTCATCGGCCAGATTTAGCGTGTAGAATGATTGGTTATTCAGCAGCGAATCAAAGTGTGACGTAGGGAAGTGACGATTATCCGACATATCTGCAGGAGTGAATCCCTCCGCGGTGAGTGACGATTACTGTGATAATGGTGCTGAACGCTGTTTTATTTATGCTTTGCACGTGTTCATCTGAAGTTTGGTTTCCTTTAGTTAAATAAACAGACTATCCTGCCCCCTGCTGGAGCAGAAACACACATCCTCCGCACGGGCACAAATCACACACTCTCGTTTCATTCTGCTAGCTGTTCGCCATCAGCTTGCTGTGTCCAAGTCTTAAGCGAAAGCATATCTGAAGGAATCCCTTGAAAACAAATATAATTTCTGATCTAGTGTCCTCACGATACTGACATTTTAAAACAACCACTTCTGGCTAACATTCTGAAATGCTTCTGATTGGCCGTTGTGTTGACCTGCTCAACAGAAATGACTGTGATTGGCCGTGAAGGTCATCAGTTCACCACTTTTTGTGTAAACACAGATACAGGGACACTGGAGTGTTTTAAAGCTGCGTAGATCAGCTGATCTGTCAATGAGCTGACATATGAGCAATCTGCTGATGGATCGACTGATCATTGCAGCTTTAAACTGCTCCAGTTTCCCTGTATCTGTGGTAGCATTCAGAGAACAGCTGTCATTTCTGTTGAGCAGGCGAACACAACGGCCAATCAGCGCTGTTTAAGAACGCGCGCAAATGTTAGCGGGAAATGGATTTAAATGTCAGTATCAATCGATACATAAATTCAGTATCGTGACAACCCTAATCAGATCTTTTAGCTTGTTGTTAAAGTGTTTCGTGAGCAGCAGTGGAGTGTGAGCTAGGAGCAGATCTCTACCAAGTGTAAACACAGATACAGGGACACTGGAGTGTTTTAAAGCTGCTTAGATCAGCTGATCTGTCAATGAGCTCATATACAAGCAATCTGCTGATGGATCGACTGATCTTCGCGGCTTTAAAACACTCCGATGTCCCCGTATCTGTGTTTACACTCAGAACAGTGGTGAACTGATGACCTGCACGGCCAATCACAGTCATTTCTGTTGAGCACATGAACACAACGACCAATCAGCAGTGTTTAAGAACACGCTCAAATGTTAGCGGGAAGTGGATGTTTTTTAAATGTCATCGTGACAACCCTAATCAGATCTTTTAGCTAGTTGTTAAAGTGTTTCGTGAGCAGCAGTGGTGTGTGAGCTAGGAGCAGATCTCCAGCGTGTCCATGGGCTCCTCCGGCTCCGGCTGCTTGTGGTTTAGTCCGTTCGTTTCTCCAGTTCTGCTGTCCGAGTCCGGCTGGGGGAACGTCTCAGATGGAGCAATGCATTCTGGGCTGTCAGTCCGATCTCTGCTCGCTCCTGATGCTAAACCTGATGCTGATCCTGCTGCAGGTTCTGTAGGCTCTCCAGCACGCACTGGACTGTCCATCTGATCTTGAGGGTCTGTGCAGTCCGCGGCGCCAGCTTCACACTCGCTAATATTATTATTATTAGCCAGATTCTGGAGGTCTTCATCCGGTGTGTCTGCAGGCTGAACATCAGCGCTCTGTCCATTATTCAGATGCTGCTCGTCTGATTCTGTGTGTTTCTCTGGATCTTCAGCTCTGGACTCACACTCTCCGTCCTCTTGTTTCTTCACATCGGTGATATCGGCGGTGGATTTGCAGTGTTTGGCGTCTGCTTCTCCATCTTTGCTCTTGTATCGTGAGTCTTCATTGGCTGCGCTCTCTCCGCTCAGCACCACAGAGTTCTGCCGCTTCTCCGACTTCTTCTTGAAGCGCTTCTGGATTTTTCTAGGACACCACACGAACTTGTCTTTGGGCTCAAAGTGCTGGAAGGCGAAGCGCACCAGCTTCCTGCGCTCCCGCTTGTCCCGCACCGCGAACAGGAAGTAGTCCAGGACGCTGCGTTTGACACTGCTGAGCGTCTTACGCACCAGAGTTTCCTCCAGGAAAAAACGCACCAGAGGAGCCTGGAAGTGCTCAAAGCCAAGCTCTCCGAGACTCTTGAGTATCCGGGTAATTCTCAGATTATTGTGCATGTTTCTGGAAGAGGAAAACCAGTTTTAGAATATTTGAAATGAACAAAACCTTTAAAGTATGTAAATATGCACGTCTGTGACTGTGATTTAGCTGTGACAGGGGTTTGATGGCACTGTTTGGTGCCAAAAAACTGGTTGAGTGTTAATAAGGGATGGGTACGGAGAACTGGTGATTTTGGACCGTAATTGGGTTGATACTGCAGCACCAGTAACTTACTGTTTGTATAACAATACTATTTGAAGGATTTTTAGCTTTGCTTTTAAACTGTATAGCTTTAGCCAAATGTTTTAAGTCTCATTCCACAAGCTTCTCACAATAGTTTGCAGGAGTTTTGGTCCATTCCTCCTGACAGAATTGCTGTAACTGAGTCAGATTTGTAGGCTGTCTTGCTCGCACAAGCTTTTTCAGCTCTGCCCACACATTCTCTATAGGATTGACATCAGGGCTTTGTGATGGCCACTCCAAAACATTCCCTCTGTTGTCCTTGAAGCACATGTGAACTAATTTGGCAGTATGCTTAGGCTCATGGTCTGTCTGGAAGAGCCATTTGTGGTCAAGTTGTAATGTCCTGGCTGATGTGTTGAGATGTTGCTTCAGTATTTCTCCATAATGTTCTGTCTTCATGATGCCATCTATGCTGTGAAGTGGACCAGTCCCTCCTGCAGCAAAACAGCCCCACAACATGATGCTGCACAGTTGGGATGGTGTTCTAGGCTTGTGCGCTTTCCTCTTTGTCCTCCAGAAGTAACACTGCTCATTATGGCGAACAGTTCAATCTTAGCTCCATCAGAGCACAGCACATGTCTCCACACATCAGTCTGTTCCCAGTGTCATTCAGCTAATGGTAATCTGGCTTTGTTGTTGATTCTGGCTTGTTGATTTTCCCATGTTGTCACACAAGTAAGCAGTGTGTTTGAGCTTCTCCTTCAATACTATTCTACAGTTGTGCCTCACATTAACTCAAATGTTGTCAATTAGCCAATCAGAAACCTCCAAAATCTCGACCCTAAAAGCACTCAGGGTGTAAGTGTCTCCTTATTAGGGTTACTAGGGTTTGGGGGAAGGCATTCCATAAATACATTTATTAATAAATTAGATGTCATTTAAATAAATACCTAAGTTTAATGGAATGAAGCATGTATTACACAAACGAACATGACTGAAAGAGCATACTAAATATCTACAACCCTGAGCCGTACCTCTCTAGATTAGCGAATCTCTCCCTCCAGTTGTCGGCGCGCTTCACTTCTCCAGTTTCTCTGTTCAGGAGCTGAAGCCCATAGAAGCCCAGCATGAGTTCATACGAGTCTAAAAGACGACTCTTAGCTTCTTCACTCTCCCTGAACGCCTGCAAGACAACACACACACAAGACAGTCAAACAAGGAGAACATCTGGAGAACACCTGCAGTCTCTGTGTTGTAACTCACCTGGATCTCCTTCTTGGTGAGCTCTGCTGCCATGTAGTTCACTCCCGGCTCCCGCAGAGGAAACAGCCTGAATGCAGGACAGATTTAGTTTTCAAGAGCAGGAAAACATACTGAAAACACACACACTGGGTGCGTCCCAAATCACATACATGTGCACTGGTCTACGTCAGTTTGTAGAATAGTGTCAGTAGCTCATTCACAGTTAAAGCACACCAATCTAAAAAGAGTAGGTGCACTTTAAATGGGAGGAGCTACTAGCGAAGGGGAGGGGTTGATTATGATGAAGGGGAGGAGCTCCACATGAAAGAAAGGAGCTACTGAACATAAAGAGGAGGGGCTGATGACGAACATGAGGAGCTGTTGATGAAGAGGAGAAGCTACACATGAAAGGGAGGAGCTACTGAAGATGAAGAGGAGGAGCTGATGATGAAGAGGAGGAGATACTGATGATGAAGAGGAGGGGCTACATAGGAAAGGGAGGAGCTACTGATGATGAAGGGGAGGAGCGACTGATGAAAAGAAGCTGCATATGAAAGGGAGGAGCTACTGATGAAGACGAGGAGCTACATACAAAGGGGAGGAGCTACTGATGAATAGGAGATACTGATGATGAAGAAGAGGAGATACTAATGATGAAGGGGAGGAGCTACATAGGAAAGGGAGAAGCTACTGATGAAGAGGAGGAGATACTGATGATGAAGGTTAGGTGCTACTGATGAACAGGAGGAGCTACTGATGAAAAGGAGAAGATACTAATGATGAAGGGGAGGAGCTACATATGAAGGGGAGGGGCTACTGATGAAGAGGAGGAGATGATGATATAGGAGGAGCTATATATGAAAGGGAGGAGCTACTGTTGAAGAGGAGATAATTGTGATGAAGAGAAGCTGATAATGAAGAGGAGCTACATATGAAGGGGAGGAGCTTCTGTTGAAGAGGAGGAGATAATGAGGATGAAGAGAAGGAGTTGATGATAAAAAGGAGCTACATATGAAGGGGAGGAGCTACTGATGAAGAGGAGGAGCTACATATGAAAGGTAGGAGCTGATGATAAAGAGGAGGAGCTACATATGAAGAGGAGGGGCTACTGATGAAGAGGAGGAGATAATGATGATGAAGAGGAGGAGCTACATATGAAGGAGAGGGGCTACTGATGAAGAGGAGAAGATAATGATGATGAAAGGGAGGGGCTGATGATAAAGAGGAGGAGCTACATATGAAAGGGAGGAGCTACTACTGAAGAGGAGGAGCTGATGATGAAGAGGAACTACATATGAAGGTGAGGGGCTACTGATTAAGAGGAGGAGATACTGATGATGAAGGGGAGGAGCTGATGATGAAGGGGAGAAGGTATATATGAATGGGAGCTGATGATGAAGAGGAGGAGCTACATATGAAGGGGAGGAGTTACTGATAAAGAGAAGGAGATACTGGTAATGAAGGGGAGGAGCTGATGATGAAGAGGAGGAAATAATGATGATGAAGGGGAGGAGCTGATGATGAAGAGGAGGAGCTACATATGAAGGGGAGGAGTTACTGATGAAGAGAAGGAGATACTGGTGATGAAGGGGAGGAGCTGATGATGAAGGGGAGGAGCTACTGATGAAGAGGAGGAAATAATGATGATGAAGGGGAGGAGCTGATGATGAAGAGGAGGAGCTACATATGAAGGGGAGGAGTTACTGATGAAGAGAAGGAGATACTGGTGATGAAGGGGAGGAGCTGATGATGAAGGGGAGGAGCTACTGATAACGAGGAGGAAATAATGATGATGAAGGGGAGGAGCTGATGATGAAGAGGAGGAGCTACATATGAAGGGGAGGAGTTACTGATGAAGAGAAGGAGATACTGGTGATGAAGGGGAGGAGCTGATGATGAAGGGGAGGAGCTACTGATAATGAGGAGGAAATAATGATGATGAAGGGGAGGAGCTGATGATAAAAGGGAGGAGATAATGATGATGAAAGAGAAAATATTGATAAAGAGGAGGGGCTTATTATGAAGGGGGAAAGCTATAGATGAAGGGCAGGGGCTGCTGGGGGCTGATGTTGATCCATTTAATTTAGTTTAGATTGTGAAAGCAAAGTTCTCCCACATAAGTGATTATGCCGCCTCTCGGTGGTGAATGAGTTTGTACTCATGACAGTTACTATTTGGTAATTTGATCATTTATTTCACTTATTTAGCAGCTGTTATACTGCCTGGGAAAAAGTTTGAATTCCCATCCATTAAATAATGTTAGTGATCCATTTGAGGCATTACTAAACTCTACACGACACGATTGAGTGTACAAGTGCATAAGTGTGTCATTTGGGATGCAACTATTGGCAGATAACAACAAAGAAGATGGTGTTAAAGTTAAAGATGCGTTTCATACCACTGAATGTAGGAATGGACTCTCTCCAGCCTTTTGTAATCGGTCCTCCACTCTGTGTGAAACGTCTCAATCGAGACGTCTAATGACCAAAAAGAAGAAGATCAAGTTCAACTCAACTCAACTTTGGAAAGTGGAGAAGAAAGCCAGCACGTACCGTCAGGAGAAGACTTAATTTCATTTAGGTAGAACTTTAAGTTGGTCATTCTTTCTTCTGGACACTCCTCTTCATTGATATTCTGCAAAGAGATGAGAATAATCCTGTCAGCAGCACACTTCAGAACATCTCCATCTCATTCTAGGAGGAAAAAACCAAACTCTTACTGGATATCCATGTCTATAGTTCTGCATATCCTTGGCCGCTCTGAGATTCCTGGAGGAAGAGTTGGACCACTGCAAACATTGAAAGATTGATTTGTTTCAGATGCATGCTTTCATTGCCAGCGTGCCCAACTAACAAAATCCCAAACCATCATTGTTAGATGCAGTTTCAATTACTGTTATTACACTACTGTGATGGTTGTGGTAAGGGTAGACGTTATTAAAATAAAAATAATAAGTCATTTGATAAACAATGTGAATAATACTCTTTTTTACATTACTGTGAGGCTTGGGATGATGGTATACATTAATAAAATACAAATAATGATTAATTCAATAAATAATATAAATAATACTTGGTGTAATTACTGTTTTTACATTCCTATGAGGGTTAAGGTAAGGGTAGATGTAAATAAAAAAGAATTACTGAGTAATTTAATTAATAATATGATCAATACTTGGTGTAATTACTGTTTTTACATTACTATGAGGGTTAGGATAAGCGTAGACATTAATAAAATAGTAATTAATGAGTCATTTAATAAATTGTACGCACAATACTCGGTGTAATTACTGTGTTTACATTACTGTGATGGTTAGGATAAGCGTAGACATTAATGAAATATAAATTAATCAGTAATTTAATAAATAATATGCACAATACTTGGTGTAATGACTGTGTTTACATCACTATGATGGTTAGGATAAGTGTAGACATTAATAAAATAGTAATTAATGATTAATTTAATAAACAATATGCACAATACTCTGTGTAATTACTGTGTTTACATTACTGTGAGGATTGAGGTAAGGGTAGACTTTAGTAAAATACCAATTAATTGCTAATTTAATAAATAATATGAACAATACTCGGTATAATAACTGTTTTTTACATTACTTGACGGCTTGGGATAGGGGTAGACGTTAATAAAATACAATTAATCGATTATATAATAAGAAACAATTCGCGTTTCCCTTCAAAAATAAAACAACCCCCCATTCTGACGTCCAGTCGATGACGGGGAAATCATCAACGAGTGACGTACATCCGGTCAGCGGAGCTTACGTTAAATAACTAGCTAACATGCTATTCTATAAAACACACTAAAATAGGTAAAACAGAGCTCCAAGTGTATATAGATGATACCTTCAAAGAGGTTTATTTACACACTTCCGCCCGTGCTCATCAAGTGATGAGAGTAACGGTCCAACACGCACACATGAATAAAAACATCACAGCGCGAATAAACCGACGTCTCTCTGAGGCTAACCGCAGCGCTTCTGTGGGATCAAAGAGTCCCCGTGCAGCGCCTTACTGAAGCAGAGGCTCTTATATATGTGTGTGTATATAGAAAGAACACGTACATATGTCTAATATAGAGATGTAGATGTATAAATAGGCACATACGAAGGCGGGCCGTGTTTTCCTGCTGCGACCGCTGTGCTCCAGCTCGTCCCCGTCGCTCTCCGTGTCCCAGGTGGAGTCATACTCACACAGCAGATCGTCCTCCATCCCTGAACAGCCGAGCGATGATGGAGAATAAGCTGATCAATAACCTGATCAATAATCAACCCGCGCTGTGGAGAGCAGCATCCGCACAGAGCCATTGGAGGAGCAGATGACCGTCCGCTGCTGCAGCTCAGCGACTGCACACACACACACACGCACACACACATAGGCACGCGCGCGCACACACATACTCACGCACATATACGCATCCATATACATGCATACACATAAACACAAAAGTATTGATAGCGCTTGACTTTTTCCACGTTTGTTTATGTTACAGTCTTATTCCAAAATGGATTAAATAGTTTGATTTCCCCAACATTCTACACACAATCCCCCATAATGACAATGAGAAGAGTTTTTGAAATTGTTGCAAATGTATTTTAAAATAAACAGCTGATAAATCAGATGTACATCAGTGTTCACAGGCTTTGCTCAACACTCTGTTGATGCCCCTTTGGCAGTGATTACAGCCTCAAGTCTTCTTGAATATGATGCACAAGCTCTGCACACCTGTCTTTGGGAATGTTTGCCCGCAGCACCTCTCAAGCTCTATCAGGTTGGATGGGAAGTGACGGTGTGCAGCCATTTTTAGATCTCTCCAGAGATGCTCAATAGGATTTAGTTCTGGGCTCTGGCTGGGACACTCAAGGACGTTCACCGAGTTGTTGTTGTGCCACTCGTTGATATGTTGGCGGTGTGCTTTGGGTCATTGTCCTGCTGGAAGATGAAGCGTCGCCCCAGTCTGAGGTGGAGAGCACTCTTGTGCAGGTCTTCATTCAGGATGTCTCTGTACATTGCAGCATTCATCTTTCCCTCTACCCTGACTAGTCTCGGACATTATCTGGATGGCTATTCCAGAATTTAGGAGCCGTACATGAAAAGGTTAGACCTCCTTTAGTAGACTTTGCTATTCTGGGTACTACCAGAATAGTTTTGAGATCTTAAAGAGCGGGTTGGATTGTAGCGGGACAGATAGTTGGTTAGATAAACATGAGCTCCATTATTTTTGTGAATTGCAAGGTCCCGGAACAGATCGCGGTAACGGATCCGGCATGTTATCCAAGGATGTAGAGGTCTCGCGCATGAAAGTGGAGAGGCGGGCGTTGGATGGCGGGGCATAGGATGGTGGACAGATGTCGCGGATGAAAGTGAAGAGGGTTGGGGAGAAGAAAGTGTACAGCGGACGGAGGAGGAGGGCAGTTGAGGAGGGGGATCGGTAAAATGAGGTGCCGGATACGGATCCGCTGTGTTCCGGCACAAATGAAGCCCTGTTTAAAAGTAATATTTTATAATCAATACAGATTTTACCAGGCAGCCAGTTTAAGTTGGATAAAATTAGGGTGGTGTTTTCTAGACCTGGAGAACTCTAGCAGCTGCATTTTGCACTGGCTAAAGTTTTTGATTAGAGGATGCTGGGCATGTTGTGTCAAGTGTGTTCATGTCATTGTCCTGCTGAACTACTTTTATTTCTGCATGTCAAAGCGCTTCTGGATTACAGGTGAGATGAGTAATAAACAGCACACTCCATGCAGAGGCTGTGCAGCCGATTAGCCTCGGCACTGAACTGCTATTTCTGAACGTGGTAGCTATGGCAACAGCTGTAATGAAGCAGATCATAATAAGCCAGAGATAACACTCATTTATTCTAGACATCTTCGACAACACTGAGCTCTATGATTCCTCTGTGTCGTTTACTATGTCACTGTCTTATAATCCTGAAGGAATGATGAGTGGGATTCCACCAGCCTGCTTTTAAAGGGGTTTTGGCCATTTCCAGCCTGGTTTTAGCTGATCAACTCCCAGCCTGACCAGCTAAGAGCAGGCTGGAAATGGCCAAAACTCTTCTTAAAGCAGGCTGGTTGACCAGCTAAATCCAGCCAACCAACTTTAGGCCTGACTTTACTAAATATAAGCATATTTCTTTCTAACATTGATAGTTTACACACACGCCGGCCACTTTATTAGGTACACCTGACTAGTATTAGGTCGGACCTCTTGTATCTTTAGAACTGCCTTAATCCTTCACGGCAGAGATTCATCAAGATACTGGAAATATTCCTCCATATTGACATGATAGCATCACACAGTTGCTGCAGATTTGTCGGCTGCACATCCATGATGCCAATCTCCAACACATCCCAAAGCTGCTCTATTGGATTGAGCTCTGGTGACTGTGGAGGCCATTTGAGTACAGTGAACTCATCGTCATGTTCAAGACACCAGTCTGAGATGATTGAGCTTTATGACATGCTGCGTTATCCTGCTGGAAGTAGCCATCAGAAGATGGAGACACTGTGCTCATAAAGGGATGGACATGGTCAGCAGCAATACTCAGGTAGGCTGTGGCGTTGATGCTCAATTGGTACTAATGGACCCAAAGAAAATCTCCCCCACACCATTACACCACCACCACCAGCCTGAACCGCTGATACAAGGCAGGATGATCCATGCTTTCATGCTGTTAAGGCCAAATTGTGAGCCGAGCATCCGAATGTGTCAGCAGAAATGGAGACTCATCAGAGCAGCAACGTTTCTCCAATCTTCTATTGTCCAGTTTTGGTGAGTCTGTGTGAATTGTAGCCTCAGTTTCCTGTTCTTAGCTGACAGGAGCGGCACCCGGTGTGCTCTTCTGCTGCTGTAGCCCATCCGCCTCAAGGTTGGACGTGTTGTGTGTTCAGAGATGCTCTTCTGCAGAGCTCGGTTGTAACGAGTGCTTATTTGAGTTACTGTCGCCTTTCTATCAGCTGAAACCAGTCTGGCCATTCTCCTCTGACCTCATCAACAAGGCATTTGAGCCCACAGAACTGCCGCTCACTGGATATTTCCTCTTTGTCGGAGCATTCTCTGTAAACCCTAGAGATGGTTGTGCGTGAAAATCCCAGTAGATCAGCAGTTTCTGAAATACTCAGAGCAGCCCGTCTGGCAGCAACAACCATGCCACGTTCAAAGTCTCTCAAATCCCCTTTCTTCCCCATTCTGATGCTCACTCTGAACTGCAGCAGATCCTCTTGACCATGTCTACATGCCGAAATGCAGTGAGCTGCAGCCATGTGATTGGCTGATTATAAATTTGCGTTAATGAGCAGTTGGACAGGTGTACCTAATAAAGTGGCCGGTGAGTGTATATTTGTTGGGAAGATGTAACATTTTTATTACTCTTTACTAATCCGATGAATTGCAAAAAAAAAAAATCAGTTCTGCCTTCTATATGGTGTGTGTGTGTGCGTGTGTAAATCAAAGCCTCCCAGCTCTCAGAACAAAGTAAACACAGCAAGTGTATTTCTGCACACACACACACACACACTATAACCTGCTGTTTTACTCCAAATAAAAGACAGAAACTCTTCAGCACAGGCCTATCTAAGGGTTAATGCTGACAGCTGATGTTCACCAGTACAAATGACTGTCCCTCTTAATCCCAACAGGAAAGCCAGCACCAATCAAGACTGCATGATTACTGTCATGGCTTTACAATCAATAAATGAATTATAACGGAGGTCAATGGGGCAAAAACAGCCCCAACATCACCAACGAGGAGTCAGTCTGAACAGTGTATTGTTGAATTTTTGAACATTTCCAAAGCATTTCCCCCAAAAGGGTTAAATCGCGCGATTTGCGCATAACAGGAAGAAAAGTGAAGAGGCTCCGCTAATCTGATCTCCTCCAGCATCTCTGCCTAATGTAATGTAATGAAGGAGACGGCAGCGACATGAACACGACGCACTGTGCGCATCCCCGGGAATGCCTCTGACAGTCGCGACAGTCTTTACCCCAGCTGAGTGTGTGTGAAGAAGATGAAGAAGCAGAATGTGCGCACTCTGTCCCTCATCCTCTGCATCTTCTCCTATCTGCTGGTGGGCGCCGCGGTGTTCGTCGCGCTGGAGTCCGACACCGAGAGCGCCCGAAAGCGGATGCTGGAGCACAAGCGCGCGGAGCTGCGGAGGAAATACCGCTTTACCGACGGAGACTACCAGGAGCTGGAGCGCGTGCTGCGGCAGGCGGAGCCACACCGCGCCGGCACACAGTGGAGGTTCGCCGGATCCTTTTACTTCGCCATCACCGTCATCACCACCATAGGTGCGGTCCAGGGTTTCACATTCACACAAACAGACATTACATTAAACAGTAAAGCAGGGCTTCACAAAGCGAATGCAGATTAATAATAGTAACAATGTGCCACTGTAATGAGTTCTGAGATGATATTGTGTGAGAAATCGCACGCGTTCAAAACAACATTAGCTCGATTTTACTCACTGTCAGCAGAGTTGAGCTGTGATAGTCATCATTGGCTGATCATATATGATTTAGCTGTTTAGAGTTTAACAACAATATTTTTCTGACATTATATTAGGAAGGTGAAAGTGCGTAAAACTAACTTCACCTCAATGTCTTTTATTTATAGCCCTAATAAATCTACTTGCTCAAAGCATCTCATCATCACATTCTTATTAAGTTAAAGTCTCATTGATTTTACTCTTTTGTCCTTGTCACAGTAGATTTAGCTCAAATGAATACATGCAGTTATAAAATGCCAAAGCAAACTCCAACCTATATATATATATATATATATATATATATATATATATATATATATATATACATTTGAAGTCAGAGTTATTAGCCCTGAATTATTAGACCGCTTGTTTATTTTTTCCCCAATTTCTGTTTAACAGAGAAAAGATTTTTCAACTCATTTCTAAACATATAGTGTTAATAACTCATCTCTAATAACTGTTTTTTTTTTCTCTTTGCCATGAAGACAGTAAACAATATTTTACTAGATATTTTTCAAGACACTTCTACTCAGCTTAAAGTGACATTTGAAGGCTTCACTAGGTTAATTAGGGTAACTAGGTTATTGTAATTAGGCAAGTTATTGTGTAATGATGGTTTGTTCTGTAGACTATCGAGAACAATTTTTAGCTTAAAGGGGCTAATAATTTTGTCACTAAAATGGTGTTTAAAAAAATTAAAACTGCTTTTATTCTAGCCAAAATAAAACAAAAAATACTTTTTTGAGAAGAAAAAATATTATCAGACATACTGTGAAAATTTCCTTGCTCTTTTAAACATCATTTGAGAAATATTTTTTAAAAAGAAGAAAAAAAATTTGAAGGGGGCGAATAATTCTGACTTCAACTGTATGTGTATATATATATATATATATATATATATATATATATATATATATAATTTTATAATTATATAATTATATTTATTCATTTAAAATCTCTGGATTAATCAATGCAATTATGATTTGGAAAACTACATAAACTCTAAATAAATGTTAATTGTATTATTTCATTTAATTATACATTACATTTTTCACTAACATTTACAATTCATAAATTCTATTAAAAAAGTCCACAGTTAAATGGAATAATACAGTTAACATTCAGTTATCTATTAAAATTTACCATTTTAAATGTGTCAGCTGATTTACAAATCAAAATGTAAACATACAGCTGAAGTCAAAATTATTCACCCCCCTTTGATTTTTTTTCTTTACTTCTTCAAATATTTCCCAAATGATGATGAACAGAGCAAGGAAATGTTCACAGTCTGTCTGATAATATTTTTTCTTCTGGAGAAAGTCTGATTTGTTTTATTTCAGGTAGAATAAAATCAGTTTTTAATTTTTAAAACACCATTTTAAGATCAATATTATTAGCCACCTTAAGCTATTAATTTTTTTCGATAGTCTACAGAACAAACCATCATTATACAATAACCTTACCTGCCAAGTTAACCTACTTAACCTAGTTAAGCCCTTAAATGTCACTTTAAGCTGTATAGAAGTGTCTTGAAGAATATCTAGTCTAATATTATTTACTGTCATCATGACAAAGAGAAAATAAATCAGTTATTAGAGATGAGTTATTAACACTGTTATGATTAGAAATGTGCTGAAGAAATCTGCTCTCTGTTAAACAGAAATTGAGGAAAAAAACTCAGACTTCAACTGTACTTTTCATTAACATGTGTTCATTGTAAACGAACCGCGCAGCCTTGGCCAGTGGTCACAAACTCAGTTCCTGGAGGGCCGCAGCTCTGCATAGTTTAGCTCCGACCAGCTCCAACTCACACTTAGCAAATAGCTTAATAGTCTAGTAGTGTTAGGGTGCGTTCACATCTGTAGTTCTGTCGTCTTTTTCACACCACACTGCTGGCTTTGGTCTGGACCAGATGAAAAGAACCAAAATGCAGTCATGTGACAGTCCACATCCCTCATTGGCCAGATGTTGTTGAACATAGTTCCAAAACTGCTTTTCAATTGGTCAGAATTCACATGCGGGAAAATGCCAATGAACTCCCGCAAGTAAACAAACCGGCAGACACGTCACTTTTACTATGGATGTACGACTGCGCTGGCTGAATGTATCCCTGCTCATACTATATAGGGTGTATACATCACTTTAGACAGACTATACATTTGGAGAATGAAGCGCGGCCGCGGCTGTTTTAATGCATCACACGTGCAATCGAAACCTTGATCATCAGTTAGCAGCATTAACGTTAATACAGCATTTTTTGCCGTGTGTTCAACCTAAAAATGAGCAGTCTGTGATGTAACTGTGCCTTGGCAACACTGTCCTGCAGGGTACGGGCACGCGGCCCCAGGCACAGATGCAGGGAAGCTGTTCTGCATGCTGTACGCCGGTCTGGGCATCCCGCTGACCCTGGTGATGTTCCAGAGTCTGGGCGAGCGCATGAACACCGGCGTGCGGTTCCTCCTCAGCCGCATGAAGAGAGCTCTGGGCCTGCAGCGCACCGAGATCTCCACGCAGAACATGGTGCTGGTGGGTGTGCTGTCCTGCCTGGGCACGCTCTGTGTGGGCGCCGCTGCATTCTCACACTTCGAGAGCTGGACGTTCTTCCATGCCTACTACTACTGCTTCATCACGCTCACCACCATCGGCTTCGGGGACTTCGTGGCGCTCCAGAAGAAGGAGGACCTGCAGGAGAACCAGCCGTACGTGCTGTTCAGCTTCATCTATATCCTGCTGGGGCTGACGGTGATCGGGGCCTTCCTCAATCTGGTGGTTCTGCGCTTCCTGACGCTAAACACTGAGGACGAGAAGCGGGACGCAGCGGAGCGGGCATCGCAGCGGGCATCACTGCGGGCATCCTCACTGCGCAAGGCTCCAGCTTTCAGACGGGACAGCCAGACACACAGCCGCACAAACCTGCTGTCCCCGCGGCCCACACCGCACCTGCGCTGGTTCTGCAGCCGCGTACACCTGGATCACACCTCCGCATGCAGAAACACCTGTGCCGGCTGCAGCGTGAGCTCCGTGTCCTGCAGGATTCATGCGGACACTGCGTTCTCCTCCCCGCGCAGCACACTATCTGCTGGACTCAGCTTCACCACACGCAGGAAATCTCTGTAAATATAGTTTGAAGGATCACTGGTTATACTGTTGAGTTCCCTTTCCACGTGTGTGTGTGTGTGTGTGTGTGTGTTTCTCAGTATTGAAGTGGTCATAGTGTGTAAACTCAGAGCACAGTGAAGAGCACAACACATCATTATTTACAATCCTATTAGCCAACATAATGACAGAGAAACTCCAGGATGGTGTGATCAAGACTTTCAGAAGGAGGAAAACTATAGTGTGAGACTGATAACGGCAGCCGGAAGAGAGAATCACGTCAGAGCAGTCCACCACTCAGTGTGCTGACTGAGCACCATTTAAATGGGTAAAGTCTAAAAGAGATACAGCTGCAGATCAGCACATCTATATAGCACAGTTTTTGTGACACTGTACAACAATAATGCATATTTTGACATTACTGTGAGGGTTGGATGTTAATAAAATACGATTTAATAGGTAATTTAATAAATAATAAGAATAATACTGCGTATAATTGCTGTTTTCACATTGCTGTGAGGGTCGGGATTACGGTTAGGGTAGATGTTAATAGAATATAAATAATGGAAAATGTAATAAATGTTATCTTTTTAACTCCCTCTGACAACCTTCCAAGATGAAAGTGAAGACCTGGGGCGGGGGTTGTAGTTTCACGGAGAAAAGTGAACAGCAGGGGAGGGGTGGTTGAGGTTTGCGTGAACAAAAGTGAAGACCTGGGGCGGGGGTTGTAGTGTCACGGACAAAAGTGAACAGCAGGGGAGGGGTGGTTGAGGTTTGCGTGAACGAAAGTGAAGACCTGGGGCGGGGGTTGTTGTGTCACGGACAAAAGTGAACAGCAGGGGAGGGGGTGGTTGAGGTTTGCGTGAACAAAAGTGAAGACCTGGGGCGGGGGTTGTAGTGTCACGGACAAAGGTGAACAGCAGAGGAGGGGGTGGTTGAGGTTTGCGTGAACGAAAGTGAAGACCTGGGGCGGGGGTTGTAGTGTCACGGACAAAAGTGAACAGCAGGGGAGGGGTGGTTGAGGTTTGCGTGAACGAAAGTGAAGACCTGGGGCGGGGGTTGTTGTGTCACGGACAAAAGTGAACAGCAGGGGAGGGGGTGGTTGGGGTTTACGTGAACGAAAGTGAAGACCTGGGGCGGGGGTTGTAGTGTCACGGACAAAAGTGAACAGCAGGGGAGGGGGTGGTTGAGGTTGGGGCGGGGGTTGTAGTGTCACGAAGAAAAGTGAACAGCAGGGGAGGGGGTGGTTGAGGTTTGCGTGAACGAAAGTGAAGACCTGGGGCGGGGGTTGTAGTGTCACGGACAAAAGTGAACAGCAGGGGAGGGGTGGTTGAGGTTTGCGTGAACGAAAGTGAAGACCTGGGGCGGGGGTTGTAGTGTCACGGACAAAAGTGAACAGCAGGGAAGGGGGTGGTTGGGGTTTGCGTGAACGAAAGTGAAGACCTGGGGCGGGGGTTGTAGTGTCACGGACAAAAGTGAACAGCAGGGAAGGGGGTGGTTGAGGTTTGAGTGAACGAAAGTGAAGACCTGGGGCGGGGGTTGCAGTGTCACGGACAAAGGTGAACAGCAGGGGAGGGGGTGGTTGGGGTTTGCGTGAACGAAAGTGAAGACCTGGGGCGGGTATAGTAGCTCCTCCTTTTTGAAAATCAGCCAATAGTGTTTAGTTTTCCTCACATCTCTGACAGTGAGAGTGGTTGAGCTAATGAGAAACAGGGGGTGGGGAATGTAAGGCACTAGAAAGCATTTGATTGGTCAGAAGATTTGATGCAGAAATTAATGATCCATTTAGGAGGATGTGACAAACTGCAAGCTTTGGATGTTTGCATCAGGTTTATATCTTCTAAATGTGAATGTTGTCAGTGTTTTGGAGACGCTATAGATATCCTCAAGACTAACCCACTGATACTAACGTTTTACCAAACACAACACACACTGCAGTATATCCAGACGGCATATTTTAGGCTGACTAGCACATCAAGGCAGAAATCAGAATGCCGGAGAGACAAATCTGCTCACCGTTGTGCCTTTTTTTAATAGTAACTTGTATGCTTATTCATTTGGGCACTTACACTACATCTCTGATCAGAAATATATATCAAAAATCAACCATAATACAAATATTACAATTATAAGGGGTGTGTGTGTGTGTGTGTCAGCAGTGTGTGTGTGTATCTCCAGCAGCGGTCTCTAATGCTGATCATGAGTTAATTGTGTTTGTTCTTGATGCAGAAACACTTTGATTGACATTCTCCCTTTCTACATGTCATTAGAGGGGGAAAGCCCCGCCCACTAGTGCCCATCTCTCCATCTCATTAGCATAAACAGCAGCCCTGAGTGAGAAGCAGCCATCTGTCCTTTAGCCATTAGAGTGTTTGAGCTGCTGAAGATCATGTCAGCATAGACTAAGAGGATTATAGATGTGGAGTTCTAGATGAACAGAGACAGGAGTGACAGACTGACAGAAACATCAAGCACACACTGCTGTTTCACATCTGTCTGTAGCTCCGCCCTCTTCTGAAAAAGAGCACAATCTCTTTTGCATTTAAAGCGACAGTCACCAAAACGCCACAATTAGGACCAAAGCCTGAAAGGGTCAGTTTGAGAGCTGGAGAACATCATTATAATTACTCAAACACACCCACTAAAAACTGCATATTACAGCTTGTACAAAGAGATAGAATAGGTCTCTTTTAAAATTGATGAACACAGCTGGGAAACCATTGTTTTTAGTGCTGTATGTACATAAAGCCGGGCTGTTGTAACCAAATGTTGGGTCAAATATGGACCAATCCAAGGTTGGTTGAACTATGTTCCTTTAAATGACACTTTTTATACCAGTGGTTGGGTTTGCTCATCTTCAGTTCAGTTCACCTGACATTATGTTGGCGATGAGCGTATGGTTGCATGTCATGTACACTTGATATAATGAAGGATTTTCACCTTTGGCTGTGCTTATTAATTATTGTGGTTTTAAATGGTTTGTTCAGTTGATTAAACTACAAATTAAAGGGATAGCTCATCCAAAACTTAGTCATTGTTTCCTCTCACTTTACATGATTGAAACCTCCTGTTGAACATGAAAGATGATATTTAGAAGAATGCTGAAAACCGGTAACCATTGACTTCCAGTGGGTGTGTTTGATTAGCTTTTGATAAAAGGAAAGCAATGGCTAGTTTTCAACATTCTTCTAAATATCTTCATGTTTAACAGGAGCATCTCTACATGGTCATGTGATCTCTACAGGAGCAGATTTAGTGTTTGATGGCCATCCTGACACCTCTGACAGGAGGGGATGAGCAAAAACAGCATGACGTGTTAAACACACGTGTGTGTGTGCGCATATGCTATAATCTCATATTCATCTGTGGTGTTTGTAACCGGATCATGTCCGAGTTGTTTTCTGACACGTTTTTATCTTGATGCTCTCCTTTTCTGAAATATCCTGAGTGGGCGGGGAGAAGCAGCTCATTTGCATTTAAAGGCACAGGCGCAAAAACAGCTACACAATAATGTGCATTTCTAGCAGAGTGCGCTAAATCCCCTGATGGACATTGAGATTAAACTTCAGCCACATTTTGGAGACAATTTTACATCAATTGGATCCCTTTAAGTAGTATTAACATGTCCTCGAACTAGTTTTGGCAGGTCTGTGAAGCACTGTGTTGGTAAGGTGCTATAGAAATAAAGCTTGACCACTGATTTTTTTAAGTAAACCCATTCCAATGATGGAAAAATAAATTTATACACAAGTATTGCATAAAAAGCTTTTGCAGAAAGTGCATCACTCAAAACACAGGCTCAGGATTTCCATTCTTGGGTTTATTAACAATCACTATAAAGCACAAGACCCCTTTTATATTTACACCAAACAAAAACCAAACCAAACCAAACTAAAAAGAAAGCATTGGGGATCACAGACCAGAGCGGAGGCATCTGCTCCATCTAAATGTAGATTTCTTTTTTTCAGTTAAGCCGAATCACGTCGGCCATAAATAGAAATAAAAGTGCCACCCCAATTCAAAACATCCGCCGATAGGCTAAAGTGCGAGTTCATGTAGCGGGGCTTCTTCACATTAATCAAAAATAAGGATGAAGGCCATCAACAATAAAACGAGAAACAGCATGGCCTTCTCTTCCAGGAGTGCTGGAGCAGGACGAGGAACCAGGAGTTTAGAAAACGAGATGAAGATCAGAGCAGGAGATCTGGAGGAGGAGGAGGAGGAGGAATATACAGAAGAGCACGGTTATATCACAGCACTGCATTTCACTGGCAAGGGACACTGTGAAGATATAAATGCTTTATTGATGCAAAATTAATTTAAACACGGTTATTCCCTACACCAGGCGTGCCCAAACTCTGTCCTGGAGGGCTGGTGTCCTGCATATTTTAGTTAAACACACCTGAACATGCTAATCAAGCTCTAGGTATACTAAAACTTCCAGGCAAGTGTGTTGATTGAAGTTGGAGCTAAACTATGCAGGACATCGGCCCTCCAGAAATGAGTTTGGACACTCTTGCTGTTCACCGATTAGACACTTGAATAGGCATGGGTTTCAACGATAAAAGAAAATCCACACTAATAATAATAATAATAATAAATAATAATAATAATAATAATAATAATAATATGCTCTTGACACATGAAAGTGTCAGGCCTGCAGCCCATAATAAGTGTAAAGTCATAGTGTACATCATTTAACTACAGATTTGATGTAGTTTTGCTCACATGGATAATTGAATATTAATTAGGTGATGTCATTACGCTGCTGTGCCGTCAGCCAATCAATACATGTTGCTTCACAACACACAGATCGATCAGTTCATCCAGACATTTTCATCTGATTCACGAACTTGCTTGAAAAACCAAGTTAGCCAGAGATCAGTTATCAAGATTAACAGATCCAGGATCTGCCAAATCATCGAAGACCATTTAAGCAAGACTCAAAGAACAGAGCCCAGTGCTTTATGCAAATTTAACAAGTTTGCATGAACTAAAAACGTCAGGTACGGCACATTTAACCATCATTTACAAAAATGTAAGCCATTTATCTTATCTAATAACACAAAGCCAGTTTGGATCCTCAATAACCCCAAATAGTCAATAACCAAATCTGGCTAACGGAGTAACCTACATATGAAAAACAGGCCCCAGTATTTGAAGCTCTACTCAAACACACAGCAAAAAAATAATAATAATAATAATAATGTCAGACTTTGTATGTTTTGTGCAAATGTCTAAATTCCTAAGCACTTTATAGACAAGCAAAAATATTCTAACATTAAAGTGAAATCATTTAAGGAATAAGGAAAGCATTTGTGTTGCGGTAAACCTCTGCGCACACTCAGACTCACTCATGGTGTGTGTTTCACACTCGTGCGCTGCCTGCTCTGTGTGTGAGCGTGCGCTGTGCTGCTCCTCTGCCCCGCCGGCCACCAAATCCCCGAAATCCTCCAGCTCTCAGATAGCGGCCGGGAACACCAAACGTCTCCACATTCAGCTTGCGCTCCTCCGCCCACGTGGTTCGCCTAGGGAGGAAACACACACACTGCATAGTGAACAACTATAAACGAGGATGCTTCATTTACACAACAGGCTTGCAGAGGAGAAATCAGCTTTATTTTCTGCAGTAACTGAGCTAGAATGATCTCTACAGCAGCAGATTCACTGTTCGGTGGCCATCCTGACACCGGAGAAGATGAGCAAAAACAGCACAACACATGAAACGCATGTGTTAGTGTGTGCACATGCTAACGCAGCAGTATGCGCATCTCGTATTCATCTCACTGTGGTATTTGTGACTGTGGATCGTGTCAGAGTTCTGTGTTTATTCTAATATCTGAAGCTGATTTTCCTTGTCTGAAATGTCCTGAGAGTGGGCGGGGAGAAGCAGCTCATTTGCATTTAAATGCACATGCTTAAAAACAGCGACACTACCCACAAACTGACATTTGCAGCAGGATATATTAACTTAGAGAAAGTTGATGTACCTGGAGCGGAGCTCAGAGGAGATGTTGTCGAAGAAGCTCTTGGCTTTATTGTAGAAGCACTTCGGGCCGAGAGGATCGTCTTCAGCGGCGCTCTCATGTTCAGAGTCCTGTTTCTGCTGCTCCACCGCACTGTGCTCCTCTGGAGGAGATCTGGGCTCTGACAGAACAAACAAACACTCAATTCTGCACAGAAAGATGCAACTTCTTTTCCTCCAGTGTTTAACCCTTGTGTGTTGTTCAGATGGACTCCTCTTTGGTGGTGTTTGTGGCTTTGACTTTCATTATACTGTAAATCCCATTTGTTGATTGCAAAAGCCATGACAGCATATAATTATGCATTCTTGAGAAGAGGTAGTTTGGACAAACCTCAGCAAAATTACCAAATTAATGCGATTACAATGAAAGTGAATGGGGCAAAAACAGTCCCCAACATAACCAAAGGAGAGTCAGTTTGCTCAGAGTGTGTTGTTGAGTTTAACATTAAAGCATTTTCCAAAATGTGTGAAATTAAGGATTTAGCACCAAAAGTTACTCCATTTGCTTCAACACAGAAAGTTGTGGCCAAATTAAGACTCAAAAATCAGCCCAGAGTGGATGAAAAATGACCCAACAGCAGGGGTGTCCAAACTCTGTCCTGGAGGGCCGGTGTCCTACATATTTTAGTTCCAACCCCAATTAAACACACCCGAACCAGCTAATCAAGCTCTTACTAGACATACTAGAAACTTCCAGGCAGGTGTGTTGAAGCAAGTTGGAGCTAAACTATGCAGGACACCGGCCCTCCAGGACAGAGTTTGGACACCCCTGCCCAACATCAAGGGTTAAAAGATTGGTTCACAAACATAATAGCCTCATTTACTTCATCTCCTTCTGATTATACTGAAAACAGGCATGTAGACTCATTTTTGGCATGTTAAAAAAAAAATGAACTGAAGGACGTTGGAAACCCGCAGCCCTTGACAGCAATAGAACAACAACATCCACCAGTCGATCCTCCAGTTTGACCAGAAGACCCTGCATGCACCTGGTAATAAGACGCATAAACTTAAATCGGATTACTTTCGATGTTGTAAAATGTTTGTTAGACTAATTTTGGAAAACAAACTGCATGTATACACATTAAAACTGCAGAACAGAGTTTGCATAATGTTTTTACTCAGACACATGATTAAATTACTTCTACTGCTCTACAATATTAGCTAAACTAATTCTATATACAGCACATATAAAGCCTACATGTTAAAATGAGGACAATTTCCCCTAATTAGAGTCGATCAAAAATAAAACAGCCTAAATTAATCCAAGACTAAAGGTCTCGCACTCAATTCCTGGAGGGCAGCAGCTATGCACATTTGCTCAAACCCTTTAACACAGCTTATCCAACTCAGTGGTGTCTTAAACACCTCAATCTAACACCCTATGATCTCAGGCTGTTTACACTGGTAGGTAAATGTGATCCAGATCAGACCTGCTCTATTACCGTAAACACGAAAAAATGCATGCATTGTATATTCAGAGAACGGTTTCAGGCCTCCTTCATATGTGGAAATAAATCCGATATGACAATGTGACTCGTGTAAACAGGCAGATCAGATGTGTTGAGGCAATCGGTTTTGTACATCATTAAACTTGCAGCAGTGTGGTGCTTCAGCAGTTTGATGACGTAGAAAGAAGAGCGTGTGTGTGTGGAGACACATGCGGTAAACAACCGAGGAAACATGGAGGATGAAAGTGGTCATTCATGGCAAAAGTTACCTGCCTAGTCCTATAGAGAGAGGATTCAGTTCAAGATAAAAGGTCCTACAGAAACAAATTCCTCTGAATGCTGGAGGCTAGAATTAATGAGAGTCTCCTGTCCACTAGCGACCGAATCAATGAAAATGCATCTTAATATCAGGTGCAAACACCTCAAACTGGGTAAAAAAAAAAAAAAAAAAAAAAAAAGTGGACAGAGTGAAGCGAGATCTCATGTTGAACTAAATTAAACCCATTTTAGTGTTAAGCACCATATTAAGGGCACTCGCTGTAGTGTTTAAGGAGAGTCTGGACTGAACTGAATACCTTGAACGCTGTTCTGGTCTTCGATCTCTTTCTCCAGGTCATCCTTGTTAAACTGAGCATTCGCCGTTTCGAAGTCGAAGTCCGCCTCGAACTGCAGGGTGGAGGGTTTGGTGCTGCCTACGAGAAGCTGCCCCTGACCACGGTTCCTGGACCGGCGGGTTCCTGAAAGAGTTTAGAGGATGATGTGCACTGCAGAACTCTTGAGTTTGGGTGCGTCCCAAATCACAATTAATGCATTCAGACTGAAATGCTCTCAATATTAAAATGAATGAAGTGCATCATCTGGGTAAAGAGCACGGACAGTTCATGCACTCAAAGTACAGATGAAATCTAAACCAAGCATAGTGATGTTGTGAGCTCACATTGCTAGTTCTGTGCTGAACAGTTCATCTGTGCATGTCATTAACAACAAAACAATAGTTTGCCCTTGCCATCAATGTTAAATAAAACCCTCTTACCTGGTTTTCTTCTGCTGGTTGGAGGCTTGTTCTCATTATTAGCTGGACTCTGGCCCTTTAAGACTGCTTGCTGTGCAGATGAACTATCTGCAGACCAGAGAAAAGCAAACACAGAAAACATTAAGATAGTTTGTGTGGGAATCTACCTGTGCCTTCCAGATCATCCCCCGCTCTCAGCAGGCTCTCGTTTAGAAATGTGGCGTACTGGAAATGTGCACGAGTCACTTCACACGCATAACTTGTGATCCATAAAACCAACTAGACTGGAGAATGAGTAGCTGTCAGTAAACGCATTTAACTTGTATTGACTTCAGTAGTTAATGTTGAAGCACTTATTACAATTTGATTTGTTCTGCCGTACTCTTAGGAAGGTTTCTCTGCAAAGCTTGAATGAGAGCGCAGCGTTGAGGGCGGAGCAATATGAAGATATAGATTTGGTAATTTGTCATTATGGGGATGCAGACAGAAACCTGAATAATGGCAGTGGGAGAAAATAGCTGTCTTGAAGTACAATACACACACAAGCAAAAATATTTAGGTGGATCAAAAAAAAAAAAAAAAAAAGTTATTTATTCCAAAGAGCAGAACGGGTGTTCAATAGTTTTAGGACAACTTTGATAAAAGGATTCGATCCACTTAAAAATGTTGACTACTGAATACCATTACATTTTAAATCAAACATTTGCCCTGAAGATCTAAATAAAGTGAGAAATATCACATATGAATGAGTGCATTTCTAAATATACACACACACACTTTAAAAAGTAAATAAGACAGTCCTTTCTATGGTCAATACAACAGAGAGAATTTACAGAAATGGAACTAAGGTGGAGTATATGGCTATCAGGATAAGAGAAGAGTTGTATGCCGATATGAGATTGTCATGCGAGCAGCTCCAGCAGGGTCTGAGGACACGTCCACTGGGATTTTAGAAACCATTTTTCTACATAAAACCAACAAAAATAAAATAGAAATTTAAAATAAACAAAAAATAAAAAATAAATAATTTCAAAGTAAAAAAAAAAAAAAAAAAAAAAAAAAAAGGAAACAAAACAATTACATTAAAAATAAATAAAAACCAAATAAACACCTAAAATAATAATAAAAACAAAGACAATTAAAAAAAATAATTTATTAAAATACAATTAAAAATTAAATAACAAAATTAAACAAGTTAAAAATATAAGTGTGAACAAAGTAAATGAACAATAAAAATCATTAAAAAAAACATTAAAATAAAAGCAAACTAAATAACAAAAATACAATAATATAAATAAAAATGCATATAGAGGAACAAATAAAAAAAAGTAAATAAAAAAATAGTAATTTAATTAAATAAATTTAATCAATACATAAATACAAAAAACAATTATTAAAATAAAATAAATAAATAAAATCACATAAAAACACAGATCCACACAGTGGCGCATGATAAGAGCCCACTTAACCAACAGGGGGCAATAAAAGCTTTTATGCTGGTTCACACTAATTGCAGGATTATGTTTGAGTACATTACATACAAGAGTTAATGCAAACAAAAGAGCAGCGGCAGATTAATGCAGAGCCAATAACAGAGCCGGACTCATGTGAACGTGTGGAACTAGCATCAAATCACATCTCCTGTGATTAGTGTGAACCCAGCAGTGTCAGCCAATCGGAAAGCAGAAAACAGCACACACTGACGTCACGAGAAAAAAAAAAAAAAAAAAAAAAAAAACGATTCAATATCCAAAACAACCACACTGAGTTCACACTCAGACTTCCAGAAAATCTGCACCTGACCAGAAAGTTGATCGCACAATACTGCGTTTTCATGAGGACCAACTAAATGAGCAGCTAATAAACGGTGATTTGACAGTGTACCTCCTCTCTGTGCTCTGGCTCCTCTCTGCGCTCCACCCTGCTGTCCTCCACCCAGACTCTTCTTCTGCTGCTGCTGCTGCTGCGTCTTCTCTGCCGGCACAGTCTGCACCGCCTGCTCCACCATCGGGCCTCTCCTACCAGAAACACCATGCAGACCTGACACAGAGGAAAAACACCCTTATACACATCTACATCCAAACAGACCCGACACACAGCAGAACACCGGTCACACTCATACACATGTACATCCATGAACAATCAACACACACCGCTGCTTTTTTAGCTCCATCTCATAGCTTGGTGTGTCACTGGCTGTTCACCACACACAGAGCTGCATAATATATTGTGATAACAGCACATACACATTACACACACAGAGACATGTAACAGGACATTCAATGCATCGGTTGTTTATACAAATTTGACCACTCAGATGGGGCCTTGCCACCTTTAGCCCCGCCTCCCCAGTAGCTGCTGTTCTGCTATTAGCTGATCCAAGAGCTGAATATGAACACTAATGGGCGGAGTCGAGAGGAGAACAAAAAAAATTGACAACAGCAAGTTTAGAAATGTAAACGTTAATTTTTTTAATAAATTGACGGCGCTAAATTTATATTATTATTTTTATTATTATTACTACTACTACTACTACTACTACTACTACTACTAACAATAATAATATTTTTATTATTATTATTATTGTTTATTTTTTATAATTTTTTAGCCAATCAGTATCAGAACATCTGAATATCAGGTTTATACTCAAAGTGTTCCACCAAGCAGCACACAAGGGTTATTTTCATCCACACTAGGCTGATTAGGAGTCTTAATTTGGCCACAGCTTTCTCCGTTTCAGCAAATGGGAAGATTTTTACTGACATATTCTGGGAAAACGCTTTAAATCTTTTAAATTCCTTAAAAAGGGGACCTTTTTGCAGTTATACACCTTATTCTCCCACTTTAAATATGATATTAAAATACTGCAATTTAAGCACTATTTATAGCGGAATAAGCTTGTTGCATGGTCATCATAACCAAACTTTGATGTACCAAAAATATTTCCTATAGATTTAGTATAATAATAATAATAAAAAAAACAACAACGATAATAATAAATATTAATAATAATAAAACAACAACAACAACAACGATAATAAATATGAAGAAGAAGAAGTAATAATAATAATAATAATAATAATAATAATTATAAAAACAATAATAATTAAAACAATAATAAACTACGATAATAAATAATAATTATAAAAACAACAATATAATAACAATAATAAAACAATAATAATAAAATAATAAAAAATATTAATAATAATAATAATAATAATAATTATTATTATTATTATTATTAAGAAAATAATAATAATGATAATAATAAACAAAAAGTGATTTAATAATAATAATAATAATAATCATAAACAACAACATGAATAATAATAATAATAAACAACAACGACGATAATAAAACAACAATAATAATAATAATCATAATAATCATAATAATAAAAACAATAATAATAATAAAACAAAAAAACAACAACGACGACAATGATAATAATAATAATAATCAACAATAATAATAATAAAAAACAACAACAACAACAACGATAATAAATAAGAATAATAATAATAATAATAATAATAATAATAATAACAACAACAACAACAACAACAACAACAACAACAACATTAATAAATAAATAAATATATATAAAAACATTCGTCATTAGAAAAAATTATGTATGGGACAAATTCTGGACCTTTGTTAGTAAAGGATAGGTCTTCTGAGCCACCAGAACCAACTAAAAAAATTAATACATTAATAAAAAAATCCTTATAATGAAAGTCAGTGGTAATGCTATTTCAATTCTCTGCATGTCCTGCACATATGGTTGAATTAACAATAAAGCTGACTTTGAATTAATAAAAAACAGAGCTAATAAAATGAAAGGGAAATGTTATACCCTAATAAACAACATTACAAAACTCAATTGCACTTATTTCCAGCATCTTCACACAGACAGACAGATTCACTGACCCAAACCCAGCGCTGCGGCGTACTGCTGGCTGAACAGAGAGCTGGCCGCCAGCTGGTTGTATGCAGGCAGGACTCCTCTGTACGGGCTGTAGCTGCTCTGGGACGGGTAGTGGACGGAGGACGTCCCGACAGAAGACTGATGAACACAAAACACATCAACACTGAAATATATTGGGGAGAATTAAAGGCATGGCTCATCCAAAAGTGAAGATGTCCTGTTACTTTACTCAACCACAGGTCATCCAAGACTGAACCTGCTTCATACAATGGCAGTGAATGGTGACAGCTTTATTAGACAACAAAAACATACAAAGTGTCCAAATCAATAGTCGAGGCTTCTGATGACACTCAGCTCTGTGTAAGAATCCAGTCACTTTAATGATGAAAGTGCTAGAGCAAGCAATTGGACGGGAGGTCAGGTGATGTTGCCAGATATTGCTGATTTCATCACCAGCTGTTGTGCTTTCACATTAAAAGCCACAGGACCACGGTCTGACTACATTCACACATGCAACTGTATTGTGCATTAATGTTTAATTTCGCTTCACAAGAGCTCAGTGTGTCATCAGGAGCTGTTTGGACTGGTTTGCATGCGTTTGTTAATGTAATAATTCGGTCACCATTCACTGCCATCACATGAAGCACCAAACACCACAGATTCAGCTCAACATCTGCTTTATTGTTCTGCTGAAGAAAACAAGTCACCTACCTGTACATCTTTGATGACCTGTGGGTGAGTAAATTTAGGACATCTTCATTTTTTGGTGAACTACCCCTTTAAGGGAGCAGTTCACATCCAGAATTGTTGGTCACCACTGACTTCCACAGCATGTGTCGTACTATTAAAGGTAACGGTGACCAACTGGATTAGGGCTGGGCAATATGACCATCTCATCATCTGTCTATTTAAATTAATTTATAAAATCACATTGAATAAAATGTAAAAGGAATATTTATTTTTTATATTTTAAAATGTACATGAAATGAGAAATATTTCTCTTTATTTATAACTTGAGCAAATTTAGAAATGTAAACGTTAATTTTTTTAATAAATTGACAGCGCTAAATTTATATTATTTTTATTATTATTACTACTACTACTACTACTACTAATAATAATAATATTATTATTATTTTTTTATTATTTTTTAAATTATTTTATTATTATTATTATTTATTTTTATTAATAAAATGTACATGAAATGAGAAATATTTCTCTTTATTTATAACTTCTGAGCAAATTTAGAAATGTAAACGTTAATTTTTTTAATATATTGACAGCGCTAAATTTATATTATTTTTATTATTATTACTACTACGTATAATAATAATAATATTATTATAATTTTTTAATTATTTTTTTTATTATTTTATTATTATTATTATTATTTATTTTTATTAATAAAATGATAAAATTATAATAATAATAATAAAAATAATAATAATAATAATAATAATATTTTATTATTATTTTTATTATTATCATTTGTTTTTATTATTTTTATTATTATTATTATTATTATTATTATTATATTTTATTTTTATTATTATTATTTATTATTATTATTATTATTATTATTATTATTATTAATAATTTTTTTATTATTTTGTATTAAATATCATGTTCCAATAATAATATATAATTAAATTAAATCTCACAAAACAAATGTACAGGTCCAACATAAAAATCAAAATGTCCTAAATGAAATGTTATACTTAATAACAGCATCGAAGAGGCAGTCTCGTTTCTTTCTGCATCCCTGTAATGGAGTTTAATATTGTGCTCATGTAAATTATGGAAAGGCATCATCATAGACTATGCATTGTGACAGCACAGAACAAATAAAGCATAATGAAATGGCAAACTCTGTCCACATGATCTACATCATATTGCACAGCCCTGTGTGGTAACGTTTGAAGATTAAACACTATGGCAAGCCTAACTGGCTTTAATTGCATTTTCAATAGTAAGAGTTTAATTAGATTTCTTTAATTTCTTACCAGTAGCTATGCAATTATGACGAGCCACCCTGGGTGCAGATTAAATCTACGTTATACAAGCCGTAGAATGCATCTCTGCCGTCTCTAAAGTGCATTATATCATGATGTTCTCCAGCTCTCTGAAACGGACCCTTTCAGGCTTTGATCCTGATTGTGGAGTTTTGGAGACTGTCACTTTAAATGCAAATGAGATTGTGCTCTTTTCAGAAGAGGGCGGAGCTAGACAGATGTGAAACAGCAGTGTGTGTATTGGCTAATGGACAGACGGCTGCTTCTCAATCAGGGCTGCTGTTTATGCTAATGAGATGGAGAGATGGGCACTAGTGGGCGGGGCTTTCCCCCTCTGATGACACGTACAAAGGGAGAATGTCAATCAAAGTGTTTCTGCATCAAGAACAAACACAATTAACTCATGATCAGCATTAGAGACCGCTGCTGGAGATACACACACACTGCTGACACACACACACCCCTTATAAAAGTGATTTCTGCATAATTTAAGCTAATTTGTCCTGCCATAGTGTTCCTCCACTTTAAAACCTGAAGGAAGTGCACTCTACATGGATTATAACACACACCTGGACAATAGCAGGGTCTTGAGGCAGGCCGTGGTGGACCTTCAGAGGCTCACAGACTGTAATATCCTTGATATCGCTCCCTCTGAAGATTATATACTCGAAGATCTCATCTCTCGCCGGGACAGGGCGATCTGTGGGACGGCCCTCGGTCCCGAAAGACCTCACTGACACAAACCAGAACAAGAGAAACCTCAATAATCTCAGAGATCATGAAGGAGATTAACATCAGTCTGCAGGATCTGGCTCATCATTAGACACGTGCAATCTGCAAGGACAGATATCTGCTGATGATTAGCCCATTATTAGAGTATTTACTGACTACTTGCATAGTTTTTGTCTTGTTTCTAGTCTAAATATCTAATTTCTTGATTAAATTTAGCCAAATTTAGTTTTTCCTTAAAATAAGTACAATAATCTGCTAATGGGGCATGATCATCTGTTTTTTCCTGTTGACATTCTGCTTACAGGACTGGCAGGTTTAGCTTCAGGAAAAACTCACTTCATTTTGACTCATTTCTGAAAACAAGACTTTACTGGTGTCAAAACTTGTTTATTTTTTGTTTTTTGCTCGACTTACGAATCTTTAGATATTTTGTTTTTAAATTTAGATATTTTACTCCAAGTAAGAATTGCAGTGAGTCTAACTATTTATTGAGTTTATTTTAAGTTGAGTAAACTTATTATACGATATATACACAGTTTGTTAAGTATTATTTTTAGTCTTTCAGTAGATAAACCACATGAGACTTGCTTTGTTTATCAAACAGATGGAAATAACTGGATTTACACTGTAAACCTCAAGTTAAAGCTTTTTTTATAACCCATGCATTAAGATTAGTTACTATACTGACAAACTGCTCAACTTTTTGCTGCAGTTCTGTGCAGAAATTTAGAAAAATGTCCGCAGATTCTATCTGCTCATCACCGAATGCTGTTTAATGTTATTGTAAATTTTTTAGTGTTACGGCGTTTCCCATGAGTAGGCACCCACGAGATCTGCACATGCAGAAATCTGCAGAATCACGCACATTTTTATCCCATTATTGATTTGTTTATTGTATAAATGTGTACATTTATATTCAGTTTTTAAATGAATTTTAGTGATATTGATTAATATGAAAATGTTCATATGATTTATTCGCAATACAGTGTGTAAAGTCATATTTACTGTCTTTTAGTGGAGATATTATATGAGAGACTTGCTTTGTTTACCTAATAATGTGGATCTAATTGGATTTGCATCGTAAACATTAAATAAAAGTTAAGCTATTACATTTAATTTCACACATTAAGGTTTTAGTTATGATACCTCCAAAATAATTCCACATAAATCTGCAGCTTTAACAAAATTCTGTGGAGAAATAGCACAAAAATGTCTGCAGATTCCGTCTGGCCCTACCCATAGGTTATCATTACCCTTATGAAGACATGCATTTGCTGAAACACATGGGTGCAGTTTAAACGGAATAACCATGTTTATTATGCCTTTTAAATAATTTTTTTTACTTTTTTGCTAAGTACCTTGGACTAATTTTTCTGCTTATCTTCATGTATCCCTTACCCAAAGAGGGCCAACACATTAATTACCCCTGAAGCACTTTGATTTTGGATTTTCATGGAAAAATAGTATTATCATATCTGATTGAGGTGAAGTTGGTTTTATATTTGTACATTCGGATTTTCTGCCTGATATTATAACTCCAGAAAAGTTTTATTTGCAAACTGCAAATAGGTCAATCATCAAGCAGCCAATGACTGTCAAAGTACAAGATTATTGGTCATTTAAATAAAATTAAAAGTTGGTTTTATATTTGCACATTTCTTCATGTTAACAGTACCTATATTGTTTACAATGCTAATTTTAATGAATGGTTGTTCTGTAATGATATGCAAGTATGACTTTCAAGCAACATCAGGTTGAGGTTAAGTTGGTTTTATATTTCCATATTCTGACTTTCTCCTCAACATAATTTCGGAAAAACATTTTAAATGTGTAAATCATATGATCAGCCAATGACTATCAAAGTTTAACACAGCTGACAGTCAATGAAATAGTGTTGATGTTGTTTTGATTTCTGCTTTACGTTTTTAAATGAACATCAAAGCGCGAATGTGCGAAAATAAAACCAACGTCACCTCATTATTACACGTTTGCTGGGAGTCCTGTACCAATATGGCGGTGGTAACGTACTGACGCATGCTATGTCTAAAGTATATCATGGGCCATTGGGAAAATTAGAAAAGAGTATATACACGGCTGTGAACACCTGATGTTTGAAGGAGTAAATTACAGACGGTTAAAACAGTGCACCTGTAAAGACTCACCTTTCGCCAGGGCCACAGTGGAGTTATCGGTGTCGATGGTGTATAATATTCCCTCATAGCGAATCTGCGCTTTAGAGATCAGGCTGATCTTACTGCCGATGTAGGGAGTTCCGCTGCTCATTCTCTCAGCTTATCACACACTTTCTGGAGATTAAACACACTCAAACTGCCTGTTCAGATCAGCAGCTGTAAAACTAACATCATAATTACACTCCTAAACATATATGCTCTAGTCTGGGAAAACTACGCGTCGGTGAGATTTATAGAGATTATTTTCCCCGCCCTCCATTACAGCCGCAGCACCTGAGCCGCATTTCACCTTCAAACACTCGCACATCATTATATTATATTATATTATATTATATTATATTATATTATATTATATTATATTATATTATATTATGTAATAATATTTTTATATTATATCGTATGTTATGCTATATTATATTATATATTAAAATATTATTTTATTATTATGTTATTCATTCATTCATTTTCTTATTGGCTTAGTCCCTTTATTAATCTGGGGTCGTCACAGCGGAATGAACCAGCAACTTATCCAGCACGTTTTACGCAGTAAAACTCTCATTCACACCAAGATTCACACTCATACACTACGGACAATTTAGCCTACCCAATTCACCTGTACCGCACATCTTTGAACTGTGAGGGAAACCGGAGCACCCGGAGGGAGAATATGCAAACTCCACACAGAAACACCAACTGCTCCAGCCAAGGCTCAAACCGGCGACCTTCTTGCTGTGAGGCAACCGTGATGCCCCAAAATATCAAACAGTATTATTGAAGCGATATGATGTGATTGATTTATTAAAGCTGTGGGTTATGATTTAACCATTTAGTTTATGAGAGAATAACTGGACAGATGTAGGACTACTGGAATTCATTATTTTTATTGATTAAACGGAGGAATAGAGAGTTATACATGAAACAGTATACAAGCGAATTAACAACAAACTACAATCATGTACATTAAGTATTTTTAACATGTATTAAGAGCTTTGGGATGTGTAATTTCTGATTTTTCTCTGCTTTTTTTAAGGGTTCAGGTTGATGGTATTTCCCTCAGCAGTTGGTGGCGGTAATGGATCAGAAGTTTAGTGCAAACCGCCGAAAACACACGAAGAAGAAGCAGAGTCGCTCCTGGTAATGTCATGTTGACTTTAGTGGACGCTGTGTTGTCTTGTTTACACGCTAGCTTGATGAAATAACAACAGCGCTTCCTTAACATAACACACACGTTACCGCCGGGTCTCCGGTTCGGTTCTCCGATATGTTTGTGCGGCTGAAGATCCTGCAGAGGAGCGGGAGGACTGTGCGGGAGGCGCTGCTGCAGCGGGAGAAACACACACACACGCTGGAGGAGAGACTGTCGGAGAAGAAACTGGTACACACACACACACACACACACACACTTGTAATGATGTTTTTTACTGCACAGGCTGTATAATCTCTCCTCTCCCCCTTAAACTCAACCATGTTCTCCCAGACATGAGTGTGTGTGGATGTTTCCCAGAGATGGGTTGCGGCTGGAAGATCATCCGCTGTGTAAAAACGTGCTGGATAAGTTGGCGGTTCATTCCACTGTGGCGACCCTGGATTAATAAAGGGACTAAGCCGACAAGGAAATGAATGAATCTCTCTCGCTCACACACACACACACACACACACTCACACACACACACACACACACACACACACACACACACTCTCTCTCTCTCTCTGACCCCTCTGCTTGTGTCCTCATAGAGCCGGTGTTTTGTGGACCAGCGGCGGGTGCGTCTGCAGGCCGGGTCGGGTGGTAAAGGAGCCTCCAGCTTCCACAGTGAACCACGTAAGGAGTGGGGCGGTCCGGATGGAGGAGACGGCGGCGCTGGCGGACACATCATCATCAGAGGTCAGATTCACAGCAATACTTGTGCTTATTGTTAGTGAGGTGTGCACCTGCCTGTCCTCACTCCTCCTCCTCCTCCTGTACAGTGAACCGGCAGGTGAAGTCTCTGTCCAGCGTGTCGACAGTGTATCGGGGCAGAGATGGAGAGGCAGGAGGCAGCAAAAACTGCTTCGGACGCAACGCCAACCCCACATACATCTCTGTGAGTTACACACACTCTCTCTCATACACACACACACACACACACAGAGCAGCATGTAGAGTGTGTGTGTTGTGCTGTTTTCCGCACAGGTTCCAGTGGGTACAGTAGTCAGGGAGCAGGGTGTTGTGCTGGCGGATCTGTCCCAGCAGGATCAGCAGGTGACGGTGGCGTACGGCGGCGCGGGGGGGAAGGGGAACCGCAGCTTCCTGACCAATGAGAACCGAGCGCCGATGAGGGCCACTGAGGGACAACAAGGCCAGCAGAGGGAGATTCAGCTGGAGCTGCGCACCATGGCCCACGCCGCACTGGTCAGCACACACTCACACACACACACACACTCACACACACACGTCTCAGGCCCCATTTACACCAATACATTTTCATTTTAAAATTTACATTTAGTCATTTAGCGGACGCTTTTATCCAAAGCGACTTACAAATGAGGACAAGGAAGCAATTAACACAACTATAAGAGCAACAGTGAATCAGTGCTGTAGGCGAGTTTCAGGTGTGTAAAGTGTAAGAAGCAAAACATTAGTCATTTTTTTATTTATTTATTATTGTGTTTTTTTCTATAGTACAGTTAGCGGTGGAGCCAGAGAGGCGATTGCAGATTAGGAGGGGAAGTGGAGACTAAATAGTTTTTAGTGGTTTCTTGAAGACAGTGAGTGACTCTGCTGTTCTGATGCAGTTCGGGAGTTCATTCCACCTACTGGCCAGATTGATGGCGAGAGTTCGGGAAAGTGATTTCTTCCCTCTTTGGGATGGAACCACGAGGCGACGTTCATTCACAGAACGCAAGTTTCTGGAGGGCACATACATCTGCAGAAGTGAGAGCAGACAAGGAGGAGCAAAGCCAGAAGTCGCTTTGTGAGCAAACATCAGAGCTTTGAATTTGATGCGAGCAGCAACTGGCAGCCAGTGCAAACGGATGAGCAGCGGAGTGACATGTGCTCTTTTAGCTTCATTAAAGACCACTCGTGCTGCTGCGTTCTGAAGCAGCTGAAGAGGTTTGATAGAGTTAGCTGGAAGCCCGGCTAGTAGAGAGTTGCAATAACCCAGTCGGTTATGCCACACTACGCCGGAGTTTTGGGGCAAAAATAATCCTATGTCAAAATGAAAAACAAGATTATTTTGCTTGTTTTAAGGAAAACTCACTTAATATTGGCGTATTTTTTGTAAAAACAAGACGATATGTTTTGCTTGCCTAGAAAATGCTTCTTAATTTAAGAGTTTTTAGATATTTGGAGTAAAAACAAGACAAAAAATCATTCATTTTGATATTAACAGCTTAACAGACACCAATAATGCTGAGGCGTCGTGTAGCTGCATGTTAATATGATCATCATCTTCACTGTGTGCTTAAGGTGATGTATTTAAAAGCAAAACACATTTATGGTGCTTTATTTGTAAAAAGAATAAATATTATACAAAAGATTAATTAATTATAGGCTGCTCGAGTTAATAAAAATCCGAAAACTGAGAGATGCTAACATTTTACACTCGACAGTGTCCTGACTTGAATATTATTAAGGCAGTACTGATGAAACAACTATAAAGTGGCCTCGACAGTGTCCTGACCTGAGTATTATTAATGCAGTACTGATGAAACGACTATGAAGTGGCCTTAACAGTGTCCTGATCTGAATATTATTAGGGCAGGACTGATGAAACAACTATAAAGTGGCCTCAATAGTGTCCTGAGCTGAATATTATTAAGACAGTACTGATGAAACAACTATGAAGTGGCCTCGACAGTGTCCTGACCTGAATATTATTAAGACAGGACGATGAAACAACTATAAAGTGGCCTAGACGGTGTCCTGAGCTGAATATTATTAAGACAGTACTGATGAAACAACTATGAAGTGGCCTCGACAGTGTCCTGACCTGAATATTATTAAGGCAGGACTGATGAAACAACTATAAAGTGGCCTCGACAGTGTCCTGACCTGAATATTATTAAGGCAGGACTGATGAAACAACTATAAAGTGGCCTCGACAGTGTCCTGACCTGAATATTATTAAGACAGGACTGATGAAACAACTATAAAGTGGCCTCGACAGTGTCCTGACCTGAATATTATTAAGGCAGGGCTGATGAAACAACTATAAAGTGGCCTCGACAGTGTCCTGACCTGAATATTATTAAGGCAGGACTGATGAAACAACTATAAAGTGGCCTCGACAGTGTCCTGACCTGAATATTATTAAGACAGTACTGATGAAACAACTATGAAGTGGCCTCGACAGTGTCCTGACCTGAATATTATTAAGGCAGGACTGATGAAACAACTATAAAGTGGCCTCGACAGTGTCCTGACCTGAATATTATTAAGGCAGGACTGATGAAACAACTATAAAGTGGCCTCGACAGTGTCCTGACCTGAATATTATTAAGACAGGACTGATGAAACAACTATAAAGTGGCCTCGACAGTGTCCTGACCTGAATATTATTAAGGCAGTACTGATAAAACAACTATAAAGTGGCCTTGACAGTGTCCTGACCTGAATATTATTAAGACAGTACTGATGAAACAACTATAAAGTGGCCTTGACAGTGTCCTGACCTGAATATTATTAAGACAGTACTGATGAAACAACTATAAAGTGGCCTTGACAGTGTCCTGACCTGAATATTATTAAGACAGTACTGATGAAACAACTATAAAGTGGCCTCGACAGTGTCCTGACCTGAATATTATTAAGGCAGGGCTGATGAAACAACTATGAAGTGGCCTCGGATGTTTCTAGAAAACCTAGTAAGAGCTTGATTGATAGTCCAGGTGTGTCTGATTGTATTATTTGTAAAAACAAGACGATATGTTTTGCTTGCCTAGAAAATGCTTCTTGATTTTAGAACTTTTAGATATTTGGACTAGAAACAAGACACAAATCATTGATTTTAAAATTGACATCTTCACAGACACTAATAATGCTGAGGTGTCGTGTAGCTGCATATTAATATGATCATCATCTTCACTGTGTGCATATTTATAACAAAACAGAGCCGATAACATCACTGCCACCTTTCATTTTCAGTATGAAACACATCCTCTCTTTTGCTGAATATCAGTTCAATAATCAACAATGGCCATTATTAAAGTATAACGCACAATAAGTTTATACAATATAGGAAATAAAGACAAGCGATCAGTCAAATGTGCTGAATCAGTGTAGGTGGTTACAATATATATATATATACACACACAAAGCTAACAGAAGTCTGCCTCTTACTGTTTCTGTGTTGAGCAGGTTGGCTTTCCAAACGTTGGCAAGTCGTCCTTGTTGCGAGCCATCTCTAAAGCGCGGCCAGCAGTGGCGGCGTACCCCTTCACCACACTGAACCCTCACGTGGGCATCGTGGAGTACAGAGACCACACACAGGTGGCAGGTGTGTGTGATGTGTGCTTGTGTTTAGAGGACAGCTGTCAAACACAGATCCTAGAGACACAGTCTAGCTTTAAATCATACCATAATGTCACGACTGACCAATCAGAGTCGAGTATTCCAGACAGCCGTGTAACAATCTGTGATTAAACTCCAGCAGGATGCACACTTCATCCTAAACTCTTATGAGTCTATTGTGTCTATTGTGACACCCCCATGTTTCAAGTCTGCTAATCTCACTTAGTGTGTGTTGTCCCTCGGCAGTCGCTGATATTCCCGGACTCATCCCTGGAGCTCATCTGAACCGTGGACTGGGTTTGTCCTTCTTACGGCACATCGAGCGCTGCCGCGTCCTGCTGTATGTGCTGGATATGTCCTCTCCGGAGCCCTGGGAACAGTTCCAGCAGCTGTGCTTCGAGCTGGACCAGTACAGGCCTCTGTTTTCACAAAGACCACATGCCATCGTAGCCAACAAAATGGACCTGCCAGAATCCAGAGCGAATCTGGAGGCTCTGAGGGAACGCATTAGCCAGACGGTCATTCCTGTGTCGGCTTTAACAAGAGGGAACACGGGAGAGCTCATCCTGCACCTCAGAGAGATGTACGACAGCTATCCACAAGCTGAAACCCTGCCCTGAGGCCTCCAGAGTATGATAAACTCCACAGACACAGGTACCTCCAGAACTGCATAATGCCTTTATTTATTAACAGTGCCTGTGGAAAATCATCATGTAAATATATACCTTTGGGATAAAGCTGTTGAAGGCACAGGTTAGGAGAGGAGGAGGCTACAAAAACATTTAATAAATTGTAATATGATATGATTTCAGGCTGTATGACAGATGAAGTCATCATTTCAAAAGGGCTATGAGGATTTTCTGTAGACACTGTACATATAACCTGTACTGCCTACTTGATATATGACTACTTCACGATCACATACATGTTTTACATGTTTGTTTTTTTGCTGTATTTGTGCAAAGATAATCAAGTTAGAGATGACATTCATCTCAAAAGTCTGAATAAAAATCTTCATGTGTCTTATTTTGTAGTTTATGTGTGGACCGTGTGCAGCAAAAGGTGATGGATTTAAAAGCAAAACACATTTATGGTGCTTTATTTGTAAAAAGAATAAATATTCTACATAAGATTAATTAATTATAGGCTACTAGAGTTAGAAAAATCTAAAATCTGAAAGATGCTAACATTTTACACTTGACAGTGTCCTGAGCTGAATATTATTAAGGCAGGGCTGATGAAACAATTATAAAGTGGCCTCAACAGTGTCCTGAGCTGATTATTATTAAGGCAGGGCTGGTGAAACAACTATAAAGTGGCCTTGACAGTGTCCTGACCTGATTATTATTAAGGCAGGGCTGATGAAGCAACTATAAAGTGGCCTCGACAGTGTCCTGACCTGAATATTATTAAGACAGTACTGATGAAACAACTATGAAGTAGCCTCGACAGTGTCCTGACCTGAATATTATTAAGACAGTACTGATAAAACAACTATAAAGTGGCCTCGGATGTTTCTAGAAAACCTAGTAAGAGCTTGATTGATAGTCCAGGTGTGTCTGATTGGGGTTGGAACTAAACATGGCTGGACGCCGGCCCTCCAGGACAGAGTTTGGACACCCCTCGTTTAGAGTAAAGCGGTGCAGAGCTGGGGCTCTCCAGGAATTGAGTTTGAGACCTATGGTGTAGGTATTGAACAGAATACATTGTAAATATATATATATATATATATATATATATATATATATATATATATATATATATATATGTGTGTGTGTGTGTGTGTGTGTGTGTGTGTGTGTGTGTGTGTGTGTATATATATATATATATATATATATATATATATATATATATATATATATACATAAACACACATTAGCATGTATTTATCTATCAGTTGAGCATCTTCTATTTTTCTATAGAAACAAAATCAGGTCTTCTATCTGAAATATATTCAACCCTTTTCTCCATTTTCCCAAAATGTGTTTATTTTTAATGTAATAAACATCATTCACTGCCATTATAAGAAGCACCAAGTTCTACTGAATAGATAAAATGTTTTACTCAATACAAAAAGTCTCCTACATCGTTGAGGGCCCGCGTGTGAGTGAGTGAACTTGAACTTTAATTTCGGTGTGAACTACCCCTTGAAGTGCTGCAGCTCCGCTCCGGCAGGCAGCGCCAGTGAGCAAACTGTCCGTCAAGGCGGGCACGCGCGAGTTCAGCCGGCTTTCAAACCGGAATGTGTGTGAGAGAGAGCTTCAGTCAGCGTGTTTAACCATGGAGAACCGGATTAAACGGCCGAGAGTGGACGGAGAGTGTGTGAAATCCATCAATAACGGAGAGTTTGATCGCTGGGACGTCGAAGACACGGTGGCGTATCTGCGGAGAGAAGGACTGCAGGAATGGGCGCAGATATTCAGAGGTGATTTATCAATAACACTGATCAGCAGCTGATCGATAACACTCCTTCAACTGACAAGAGTATTATTATGATAGATTTACTACAGTATGACACTGTTATGGGCATTATTTGTTTTTGCTATTAAATGTATTCTGCCTTAATTATCCTGTCATATACTTTCTCCTAAACTTAACACATAATCCATTCGACTGAGGTAATAACGTTGGTTTTATATTCGTACATACATACATTTAATAAAACAGTAAAGCAGCATTTAAAAGGGGGAATACACATTAATAATAATGTGGTGTTTTTATGAGTTATGAGATAATATTTTTTTTGAATATTGTGTCTGTAAGAATGACTAAAGAACAACATCAGCACTATGCCGTTGACTGTCAGCAGTGTTGTACTCCGATAGTCAATGGCTGATCATATGATTTGCCTGTTTAGAGTTTAACAACAATACTTTTCATTATATTAAGAAGGTGAAAGTGCGAATATAAAACTTACTTTACCCCTGTTTTGCCATAGAGGTGAAGTTGGTTGTATATTGGAATATTCAGACATTCTCCTTAATAATATAATGTCAGAAAAGTATTGTAAATAAGGAAATCATATTAGCAGTAAATGACTATCAAAGTACAGCATTGTTCACAGTCAATTAGACAGTGTTAATGTTGTTTACAAGTCATACTTGCATGCTAATTCAGATCCAATATTCAGAGTAACATGCTAAACAATATAGAGACTGCTAAATGAACCAGTGTGCCAATATAAAACCAACTTCACCTCTATCTGATGTAATTAGCCTGTTTCTGAAACTGGGCATTTTGGTGAGTTTAACGAAAAGCATAAACTTGATGTAGTTGTACCACACATTAAACAGTTCACTTTAATTGATCTAATCAGTGTTGTATTGAAATTAAATCTATTTCAGGGTATCTGCTGGATCTTAAAGTCTTAAAATGTCTTAAATCTCATAAACTAGGCCTTGAAAAATCTTAAATCTACTGAAATATTGTGTTGTAGTTGTTAAATCTTTTTAAAACAGGTTTTACTTTTCCTTTGTTCATGTATAGCTACGCAATCTGGCCAAAACCCATACAACCACCGACAATTAATCTCAGTACAACTTTCAACTTTTTATTTAAACATTGAATTTTTAACTCTATTTACAATAATGGTTTATTTATAATATAATTAATAAATATAATATAATAATTTTCCTTACACTAACATTTGTTTTAAAGTTCTCACTGTATGTACTGCTGAGTCTGAACTATGTTTTCTATTATTAAATTATAATTATTGTATTATTAAATTTGTTAAATTATAGTCATTTTTTGATGGGACAGTGAAAATCCTTTCCAACTGGGATATTTAAAAAATTCTCAGAATTTATCCCTGTATAAGTCTAAAATTTAATTCATAATAGACTTAAAAATGTCTTAAATTTAACTCGGTGAAACCTGCAGCAACCCTGCTATTTATTTATTTAAATGTATATCTTCTGTAAGTAAGGGTTCCTTTCATGAAACTCAAGTCACTGTCATTAATTGTCATAACTCTATTATAATTTTTTTTTTTTTATCAATTTAAGTTAATATATACACATTTCAGAGGGGGTGCATTTTACGGCCAGGGTGTGTTTCTTGGCACAACACCCCAATTGATATTTGCACTTAACTGAAAGCTGAACCGAATCATTAGTGGTGTAACTTTAGAGCAAAGCTAGCTTAGTAACTGAATGTGTCTTAAACTGATCTTCTGCAACAGCAGGAATGAATGCTGAAACAGCATTCCTGATTATCAGTTATTGATTTCTCACTGTAATCTGGAGCAGGTTTATCCAGACGGACCAGTGTTGTGCCGAGAAACGCACCCCTGCCGCAAAATGCACCCCCTCATAGACTTTCATTAACATTCTCAATCTAAGTTCTTGTTGTAACACTGAGCCTGAAAGTCTTTTACATCTGTTTTGTACTGGAAACAGGTTTCAGGGTTAATTTTTATTTATTTATTTTATTTATTCATTTTACAAAATAATTAACTTTAATGAACCCATGATTATTTTTATGAATCCTAAAACGGGCTGTGATACATTCGATAATGCTTTAAAGTTGATAATTTTACTTGGGAAGTTTCACATACACAAGACAAAAGTAATGTCTATTACTCCCTTCTTTCATTTTTTCTGTGAAGATTTAAAAATGTTTTATATATATTTTAAAAGGCTATAAAAACATCTCTAATAATGAAAAAAAAAATCTGTACAGTCTAATAATTTAAATATGATGGATCCCCCATATAAGTAATGTAATATTTTTTTATTTAATGTATGTTCTGCATCACTGAGTAAGTTTTGTATGACTGTTACATAATGTTATCTTATAATCCTGTATGCTTGTCAGTTATATGCTTCAATAAAAAAAAAAAAAAACATTCTCAATTTACATTTAAAAGAAAAAGTATGGGTCATAATTGATTAAAACCTAAAATGGTTATTATTTTGATGGATAAAGCAAGGACAAGAAGTGAAGCACATTTTAAAACGCACTAGGTTTACAAATAATTTCACTCATTTTCTTTGCAGCTTAGCCCTTTTATTAATCAGGGGTCGCCACAGTGGAATGAACTGCCAACTTATCCAGCATATGTTTACACAGTGGATGCTCTTCCAGCTGCAACCCAGTACTGTGAAGCATCCATACACACTCATTCACTCTCATATACTACGGCCAGTGTAGTTGATCAGTTCCCCTATAGCGCATGTGTTTGGACTGTGGGGGAAACCGGAGCACCCGAAGGAAACCCACACCAACACGGGGAGAACATGCAAACTCCACACAGAAACACCAACTGACCCAGCTGGGACTACAAGTATATAATACAAATAAATTTACAATTGTCCCAATGTTTCTGGCCGTCCTGTCACATATGCATTAAATTGAACATAAAATGCGTGTAATGCACCTTTGAGGCTGACTCAGAGGAAGTGACATTATTAGATGAAGGAGAAGCTGACAGTGATTAAGGATGTTCTGTCATTGAATTGTATGCTTTTATGTTTGTTTTTGTATGATATTTTGAGGACAACAAGCTTAAGTCAGGTCCTGCCACTTTTTTACAAGTGAAAAATCTACATTTCTGTTGGAATGCTACATTAATTAAATGCTACAAGAGCAAAAGGCATTACATATTAAATTTGTTCAACTTTAGCTGACAGAGAAAATCTAAGAAATTAACCTAAGCTTTAACCCTAATACTATCAAGCAATGAAAGCTAAAGAATATTGCTGTAGGTTAGGACAAAGAACGGAGAGCATTCATTCCTTACAACCTTATTGTTACACTGTTGTTTTAAAGCAGCAACATTTTCAATGAAGAAGGATTCACAAGCATTACCTATGCTAACCCTTCTGAAATACAGCTTTCTAAAAGCAAATCCACACCCTTTGCAATTGCTTCAAAACAATAACAAATTATACTGGTTTAACTGGTAATTGAAAGTACCAAATGTTCAGAAAACATCAGGGTTATTGCACAAGACTCTGCTGTAAACAAGTTCTTTTATTATTACATATTTTTTTTATGATAGCTTTCTGTAAAAAATAATAATAATAAAAAAAATCTGTTGTGGCAGACAACACAATTTCAGATAAAGGTGTCAAATCAGCTGTAAAATATTCACAATACTATTCCCTATAATGCAGAAAGCTTGTTTTTCCAGTTTGTGCCTTTATTGTTTTTATACACAGTACTGAGTCTGTATCTTCAATATGCTGAATACACCTAAATTAATTTAATTCTGTCACTGTTTAAAATACAGATATCAAACCAAGTGTGAAATATTCAGAATATTAAACTCCATAATGCACAAGACTTGTTTTTGTTTACAGTTATTGTTTTATATTTGGCAAAGAATCCATTTTTCAATATGTTGAATACACTGTAAACTTTAATAAAATTAATCAAACTCTAACACAGTTGGAGATAATGATACCTAATCAACGCGAGAAATAATTTGACCTATTGAAGACTGTAATAATAATGATAAAACATACAATCCACCTAAAGCTTGATTACTTACTTCAGTGTGTTTGGATATTGTTGGGGAAAAAAAAAAAAAAAATATATATATATATATATATATATATATATATATATATATATATATATATATATATATATATATTTATATATATATATATATTTATATATATATATATTTATATATATATATATGAAATTGAAATATTATATAAATTAAAAATGTATACTTTTCTCTAAAGATACATGACTTTATTATTCTTTCAACGAATGTTTATGAATTATATTTTCACTGTTATCGTTATTGGTGGTGTATTTTAAGCCCTTAATGCCAATTTAATATTATTATATTATAATATTTTATAACATATGAAAACAAATTTTACTGGACTGTTCTGCTTTTAATGATTCCAGAAGGCTTTTATTATGAAATGAACTCTCTTAATGATAATTTAAGCAAAGTGACGGCAAGAAAAATTTTAGTTTTTATCATGTATTAACGCTAAAAATCTTGTTTAAATTATGTATTTGTTTGTTTGTTGTTTTATTATTGAAATGTTCTTGCCATTAAAACAGTTGCTGACATGGCATTCAATAAAAATACATTGCATTATTATGACATATATTGCCTCTGAATTGCTCATTTGTTATTGCAACGACAGGTTTAATCAAGTGTATGTTTTTATTTTGTGGTTTGGCAGATAATGGCATAACAGGAGCAGGCCTGCTGTGTCTGACTGAGGCGCATTTGGAGAAGATGGGGGTTTCGTAAGTGTTGATAGGCACAAGATAATCAATATATGGACTCATCGCACAACTCATATTCATGAGCTCAATTATTTTTGGTGATGCAATATATATCACCCATACATGAAAACAAATTCTAGCAACATTTCAGCTGATTGTGTAACATTTCCATGTCTGTTGGAGGTGTCAGTGTCAGTATAGTTAATAAAACACTGTAGTATTTACTGTAAATTACTATAGTATATTCTTTTGTGGGTGTCTGACAGCTGAAAATAGATCTGGCAGCAAATATCACAGCCTCTGTTACTTTATTGTTAACATTTATTATTATTTGTTTAGGATATGTGTTTTTACATTCTGAGATTGAGGCACACTCTGACGGGCACAAGGGAACGATGGGTTGCAAGAACTAGCTCATTTGCATTAAAAGCAGTGACAACAAAAACAGCTACAAGATACTCAGAGCTGAAAATTCCACCATTCTGAAAGGTATAATAAATAATCTGAAAGGTGATTTGAGCTGAAACTTTACAGATGCATTCTGGAGACACAAAAGACTGATCTTACATTTTGAAAAAGGTGGTAAATAGGTGCCCTTTAACATGCATCACAGGGCAGTTTTGAGTGTTCTTGTGGACGGAGATTATTTTAAAAAGGAAAGTGAGGAAAACTGTTTATAAATATACATGTTTACATGTGCTGAATATAAGTAGTGTTGTGTGTCCTCCTGCAGGCCTCTGGGAGCACGGCTGCACATCCTCCACTGCCTGCAGAAGCTCAGCCAGATCTCCACTGAACCCATGAAGGTCTGAATCTTCCAGAAAAACACAAAGCATGTCTTTAGAAAGTGTGTTTGTTTGTCAGAGCTGTGATGTTTGTGTATTTCAGGTGTTTAATGACCCCATCCACGGCCACATTGAGCTGCACCCGCTGCTGCTGCACTTCATTGACACTCCTCAGTTCCAGCGGCTCCGTCACATTAAGCAGCTCGGAGGAACCTACCTGGTGTTCCCCGGGGCGTCCCACAACCGATTTGAGCACTCCATAGGGTACGTTCACAGCCGAGAGCCCTCTGCATTAAACCTGCTGGTCAACGTTTAATTCATCCTTCCAGTCTGAGAACTGCAGGTCATCATCATACGGTGCTCTGCATAGGATGAGTGATGTGGACCTACAATTATATCATGATATTTTCTGGTATTCATTGTGATCATTTTAATGATGTATCCACTGAGAGACAAAAAAAAAGTCTAGTATCTTTAGAGAAATCAAGTATGAATAGTATCAATATAAAATATATATATATATATATATATATATATATATATATATATATATATATATATATATATTTGTTGGGTAAATTTTTGCAGATATATTGCAAATAATAAAAATAACACCGCTTGAAAATGAATATTTCTGTCCATTTCTCGGAACAGAACTGCTTTATAACTATTAAATTAGGAGTTTGGTCTCCAAACATCTTTAGGAATTGAAAGAAAATGCATGTTCATTTCATTTCAGGGTGGGTTATCTGGCCGGGTGTCTGGTGAAGGCTCTCAATGAAAGGCAGCCCGAGCTGTTCATCACAAAGCAAGACATTCTGTGTGTGCAGATCGCTGGATTGTGCCATGATTTGGGTGAGTAACATTCATTCAGTTTCCTTCGGCTTAGTCCTTTACTCATCAGGGGTCGCCACAGCGGAATGAACCGCCAACTTCTCCAGCATATGTTTTACACAGCGGATGCACTTCCAGCTGCAACCCAGTACTGGAAACACCCATTCACACACACACTCATACACTGCGGACAATCATCATTTCCCCTATAGCGCATGTGTCTGCACTGTCGGAGAAACCGGAGCACTCAGAGGAAACCCACGCGAACGTGGGGAGAACATGCAAACTCCACACAAACGCCAACTGACCCAGCCGGGACTTAAATCGGCAACCTTCTTGCTGTGAGACGACAATGCTAACCACTGTGCAGCTGAGTAATATATTATCTGAAATCCAAGAACGTCTCATCATGCAGCTTCTGTCCTTGGATGCAGAGGATCCTAAAGGTGTGTCATTCTGGACTCATACAGCTGAAGTTTAATCCAGTGGTGTAGTCCTAAAAAAAAAAGTGGTCTACTATTACACCCGACCCAAATTTTAAATGAAAGTAGGCAAAGAAACGACTAAATGTTTCTTTGATTTATGAGATATATATATATATATTTATTTTATTTTATTTATTTATTTTTTATTTTTTAATGATGATAATGAAAATTTGCATTTTTTAGGAAAACTTTCCATTTTAAAAGAAAAAAAATTAACAAATTTGTTGGTTTTAAAGGTAGATGCTAATAGTCTAATCCTATTTAATGATTTATGTTAAAGCTAATAGTGCCCAGGCTGCATGTATACAGTATGTAGGGGGCGGAGAATGGTGCAATTTAAACAAACTGCACCAATTGCATCAAATTAAGATGCGAGTTAAAAAAACATTTGTTATAGGCCTACAGTTAAATGGGAATTGAATACACATAAATTATTGAAGTTTAATCAGAAAAAGAAGTGAGGGTATACACAATTATTGATCCTCAGAAGTGTTTATACTCAAACAGCTCGTGGAAAAAGTAAGCCTACTGAGTATACATGGTTTAATCAATGCAACAGTTAAAGTCATAATAAACTGAACGCTGCAGGGGTTTTTTGATGTTTTTTTGGTGTGCATATCTAACGGACAATCAGATACAAGTTATTATATACAGACATAGTTAATGTGCAGTTATACAGCATATAAGTGATGACTGTACATGTTTAATGAAGTGTATTTGTGTATGTGATGTCCAAATATGTATGTGTAATAAAATATGGCAGTGCTGGAGGTTTTGCGACTGAAGTAGATGCATAAACACTCTTCAATCCTCTTCTGTCTGTCGTCCAGGTCACGGCCCGTTTTCTCACATGTTTGATGGCATGTTCATCCCTAAAGCCCGACCTGCTGACAAGTGGAAGGTAAGGGACTTCTCCGTGTTCTTAGATCTCTGCCAGATGTTATGAAATAAAAACAGAAACTAAAACTGTAAAGAGTTGTTAACTACAGCTTTCAAGAACTTGTGTTAGCTTGTTCAAACCTGTCCTGAAGATGTTCGTTTCTTGGGAATATTTCTACTTGTTTATTGAAATGTATTCTTTCAGCTCTGCGTGTGTGCTTGCAATGCTTGTACTTTCCCCCCCGGTCTTATGATTTAGATCAGGAGGTTGTGTTTAAATAAATAAACATAATATTTTTACCAATATATTTTAATAATTTTACCAAAATAATAATACTGAGCTGAATAAGATCATATCACGCATCATTTACTCTGCACATCTGATCAGCAGAGAATGCAGGAGTTTAAAGGTCCAGTGAAATTAAAGTACTGTTTTTCAGATGTTAGCATCAGTCTGAGTCTCCAAAACAGTGACGAAATTCACTTCTAGAAGATGTAAACCAGATATAAACATGTAAAGTTTGCAGTTTGTCTCTTCCGCCTTAATGGATCAGTGTTTTATTTACGTCTTCGCATACTTTAGGTCCTCATCAAATCTTCTGACCAATCAGATGCTCTCTAATGTCTGACATGCTCCGCCCTTTTATTCTCATTGGCTGTTTGTTTGATGTGATTGAGCTCAACTACTCTCACTGGCAGAGCTGTGAGAAAAAACTACAAGCTAGTTGCCGCCAATAGCCTAGTGGTTAGTGCGTCGACACATAGCACCAAGGTGCTCACTGCGACCTGAGTTCGATTCCCGGCTCGAGGTCCTTTGCTGATTCTTTCCCCTATCTCTGCTCCTCACACTTTCCGGTCTTTAAAATCTCCTCTGTCGTATCCCAATAAAGGTGAAAACCCCTAAAAAACTACAAGCTATTGGCTGTTTTTAAAAGGGGAGGGGCTGCTTTATGCCTCCCTCATGTTTCAGTTGAGATTACATCAAACATGGAATAAATAAATGCACACTTTACACCACTTCACAGGAGCTTTACTGAGTGTTTTCTGCTGTTTCAGCATGAGATAGCCTCAGTGCAGATGTTTGATCACCTGGTGGAGGTAAATGGACTGGAGGCGGTCATGCTTCACCATGGGATGAGGCTTCCTGAAGATCTGATCTTCATCAAGGAGCAGATCGCTGGACCGCTGGAGAGCGCCGTGCTGGACCAATCGGTGTGTGTTTCTGTATATGCATATATGCAAAGAAAACAAATCTAATTAGTTTAAAAATGAAGTAATAAACTGAAATGATGCAGGGAAAAGGTGTTGAACACATGAAGAAAGGAAGGTGTAGTTGGGCAGTGAAAGCCCAGACAGCAGCTGAAATCTGTCAGTAGTTCTTCAGCAAGCCTCTGCCCTTCCTCAGTGTAAATGAAGATCAGCTGCTTCAGTCCAACATCTACATCAGCAGGAGGATGAAGATGAAGCCAGGGTGGACATTTCAGCAAGACAATGATCCAAAACACAGCCGAGGAGACTTTCAGATGCTTTCAGAGAAAGACAATCAAGCTGTAGAATGGCCCAGCCAATCACCTGAGCCGAATCCAATAGAGAATACAGAATACAGCTCAGATCTGATAGACGAGACCCACAGAAGCATCAAGATTTACACACTCTGATGAAGACTGAGAGAAACTCACACCTGAGCACTGCAGGAGGCTTCATTCTCCATATGAGAGACGACTTTCAGCTGCAGCACCACAACAGCCTTTATATACAGTATTAAACACAGTTCAGCAGTTCAGCTCTTTCTCCTTCTGGCATTACAGTGTTTTTACACACAACTCATTTCTCAGTTGTTGTAAGTTTATGTTTGCATTATTTGCGTTTTTACCAAAATCTGCTTCAATTCCATGTCAGCAGCTCCTTTAGAGATATTATTCCCTGGAAAAACTTGACAATGTGTTCAATACTTATTTCCCTCGCTGTGTATATAGTCTTGTCTAGTCTTCGAGCTCTAACACTGAAAGTAAGGCTCATATTTCCTCTTTTCCCCCAGCAGTGGCCGTATAAGGGCCGGCCGGTGGAGAAATCCTTCCTGTACGAGGTCGTGGCAAACAAGAGAAACGGCATTGATGTGGATAAATGGGATTACTTTGCGAGGTGAGCTGCATCTCTGCGAGTTCATGATGATGATGATGCTGTTTAATCATTTCAGCATCACTAATACGCGGATGTGTTTTGTGTGCAGAGATTGCTATCATCTGGGAATCCAGAATAACTTTGACTATCAGCGCTTCCTCAGGTTCGCCCGCGTGTGTGAAGTTAAAGGAAGGAAGCACATCTGCACCAGAGACAAGGTTAGGGTTGCCACCCATCCCTTGAAATATGGAATCGTCCCGTATTTGAGAATGAAATTGCGCGTCCCGCTTTGAATCAATACGTCCCGTATTTTTATAATTCTTTATTAAAGGGTCACGAAACACCAGAACACATGTGTTGAGCTGTTGACAGTGGTATATGTGTCCCACACTGCTAAAAACACTATAAGGACACCTTTATTTCACTACAAAGTGTAAATTGGTTGTTTTTGCGTTATTTCAAGCAAATTCGTACTTCCGGTTTGAAACGAATTTTTGAAGCTGCGTCACGGTCATGAGATAATAGCGTGTATTCCAGCGTGCAGACTGAGCGTCTGTGCCAGAGTGAGTCTTATTACGTCTTACAGTGTGCTGCATTAATGCATGAGTAAAGCTTGGTTCAAACCAATCAGCACGCTTTATTGTGCAACTTCATTAATATTCATTACTGTCACAGTGTTTAGACGACAGAGACGCCACGTTGTGTTGGCAAAACAAGCGTGAAGTGTTGCTTTTATAGTTTGCTGCAGTGAAGTTTTGTTTTCATTTTCTCTCTGTGAGAGCTCAGCTGGAGTCACGTGTGGATTAACAGTGTACGCGACGCTTGACAACAATAAATACGTGTCTAAGGAGGATTATTGTTTACCTGAGAGCTGTTCTCATCTGCAAACGCTGAGATCCGGATTCGCTTGTAGTCTCCTCTTAATAAAGACGCGGCTCTAGTTGCTGGTGATTGTTCTGTCTCTACAGATTTGGTGAGCGACCAGTGCTCTTTGTTTATTCAGTTTGTTCGTACTAAGTTAACTATTGCACCGAGTGTAAACATGTTAGCACCACAACCAAACTATAACCTTGTGTAGGGTTTTAACCGCATTTTGTGACCGGAATAACACACGCGGCTTTCTGACGCTACCTGCCGTGTGCATCTCAGTTTTCTGGAAATGCGGAGGTTTTTTTTTCTCTCATTCGCCGTGCGGTATCAAACATTGCATGAAAAATACACGCTTAGAGCAGCTCCTCGAATCAAATATCTCGTTTGTCGCGAGGGACATGAATGAATTCCCTGAATGAAAGTGCCAAACTGCAGTTAAAGTCCAACATTTAATAATTTGGCAAATAATTCCACTACAGATGTCCATGTAGGTTAAACACCATCACTTTCTCCTGTGTGTGTGTGTATTTTGACTGAAACTCGCGCGTGCCCAAATAGACACTCACACACCCTCCCACTTTAGTTCCTCCGACACTCCCCCCTAAACAAAGCTGGACACGCCCACTTTTCTGACTTTTTCCAAAGTAGAGGAGTGAAAACACCCTGCTGAAACGAGGGGGTTTCATGGCCCTTTAAAAGTAGCTTTTCATGCAAATCATCCCACACGCATTTACTCGTCCTACTTTTGATTGGGTAATACTTGATGTCATTGTAAGTTTGATTGGTCTTTGTCCAGTGAGGAGGGCGGGTCTTCTAAGCAGAGTCTGTCAAGTCTTGACAGCGAGTAATGGTAAATGCTTCTCCAGGTAACCCTCCGCGTCTTAAAATTTCACAGTTTAAACGCAAGCGACTGCAAAAGTACCGCAGATAGTGGGAGGGAACAGATACCTGGCTGCAGATTGTTAGGAATTATTATTAAGCTACTGCACGATTTGTCGGAGAGCGTTCTCTGTGGCCCATGCGTCTGTGGGACAACACGCCTCTGGAGAGCAGCATTCCCGCAATGACAGCTCGCAGAAATCAAAGCAGTCAGACTGTTCTCCGCGCCCCAAATCTCTCCCGAAGCAGACATGGTAATGAGTGTGACCTAGTCTGTGAAAATCTAGCTGGAGTTTTTTTTTGTAATTTACTGTTTTCTACATGAATTAAAGACCAGTCTGTGAAAATAATAATAATAATATATGTATTTAATATTCAATGAGTAAAACAATATCAACAGCTGTGATCACAGGGAAGTGAATGGCTACAGTCAAACCTTATCTCACAATTAGATGTGGCCTGGTTTTCACACAAATTGTAAAAATGTTGTAAATACAATGTAAGTGGATCATTTCCCAATGTAATATTATGATTTGTTTGTTCAGGTTAAGTCAGGCACAGAAGCATTAATTTATTACATGAAGCATTTTATTTAAAACATTAATAAACAACATAATGAAAAATAAACTAGTTAATTGCACCTTTCCATATTTTTAAATTAGAAATAGGCTATGTGAAAACTACTACACTGTCAAATTAAACTTTAATTGTTCATTGAACTTATGTTAAACAGACTTAAAACAGCTTACATAACTTATACAATTAAGATAGAACATGATTAACTTCAGTAAATCAGACACACCCGGGCTAGCTACTCAAGCTCTTACTAGGCTAAAAAACATCCGTGCAGGTGTGTTGAGGCAAGTTGGAGCTAAAATCTGCAGGACACCGGCCCTCCAGGACTGAGTTTAGACACGCCTGCTCTACAGTGTCCACTAATGAGTGTCAGAGTTTCACACTAATCATCAGCCTCTCTAATTGTGTGTTTTTCCTCTGTTTTTGCTCCTCACAGGAAGTTGGCAATCTGTATGACATGTTCCACACCCGCAACTGTCTGCATCGCCGGGCGTATCAACACAAAGTGGGGAACATCATCGAGACCATGTGTGTGTTATCAGCTTTCACAACACACACACTGCAACACATGCTTTCATTGCTCAGAGATCATGTCTTGTGTCTAGTCCACATATCTGCACACTCTTACAGCACAAAAGGACTTTCCTGACAAGTAAAATGAGTCAAAATGAAGTGAGTTTTTCCTTAAAACAAACAAAACAAGAGTATTCTGAAAATGAATTAAGCTGAACTGCTGAAGTGCCTTTAATACTTCATATAAAGGCTGTTTTGGTGACTCTCATATGGAGAATGAAGCCTCCTGCAGTGCTCAGGTGTGAGTTTCTCTCAGTCTTCATCAGAGTGTGTAAATCTTGATGCTTCTGTGGGTCTCGACTATCAGATCTGAGCTGTATTCTGTATTCTCTATTGGGTTCGGCTCAGGTGATTGGCTGGGCCATTCTACAGCTTGATTGTCTTTCTCTGAAAGCGTCTGAGAGTCTCCTCGGCTGTGTTTTGGATCATTGTCTTGCTGAAATGTCCACCCTGGCTTCATCTTCATCCTCCTGCTGATGTAGATGTTGGACTGAAGCAGCTGATCTTCATTTACACTGAGGAAGGGCAGAGGCTTGCAGAAGAACTACTGACAGATTTCAGCTGCTGTCTGGGCTTTCACTGCTCAACTACACCTTCCTTTCTTCATGTGTTTAACACTTTTTCCCTGCGTCATTTCAGTTTATTACACAGAACTTTAATTGTGAACAAATTAGATTAGTCTTATTTGCATATCTGGTTTTCTTTAGTTGCTACCAACATCAAGTCAACAGCACCTTTAGAAATTCTGAGAGAAACTGTGATGTGTTCAACACTTATTTTCCTCGCTGTATTTGGACTAGAAACAAGACAAATCATTTTTGCAGTTCACTATTCATCCTTTTAGCTTTTACTGAATTGTGTTCTGTGATTGGCTGTGTCAGGATAACAGAGGCGTTTTTAAAGGCTGATCCTCATATCCAGATCCAGGGCTCTTCTGGCAGGATCTTCACCATTTCTTCAGCTATAGAAGACATGGAGGCCTACAGCAAACTCACAGGTACGCTTTCCTTTCACAGGGTTTGTGTTTCTTTTTAAAGCCTTTTCTAGACAAGCGTTACGGCCCAAACCCAAACACTGGCTCATTTAAATGAATCAATAATCATAAGCAGAACATATAAAAGTGACTTGAATCTCAATTTGACCTCCTCGTCTGTATTAATCATTCAATCATTCATATTCCTTCAGCTTAGTCCCTTATTTATCAGGTGTCGCCACAACGGAATGAACCGCCAACTATTCCGGCATATGCTTTAATGTGTTAAAATGAAGTGAGTTTGTCCTTAAGACAAGCAGAATAATCTGCCAACGGGGGAAGTGGAGTGATATTGTATTCATTTGAATCGAGATCATTCTGCTTCCCCCATTGTCAGGATATTTTGCTTGTTTTTATGAAAAACTCGCCTCATTTTGACTCATTACTTCAGAAAACAAGAGAATATGTGTTGCTTGTCTAGAAAAAGCTTCTATTTGGACTGGAAGCAGGACTAAAACTCTGTCTGCAGTGTGCATTCTGGGTATTGCTGTATTTGATGTCGGTCCTGCTTTTCAGATCATATCTTTGAGCAGATTCTCTACTCGTCTGGGCCGGAGCTGTCCGAGGCTCGAGCCATCCTGCAGAACATCATCTGCCGCCGGCTGTACAAGTGTGTGGGGCAGACCACATCCGAGACCAACGTGGACGTCTCACAGGTCAGAAATACTAGAGCAGGGGTGTCCAAACTCTGTTCTGGAGCGCTGGTGTCCTGCATAGTTTAGCTCCAACTTGCCTCAACACACCTGCACGGATGTTTCTAGAAAGCTTAGTAAGAGCTTGATTAGCTAGCCCAGGTGTGTCTGATTGGGGTTGAAACTAAACTTTGCAGGACACCGGCCCTCCAGCACCAAGTTTGGACACCCCTTTACTAGAGTTTTCCAGATCTTGGTATTCTAGCACAGTTAAAGACAGCATATGTACCGTTGGGTTGTGTTTTCATCCACTCTTATCTTTCCCTGTGCTGCAGCAAATGGCATGATTTTTGGTGATAAATCTTATTTTGACACATATTTTGGCAAAATGCTTTTAAAATTTCCCAAAACTCACAGCAATACTTGCAAATTGACTTCCCTTTAGTTATGTTGGTGCTGTTTTTGCCCCATTGACTTCCATTATAATTAATTTATTGATTGCAAAGCCATGCATTCTTGAGTGTTTTTGCTTTTCCCTGTTGGGATTAAGATGTGAAGTGTGTCATTTTCACTGGTGATCATCACTTGTCTGCATTAACCCTTTAGATCGGCCTGTGCTGAAGAGTTTCCCACTTCTATATGGAGTTCAGTGGAGTAAAACAGCAGATTTTAGTGAGTGTGTGTGCAGAAATAAACCTACTGTGTTTACACTGCTATGCTGATGATACCCAGCTATACCTCTCTTTTCACCCTGATGATCCCTCGGTTCCGGCTTGCATCTCAGCCTGCCTGTCAGACATTTCACACTGGATAAATGATCATCATCTTCAGCTTAACCTCACGAAAACAGAAATGCTTGTAGTTTTTGTCAACCCGACTCTACACCATAACTTTTCAATCCAGATGGACGGGGCAACCATTACTGCATCCAATATGGTGAAAAGCCTTGGAGTAACGATTGATGACCAACTAAACTTCTCTGACCACATTTCTAGAACTGCTCGATCAAGCAGATTCACACTCTACAACATCAGAAAGATCCGACCCTTCCTATCTGAACATGCAGCTCAACTCCTTGTTCAAGCTCTTGTTCTCTCCAGAATGGACTATTGCAACTCTCTACTAGCCGGGCTTCCAGCTAACTCTATCAAACCTCTTCAGCTGCTCCAGAACGCAGCAGCACGAGTGGTCTTTAATGAAGCTAAAAGAGCACACGTCACTCTGCTGCTCATCCGTTTGCACTGGCTGCCAGTTGCTGCTCGCATCAAATTCAAAGCTCTGATGTTTGCTTACAAAGCGACTTCTGGCTTTGCTCCTTCTTATCTGCTCTCACTTCTGCAGATGTATGTGCCCTCCAGAAACTTGCGTTCTGTGAATGAACGTCGCCTCGTGGTTCCATCCCAAAGAGGGAAGAAATCACTTTCCCGAACTCTCGCGTTCAATCTGCCCAGTTGGTGGAATGAACTCCCTAACTGCATCAGAACAGCAGAGTCACTCACTGTCTTCAAGAAACCACTAAAAACTCAACTATTTAGTCTCCACTTTTCTTCTTAATCTGCAATCGCCTCTCTGACTCCACCGCTAACTGCACTATAGAAAAAAAACACAATAATAAATAAATAAATAAATAAAATGACTAATGTTTTGCTTCTTCCACTTTACACACCTGAAACTTGCCTACAGCACTTATTCATTGTTGCTCTTATAGTTGTGTAAATTGCTTCCTTGTCCTCATTTGTAAGTCGCTTTGGATAAAAGCGTCCGCTAAATATAAATGTAAATGTACTAAAGTCTTTAATCTCCTCCAGGAAAAGCTGCTGGACTGGGCGAAGGAACTGGCCCGCTCCAAACCCACCGGCACTGAGGGAAACCTGATCGCTGAGGACTTCGTCGTCAGTGTACGAGACAACAGATCCTCAACTTTCTCATTTCAGGATTCATTGTTACACATGACTAGATAAAAGTGCACAAAGTGTTTATGAGGGGTTTGTGTGTCAGACTCCACTGACAGTCGTCTGCTCTTTAGGTCATTCACATGGATTATGGGATGAAGGAGAAGAATCCCATCAACAACGTCCACTTCTACTGTAAGAATGATCCCACCAAAGCCATCAAGATCCACAAGAAACAGGTAGACCGCATGCATTCATTTATGCACATTTAACAAAAACATACAGAAGCATGAGACAAAACAAACCACATACAATATCCAGTCCAAGTAAAATACTGAGATTACAGATGCCTTCACCCACCCCTACTGCAATTAATAAGCAAATGGGAAACTGGAGATGGAATTATCAGCAGACATGTGGCAGTCTGTTTCAGACAATACTCACTCATCTTCAATTTCAGTAGCGCTTGTTGGTGTTAGTGTGGAGCGTGTTACCCTACACTGAGCTTTTAAACGCAAAGATAAATCCAACTTTCTATGTTCAAATTGATTTTAAAGGTGCTGTTAAATTAAAATAACATTTTTTAGATGTTAGTATTAGTGTGCGAGTCTTCAAGGATATCTGTAAGCCAGTGTGCTACAAAAACACATTTGGAAGATATAAAACTGATATACACATGTAATCATATCACAAGAAACCATTGATCCATTTAGGCAGAAGAGACCAAGTTTGCAGTTTGTCTCTTCTACCTAAATGGATCAATGATTTCTTCATACTTAAGTTTCTCGTCAAATCTTCTGACCAATCAAATGCTCTCAAGTGTCTGACATGCCCCTGGCCCTTCTTCTTCTCATTGGCTGTTCATTTGATTCGCTTTAGCCACTCTCACTGGCAGAGCTGAGAGGAAACACACTATTGGCTTCTTTTTTAAAAGGGAGGAGCTACTGTATGCCCCGCCCTCTTTTCGTGTTTCAGTTGCGATCAGTTCAGATCATCTGTGTGGATTGTATAGGCTGATGATGTTGTATTGACTCTCCTGGTGTCATGGAACAGGTGTCTAAACTCCTGCCGGAGCGCTTTGCAGAGCAGCTGATCAGGGTTTACTGTAAGAAGACTGATGACAAGAGTCTGGAAGCAGCTAAAAAGTACTTTGTGCAGTGGTGCATGGACAGAAACTTCACCAAACCACAGGTAACGCTCCCTCCTTCACTGCTCCCTTTATTAAAGATTGCTTAATCCTTATTTTTGAAGCTGTTAGTTGACCGAAACAGTGCTGTTTTAAAATGTAAAAGTAGAAGAAATGTGGCAAATCCCTGTGCTTCACTTTTCTGTTTCGTTGAGTGTCTTCAGTAAGCAATAAAACCATTGTGGGCTTGTTTACATTGGCAGAATTCCACTAATCAGAGTAAAGTAGTGCCCCAAATTTATTCTGCTTAATGCCCCTGAATCTACAGGGCTGGTCCTGCATACGAGCATGATTTCAGTCAGTGAAACTCGAGGATTTTGACATTAGTCCTACATGAGAGGTGATGTGTGTGTGTGTGTGTGTGTGTGTGTGTGTGTGTTTCAGGATGGAGATATCATTGCTCCAGAACTCACTCCACTGAAGCAGGACTGGCACGCTCGTGAGGATGAAGACGAAGAGGAGGAGGAGAAACACAGACAAAACCAGACTCTTCCTCACCACACGCCACAGAGGACTGGGAGGAACGTAAAGGTCGACCTTTTTCAGGCTCGAGGAGAAACAAAACTCTGAATAACACTGCAAAACATACTTCACACTCAGAGTTGGCGTCCTGTTTCTGCTCTAAATATTGAAGAGTTCTGAAATCAAGAAGCTTTTTCTGGACAAGCGAGACACATTGTGTTGATTTGAGAAATATTGAGTGAAAATGAAGAGAGTTTTTCATTAAAACATGCAGAATAATCTGTGGAATAGTGTTATTGCACAGCGAAAACTACACAAACGCACTCTATTGTCAGATTATTCTGCTTGTTTTACGGAGAAACTCACTTTATTTTGACTCATTATTCCTGAAAACAGCTCTAGATGTCTTGCTTGTCCAGAAAGGGCTTCTTGATTTGAGAGTTTGTTGATATCTAGACTATAAACAAGACCAGGTAATGAAGCCGTGTTCCGGCATTGATGATCAGCCCTCAGGGATCTGGGTGAAATATACAGCGTTGACAGATCAGCAGACGCCTGCACTTGCTTTTATTTGTCTGCTTGAACATCATGTTGATCGGCAGGGTTTTTACGAGGAGCGCCACTCTTCATCATCTGCTCCAGCATCATGTGTTCAGCAGAGGAGCTTTACATCTGCATCTATCTCTATTGTTTTAAACTATTACTCTTGTTTTAATCAGGGACTGGCTGTTACATCGCTCTCTCTCGGCTCCTGTAGTGCTGAAATGTGACGACACATCAGTGTTTGAGCTCAGTATATATTTATATTTTATGCCTGAAGTGTTTCTGTGATCTCTTGCTCTCTTCCTGTTCATCAATATAAACATACAAAGAGAGTGTGTGTGTGTGTGTGTGTGTGTGTGTGTACTTCTGTGTGTGTGTTTCCCCTAAACTAAGTAATCAAAAGCCATGTCCAGCAGTCTGCGTGTGTGTGTGTGTGTGTGTGTGTGTGTGTGTGTGTGTGTGTATTTATTTATTTTCTTGATGCATGTATGGTTTCCTCCTGCTTTGTGTTGTGAGATTCTCTGATATCCTCCAGGGAGTCACTGAGCTTGATAAAGGGACAGTATTGTGAGGCGGTACAGTAGAGGACTGCTGTTCTTGTTGTTTTCCTCGAGAATTCTTCCCTCCGCTGTAAATATAAGAGTTGTTCATCTTGCAATAAATGCTCACAGACTGTGATGTTTGAGCAGTCCTGCGAGTGCTCATTAATGTCAAATCACTGTGTTTTCTGTTGTGTTTAATACAACACTGATTACACTGTACAAATGCAGGATTCTTCCAGGCCTGGCTCCAGCTTTGAACTTAAGGGTGGGCCAAGAGACATTTCAAGTGGGCCAAAAATTTATTTATTTATTTATTTAAATATATATATATATAAATATTTATATTTAAATTTAAATATATATATATAGAATAAATGTAGAATAAAAGCAGATGTAGATTTAATATTTTTTGCACTTTATTTCAACAAAGATATTTTACCATAATTTTGTTTTTGTTTGGCATCTGTAGCTGCCAGTCATTTGACCTTTTTTTAACGATTTTATTTATTTTTTACAGAGCAAGTAATTACAATTCATAACATTAATTTTATGTTATTTTAAATGTACTTAAAAACAGGAAAAAACACTGTGTAAATAATTTTATTGTATAAAACAGACAAATTGCTGTAATTTCTCAATTATATAGTACATAAAATAACAGGAAAAATACTGTATAAATAATAGTGTAATTTCCCTGTGTTAAAAACAAAAATGTCAATAATTTGTCTTTAAAGATTAAGTACATAAAATAAAAGTCAAACTGTTAATTTAGAGAGATTGTCATTTTACTAAGTTCTACATTTAATTTAAAATGAAAAAATATTACTGTAAAGAAATTAGATATATTTTCTGTAAAATTAGTTTTTTTTTACAGTGTACTTACCCTAATTACCCTAGTGAAGCCTTTACATGTCACTGTAAGCTGAACACTAGTGTCTTGAAGAATATCTAGTCTAATATTATGTGCTGTCATCATGGAGAAGAGGAAACACATCAGTTATTAGAGATGACTTATTAACACTGTTATGATTAGAGATGTGCTGAATAAATCTCTCCGTTAAACAGAAATTGGGGGAAAATAAACAGACTTCATATATATATATATATATACATATATATATATATATATATATATATATATATATATATATATATATATATATATATATATATATATATATATATATATATATATATATATATATATATATATATATATATAGCATTGTTACGGTCAATTCAGTTACAGTTTAGTAACTACCCATAAGGATTTTTCTTGAACATATAAAGGTAAACTGACTAGAATAGACACTAAACTGCATTTTATGCTTGAGATGCATCAATGCATTTTATTGGAAACACTCAACTAGTTTCAATCCACTTTTGCACACTCTGTCTTAAAAGACCTGAGAGAAATGGGAGTAATCAATGCTATTTAATAGCACATTTTACCCCCATAAAATAGTACATTTTATTCAGCTTTTCATACCACACACACTCCCATTATATTTAAAACTGTTGAATAAAAAGCTTTCAAATCCATTTTATAAACATAATTCCCATTGTATAATCTCCAGAGTGTGTTACTACCCCACACTATTAGCTGAAGTACACCTCACTCCTGTTTGACACTAAACTGCGCGTTCTCTGCTTGAGCTACAAACAAAACATCGACGCCATTTAATAGCAGACACTCATAACTAGTTTCAATCCAATTTTGGACACACTGTCTTAAAAGACCTCAGAGATATAGAGAGAAATGTAAAGACTGAGACCCGGAGTGTGTGTGAACGGTGTGAACTGATGCCCGCCCCCCCACTGCCCCTTTATCAGCCGCCGGACTGACCCACACCGGCACTGGGCACCGTACCGAGGAGAGGACAGGAGCCATGGTCGTGTTCTCAGCACTGCATTTACTCTATTTCTTACTGTTTCTAACATCCACACTCGGCCAGGTAAGATGCGCTTTCTGTGGGGAATTCTCTTCATAACCTGCCGCTCGTTGTTTGGGCTTCGCTATAGTCCGTTACTGTGGTGAATATGGTGCTTATGGTGACAGTGCTGGTGCTGTTCTGAAGTACATGCGATTTCAGACCCGATATTCAACAATATCATCTTATAACTCAAAACATTCGTATTAATATGTATTAGAAGTTGTTTATCCTGCTTTTATATACTGTTTTATTTATTAAAACCATGTTTACCTTTAATTAAAGCAACCTGCAGGCTGGGAATTACTGTGTATTGCGCATTGTATTAGCTCACATTAATGAAATATGAGCATTTATTAAATGTATTTTAGTGTGCTTTTTAGTTTTGTTTGCATGCATAAAACTGTGAAGCCTCCAAATATAACTAACGTTGATGTAAAAGCGAATTAAACTCCTGCATGACTGTTTATTTATCTATTTTCATGAATAAATCTGGTCGAGTTATGGCTACTTAATTATCCACTTCAGAAAATTTCCTTAATATATAAGAAAATAAACAAACATCAGTGACATTTAAATGAGTGCTAATTTAAAATGGCATAAATAAATGTATTAATTACATAATAAATATAAATATCAGGTAACCAGGTTCAACTCTTTCTGCAATGTGGTTGTCGGACAAAGGCTTTCTTTGTGAGGACGCTTTGTGTGCATTCCTGCATTATGAGCTGAGCTGTTTATTTGGCAAGTATTATTAATTATATATATTATTTTATTTCATCTTGTATATGTGAAGCTGAGGCCGGGTCCGCGCGGAGCTCCTGGGCTGCCGGGGCCACCAGGACCCCCAGGGAAAGATGGCATCGATGTGAGTACATCCATGAAGTGGATTCAAATCCCATACATCTTTAACTCTATTTAATTATTAGTTACTTGTTTTAAAGAAAAATGAATGCATTTACATGATGACAATAGACATGTTTATAAGAGAAATACCTGTGCAATATTAATCCCTTTCTCAAATATTTTGCAACCAAATGTTCACAGTGTTTCCTCTAATGTTTATTCTTCTGGAGAAAGTCTTGTTTGTTTTATTTGGGCTAGAATAAAAGCAGTTTTTAATTATTTTAAAATAAATTTTAAGGCCAATATTATTAATAAGCAATATTACAAACCACTGTTATACGATGACTTGCCTAATTACCTCCCTAATTACCCTAGTGAAGCCTTTACATGTCACTGTAAGCTGAACACTAGTGTCTTGAAGAAGATCCAGTCTAATATTATGTGCTGTCATCATGATGAAGAGAAAATAACTCAGCTATTACTAGTAATTAGTTATTAAACTATTATTAAATGTAATGATCTTCTCTCTGTTAAGCAGAAATGAGGGAAAACATATATAAATGAATGATAGATATATATATATATATAGCACTGGAATGTTTAGGCAGGCAGTGTTGTTGCAGGCTACGGGTTGTGAGGAGAACCTGTGAGGAATTTCAGCATGTAAACGGTGAAAGCGCTGAATGTTTCCTCAGTAAACGAGAGTCAGGTTTAGTGCGGGTGACAGAGAGCCCATTCATTCAGCCTCAGATCAAACAGTGCGTCTACAGTTCCCCAAACCCCCTCCTGAACACTCAGATATTCACCACCCGCAGCCAAAGAGCGCAGAAAGCTGGAGATGTTTGTGATGATGAATCTACACGGTTAAAATACCCCTAAATGAGCAGCGTTCTGTGTTTTGTGATTGATGTTTCACGCATTTATTTCTGCTTTTGAGTTGCATTATGGGATCTTGATCTTTCTAGTAACTTTTAACCTTGAAAAGTTGTCAAGAGTGAGCTGTGCAGTGCTGCATAGTGTGTGCTGGTGCTGTATATTACTCTACAGAAGCCTTGCAGCACATGTTCTGCTATTCTACACTCTTATTCCTCTACATATGATCTCTTATATTATTTCACACCACTAAAATGTCAGTAAAAGTCTCTTTGTTAAACTGTAGAGTTGAATTATGAGCATCAGGAGTGGACAGAGCAGAGATCAACATCCCATAATGCAGTTCACCACCGCTAATAAACACAAGCTGTTCATCATCAGAGATTGTTCACAGTGTAGTTGTCATTTATCTGAGCAGGTTTGCTTATTAAACTCATTGATTGTGTTGTTTGTCTCCTGCACAGGGTAAAACAGGCCCTGCTGGACTTCCCGGAAAGCCTGTGAGTAAATCTCCTGATGAAAAATCCTCTCATAAACCATAAATACAAGCCACGCTTCAGTTAAATGCGCAATTCACACTGTTATCCAACCATTCACCAGAACTTTTAGCTCAGTAAACTAATGATTATCTGCTTGTCAGTGGGAAAGACTGTAGTATACACAAGACATGTCACTCGTATTCTTTGAATGGAGAAAAGTCTAACTATTAATATGGCAAATGAAGCCCGCCTTCTAGTACAGGAACCAATCAGCGGTCACTATATGTCGAATATAGCCCGCCTTCTAGCAAAGAACCAATCAGCGGTCACTATATGTCGAATATAGCCCGCCTTCTAGTACAAGAACCAATCAGCGGTCACTATATGTTGAATATAGCCCGCCTTCTAGTACAAGAACCAATCAGCGGTCACTATATGTTGAATATAGCCCGCCTTCTAGTACAGGAGCCAATCAGCGGTCACTATATGTTGAATATATTCTTCCCTCTAGTACAAGAACCAATCAGCGGTCACTATATGTCGAATATAGCCCGCCTTCTAGTACAGGAGCCAATCAGCGGTCACTATATGTTGAATATAGCCCGCCCTCTAGTACAAGAACCAATCAGCGGTCACTATATGTTGAATATAGCCCGCCCTCTAGTACAAGAACCAATCAGCGGTCACTATATGTCGAATATAGCCCGCCCTCTAGTACAAGAACCAATCAGCGGTCACTATATGTCGAATATAGCCCTCCTTCTAGTACAAGAACCAATCAGCGGTCACTATATGTCGAATATAGCCCGCCCTCTAGTACAAGAACCAATCAGCGGTCACTATATGTCGAATATAGCCCGCCTTCTAGCAAAGAACCAATCAGCGGTCACTATATGTCGAATATAGCCCTCCTTCTAGTACAAGAACCAATCAGCGGTCACTATATGTCGAATATAGCCCGCCTTCTAGTACAAGAACCAATCAGCGGTCACTATATGTCGAATATAGCCCGCCCTCTAGTACAAGAACCAATCAGCGGTCACTATATGTCGAATATAGCCCGCCTTCTAGCAAAGAACCAATCAGCGGTCACTATATGTCGAATATAGCCCTCCTTCTAGTACAAGAACCAATCAGCGGTCACTATATGTCGAATATAGCCCGCCTTCTAGTACAAGAACCAATCAGCGGTCACTATATGTCGAATATAGCCCGCCCTCTAGTACAAGAACCAATCAGCGGTCACTATATGTCGAATATAGCCCGCCTTCTAGCAAAGAACCAATCAGCGGTCACTATATGTCGAATATAGCCCGCCCTCTAGTACAAGAACCAATCAGCGGTCACTATATGTCGAATATAGCCCGCCTTCTAGCAAAGAACCAATCAGCGGTCACTATATGTCGAATATAGCCCTCCTTCTAGTACAAGAACCAATCAGCGGTCACTATATGTCGAATATAGCCCGCCTTCTAGTACAAGAACCAATCAGCGGTCACTATATGTCGAATATAGCCCGCCCTCTAGTACAAGAACCAATCAGCGGTCACTATATGTCGAATATAGCCCGCCTTCTAGCAAAGAACCAATCAGCGGTCACTATATGTCGAATATAGCCCGCCCTCTAGTACAAGAACCAATCAGCGGTCACTATATGTCGAATATAGCCCGCCTTCTAGCAAAGAACCAATCAGCGGTCACTATATGTCGAATATAGCCCTCCTTCTAGTACAAGAACCAATCAGCGGTCACTATATGTCGAATATAGCCCGCCTTCTAGTACAAGAACCAATCAGCGGTCACTATATGTCGAATATAGCCCGCCCTCTAGTACAAGAACCAATCAGCGGTCACTATATGTCGAATATAGCCCGCCTTCTAGCAAAGAACCAATCAGCGGTCACTATATGTCGAATATAGCCCTCCTTCTAGTACAAGAACCAATCAGCGGTCACTATATGTCGAATATAGCCCGCCTTCTAGCAAAGAACCAATCAGCGGTCACTATATGTCGAATATAGCCCTCCTTCTAGTACAAGAACCAATCAGCGGTCACTATATGTCGAATATAGCCCGCCTTCTAGTACAAGAACCTGACTGACATTTTTCCGGGGGAGGGGCTTGGACCTGATGTGAATTTCTGCAGATTTTTTATGACTCAAATGTTTAGAAATGAAACTAAAGACACCGTTGTTGATTAATGTACTTGTTTCATAATGTGAAATGTGATCGTAGGCTTGGCAAGCAATTTTAGAGAATTTGATGTTTCCCGATTTAAACAGAACGCCTGAACATACCGCCCGAGAGGTGTTTCAAAGAGGGCCGCCAAGTGAAATGACTTGCCTTTAAGGGACTTTGTTAATAGTTAGTAACGTAAGGGTTGAGGTGTTGGGTATATGCAGAAGCATGCTAATGGGACTATTAATTTGCCAGTAACCTGGGTTAAGTGCTTCCGTATACTTGATGCGTTCGCTGTTGAGATATTCTCTAAAACTACAGGAGGCGGTCAAAAAAAAAGAAACACCGTAAAATCAGATGCATAAACATAAAGGCGGGAGGAACTGCGTCAGATCATTAACATCCTTTACGGTTTTTTAATCACGCTTGGTTGCATCTCTTGCTTTTGTTCATATCTCAGACAGTTCTACCTCTCGATGTTTATTAAGATATTAATGACAACCGAACATGGGTTACTCTACAAATATATTTTATTATGGCTAGAATAAAAGAACACATTTCCCAGTGATGGGTTGCGGCTGGAAGGGTATCCGCTGGGTGAAAACTTGCTGGATAAATTGGCGGTTCATTCCGCTGTGGCGACCCCGGATTAATAAAGGGACTAAGCCGACAAGAAAATGAAAGAATGAATGAATGTTATTATTTAGAGGGCGGAAAACTAAATAATAAAAAAAACACACAAACCAAATAATACACAACATCTTCCCTGATGGTTATTAATTATTCTATATTTATTTTTCACCATGAATACATACATTACATGAAGTAAATAACATCTAAAGGTTTTAACCGTGGCCAATCACATTCATCCATTCATTTTCTTTCAGCTTAGTTCCTTTATTCTTCAGTGGTCACCACAGCGGAATGAACCGCCAACTATTCCAGCATATGTTTTACGCAGTGGATGCCCTTCCAGCTGCAACCCAGTACAAACACTCATTCACACACACACACTCATACACTATGGCCAGTGTAGTTGATCAGGTCCCCTTTAGCGCATGTGTTTGGACTGTAACGCCACATTCACACAGGCCGCCAGTGTCAACGCTTCCCATTCACTTTGAATAGATGACGTCAGGCGTTGCCAAACTGCATTGTGGATCCGTCAGCGCCGCTTCAGTGGCGTTGCTCGCTGCGGAAGTTGCGACTAGCTCAACTTTTCAAGCGTCGACGGAAGCGTCAGCCAATCAGATTGCTGCATGCAAATACACCAGCTAGACAGTGGCCTATTGCTGACTGAATTTCATTGGCTGATGCTGCGATGACGATCACTTCAGCCCCAACTTCAGACACGCCTTCTGTCAAACATTGACGCTGAAGCCTCGTGTGAATGGGGCGTAACCGGAGCACCGGGAGGAAACCCACGCCAACATGGGGAGAACATGCAAACTCCACAGAGAAGCACCAACTGACCCAACTGGGACTCAAACTGATAATTATTAGGCATTTCAAGAAGCACTTAAAAGCACAACGATTCCAGCGTTTGATGTTTCAGATTACTAATATTATTTAGATGGGGCGTCACGGTGGCTCAGTGGTTAGCACAATCGCCTCACAGCAAGAAGGTTGCTGGTTCGAGCCTGGACTGGGTCAGTTGGTGCTTTTGATTAACTAAACTGGCCGTAGTGTATGAATGTGAAGGAGTGTGGATGGATGTTTCCCAGTGATGGGTTGCAGTTGGAAGGGCATCCGCTGTGTAAAAAATATGCTGGATAAGTTGGCGGTTCATTCCACTGTGGCGACCCCAGATTAATAAAGGGGCTGAGCCAAAAAGAAAATGAATGAATGAATGAATGTTATTATTTAGAGGGCGGCACGGTGGCTCTGTGGTTAGCACTGTGGCCTCACAGCAAGAAAGGTTTGAGTCCCAGCTGGGTCAGTTGGTGTTTCTGTATGGAGTTTGCATGTTCTCCCCATCCTCCGGGTGCTCCGGTTCCCCCCACAGTCCAAACACATGCACTATAGGGGAACTGATCAACTACACTGGCCGTAATGTATGAGTGTGTGTGTATATGAGTGTGTATGGTTGTTTCCCAGTACTGGGTTGCAGCTGGAAGGGCATCGGCTGTGTAAAATATATGCCGGAATAGTTGGCGGTTCATTCCGCTGTGGCGAATTCTGTTGTGTAGATTCAGCACTGAATGATGCATGACTTCATTATTCATTATTAACGTGCAGCAGGTTTTAAAAGCTGGTTCTGAGATTAATAAGATGTGGATCTTGTGCACAGATCATGCTTTGACTTTAAAACTCTTTATTTTGTGACTGAAGGGTCCGAAAGGAAAAGCAGGTAAAGCGGGCGCTGCTGGAAGCCCAGGACTGCCAGGCCTGCCCGGTGTGGATGTAAGTCAACAATGGAGGATTTTTCCCAATCTGGCACCCTTTTACTGTGTAAATGAAATCTATTATGCATTAAAAAACTGCCTTCTGTAGGGTTTGACTGGTCCAGACGGTCCCGCTGGCAAAGATGGACCACCAGGAGCACCAGTAAGTCATTTATTTAACTTCATCACTCCTTAGCAATTAAATCCTAATCTAATAATGCCAGACGATCTGTCATTGGAAAGGTTTAAGTCTTCTGAACACACACGTTACCTTATGTAAAACACATTTACCCTCACTCTACATCCTGTGGAGCATTTACGGTTACATATTTAAAGCATAGTGTTATAATCTAAACATTAGGCAATCGTAACAAACTATACATCATTTAAAGGAAAAGCATTTCCAGGTTTCGTATCTGGGGATTTTTTCATGATAGATATCACTGAGCAACAGTCATTTATTCATTCACAACAAGAATACTCAGAGTGGTAAAGCATTACTTTGCTACAGCAATCCACATTTCAGATGCTTTAAGGGGCTAAATTCAAGTTAAATACCATCAAACTGCACATACTACTTTAATATTGTATGTCTACTTTACAAATATTGTCAAAAGTGTGATAAAATAGGGTTCATGTTCCTGAAAACACAGGAGACCTTATATGGTCATCCGAATGTAACCTGGTGGTCGTGTCTAGTACTGCAAGGCTGAGAGCACTATATGTTTTGCTCGTCCAGAAAATGCTTCTTGACTTAGGATTATTTAGATATTTGGACTAGAAACGAGATGTAATAAAGCATTGTGGTTTATTGGTTTTAACACATCAGCAATAGAAGGCATCTCCAGTAAATTAAAAAGCAATGTAGTTAAACCACCATATAAAGCCGTCTCATTCTGCCAGCAGCTCTCCCGTAATGATGATTGTGAAATATCTTGATGTTGTGGGCTAAAGCCGTCTCTCAGGCCAGATTTAATGAGGTTCAGGTGACTTTACACGAATCTCTGCTTCTTCTTAATCCCGGCTGGAATGTGAACTCTTCCCACCACAGGTTTGATTTTAATTAGTCTTCAGGAATAGGCAGAAATCAGGATAACTCTGTGTGACTGGGAAGGTCATGTGATGAGATTGGAGAAAATAAAGAGCAATATTAGAGTCCTTTATTTCACTGCTCTGTTTTACACTGCAAAAAGTTTAAAGTAAACTAGATTATTAGACTTTATATTTACGAAAAGAATAAAACAGTACATTTTAAGATAATACATAAAATATGTATTTTACAAATCCTGTTTTAGCCAAAACTGTACATGAAAGCAGAGCTAAATATAAATGCTTTACACAATAGGGGGGAGATCTCCTTATCCACCACCAGTGTGCAGCATCCACCTGGATGACACGACGGCAGCCATTTAGCGCCAGACCGCACACCACACACCAGCTGATTGGTGTAGACAGAGACAGAGTGATGATATGCCAATGATGATATGGGGAGGGTTAAGAGGCCATGATGGACAGAGGCCAGTGGGCAGATTTGGCTGCAGTACAAGACATGACCACCAAGTGATATTCAATTTCCATAGGTGAACATACAAGAGCGCCCCCTATGTTTGAAGGAATGTGAACTCATTTTTCATTCATTCATTTTCTTGTCGGCTTAGTCCCTTTATTAATCTGGGGTCGCCACAGCGGAATGAACTTATCCAGCATTATGCAGCGGATGCCCTTGAACTCATTTGTATTTTTTGTCAATGTTTGTAAACTAGATTTCTAAAGTAGTCGTGATATTTGATTTGAATTTAGCTTCTAAGAGGGAGAGAGAAGATGGAGATGCCAAGATGCGCATACAGTTGAGATGTTCTACAGTGTGCTGGTTATCCACTCACACACATTTCCATGATCACATGATCTCTTATAACACAATCACATCACCTTTTTAATGCACATACTGGAATTTGTTCGGTAAGAGTGTTTTTCTCATCAAATAAAAAGTTTATCCTACTCAGCTATGTGCATATGTTTTTTATGCGCATTTTCTAAACTTATGCGCATCTTGGCGTCTCCATCAACCGGTTTTTATGCGCATCTCCACAATGAGCATTAAAATAGGTGGATGGAAATGTAGCTTATGATTGTTAAAGTGACAGAGGTCATTTTATAGTATGCAATAATAACAATGACACAACAACCTCAAAACATCAATTCTGAGTGTGCCTCACACAGGTGAGTAGGCTTTACAAACCACCTGTAGAAAACACTCTCTGTCATCTCTGACATTACACATGGGACGATAATTGTTTTCAAGGTATATCGCGGTTTGAAAAAGTCAAGGTTTTAGAACCGCCAATATTTCTGTAATATCGTTCCTAAGGTATGTGTAAGATTTTTTACTTATTGTTTTTTTAGGACAGCAGAGTATCTCCTGCAGAAAAATATCAAATGTTTTTATTTGTAAAGAATTAAAAATATTTTACTGCTTCAACATATTACAAATGTTTCAAGAAATTAAATATATATTGTGTACAAAGGGGAAAACAAGTTTAGTTTTTTATCCAGACATTTAAAAAGAATATATTGTAGAGCAGTAATCTCAATATCATAAAACTATGACATTCTTATCCAAGGTTATCACACCGTCATAAACTTATACCGGCCCATACAGAACAACAAAAAAATAATAATTATATATATATATATATTGTGCATTTATGAAATGAGATGTGAGTGGGTTTGACAAACCACCTGTAGAAACACTCTCTCCATGTGCAGACACTTTCTTATAATCACACTATATCTCTAGAAAAACATTGTGCATTTCTGAGTGTGTCCCACACAGGTGAGTGGGCCTGACAAACCGATTGTAGAAACACTCTTCTCTCTTTGGGGTCTGTTTTCTGTTTCTCATCAGTTTAACGTCAGAGACTTATTTCTCCCTCTTCTTCTTATTTGTTTGCTGTTGTAGGGTGACTCCGGACCCCCTGGACCCGATGGACCCCCTGTATGTGCCACGCATCAGTAAATCCACAGTAAACACAGTCATATATCATATTTAATATTCAGCCGATTTACAACAGCACACAATTAAATGCCACGTTTGACAACTCTAGTGCTGTATCTGAAATCACCCCTTGTTCACTGTTCCCTACTGTGGTCCACTAAACTGCTTTACTGTCAATCTCGTGCATCCGCCATCATTGTAGTGTTTTATACTTTTGACCTGCGTTTATAGGTCTAATACAATTATGTTTGTTTTGTTTACTTTTGTTTAGTTTGCTTTTGTTTGTTTACTGTTGTTTTGTTTACGTTTGTTTTGTTTACTTTTGTTTAGTTTGCTTTTGTTTGTTTACTGTTGTTTTGTTTACGTTTGTTTTGTTTACTTTTGTTTAGTTTGCTTTTGTTTTGTTTACTGTTGTTTTGTTTACGTTTGTTTTGTTTACTTTTGTTTAATTTGCTTTTGTTTTGTTTACTTTTGTTTAGTTTGCTTTTGTTTTGTTTACTGTTGTTTTGTTTACATTTGTTTTGTTTACTTTTATTTAGTTTGCTTTTGTTTTGTTTACTTTTATTTAGTTCACTTTTGTTTTGTTTATTTTTATTTGTTTACTTTTGCTTTGTTTACTTTAGTTTGTTTTTGTTTTGTTTACTTTTATTTTGTTTACATTTGTTTTGTTTACTTTTATTTAGTTTGTTTTTGTTTTGTTTATTTTTATTTGTTTACTTTTGCTTTGTTTACTTTTGTTTTGTTTACTGTTGTTTTGTTTACATTTGTTTTGTTTACTTTTATTTAGTTTGCTTTTGTTTTGTTTATTTTTTTTGTTTACTTTTGCTTTGTATACTTTTTTTGTTTACTGTTGTTTTGTTTACTTTTGTTTCGTTTACTTTAGTTTGTTTTTGTTTAGTTTACTTTTATTTTGTTTAGTTTTGTGTATTTACTTTTCTTTTGTTTTGTTTCATTTACTTTTGTTTCAATTTATTTTGTTTTGTTTAGTTTCGTTTACTTTTGTTTGGTTTAGTTTACTTCTGTTATGGTTTAGCAACCCAGCTTGTGGTTCCAGAGCTCTAGCTAATTTGGTTCTTTAATTTGTGAATTGGATTGAAATATCAGAATTAACTGTGCTGGTGTTTATTTTAAGTGCTGGTGGCAATAAAACATAATGACATCAGCTGATTAATATTGAAATATCAGTCATGTAAGCAAAATCGAGTTCCACCATTTGTAGCTTTAGTTCAGGCTCACGCTTTTATGTGCAATTTTTTTGTTTTATTTTAGCTGTTAGTGGATTTACTTTACATGACAGCACAGTTTTTTAATCCCACTATATAAGACTTAAATTACTATGTAAAATTATTTAAATTAATTTTGAGAGGTGGTCTGCTTAATAGCTGTCAACACTCAAATTTACATTACTAAATAAAGAGTATAAAAAGTTTCTCCACAAATAAATCTCTTGATGTCAGATCTTTTGTTTACGTTTGTTTAGTTTTGTTTACTTAAGTTTATTTTTGTTTTGTTTATTTCACTTTTGTTTACATTAGTTTGCCTTTGTTTTATTTACTTAAGTTTTGTTTTGTTTACTTGAGTTTAGTTTACTTTAGTTTCCTTTTTGTTTTGTTTACACTTGTTTACTTGTGTTTACTTTAGTTTACTGTTGTTTTGTTTACTTTACTTTGGTTTTGTTTCGTTTACTTTAGTTTAGTTCACTTTTGTTTTGTTTACTTTACTTTAGTTCACTTTTGTTTTGTTTACATTAGTTTACTTTTGTTTTGTTTCGTTTACTTTAGTCTAGTCTACTTTAGTTCACTTTTCCATCAGACCACCATAATTAGTTTTACTCTCTAAAAATAATGTATATTGAATATACAGTGTGGTGCAACAATAAAATGTCAACAGCTCTTTTCTCTCATTGTTTTCAGGGCAGAGGGAGGCCAGGAGCTCTGGTGAGTGCATGTCAAGCACTAACTAAAAGAAGACTTATGTTGAAATAATGGCTAACAATTTCTAGCACTATGATTATTCACAGAGGATGCTGAAAAATGCAAATGTCCAGAGTCAAGCACTGGTTTTGTGTGTGGATGTGTTTAATCACAGGGTCTCGCTGGAGCCAATGGTCTTCCAGGAGGAGCGGGACCCCAGGGTCCGCCGGTGAGTGCACATTTAGTGGGATATTCATTAGTAAAGCGTTTGGTTGTTCTGCTTACAAAGTCTTCATGTATAGCGAATGCACCATGAAGCGACTCAGCTGACTCTTAAAGGGAATGAGAGACGAGACTCTGATTGGTTTAATGCACGTTCTGCTCAAAACACACCCAGAACTCATGAAGAGAATCAGCACAGCCCTGTTACATTATGCTCCTGGTGCACCAACTGTTTTTCCCCTCCTTAAAATAGTGTATTCAGACATGGCCACAGTGCTTCCGCGCCAGCTTTAGACTGCGCTTAGATCATTAAAATCAAGCCCTTAACGTTTATTAGTAGTTTCCCGATCATTTTTAAAGATATATATTACAATCGGATTCTTAAAAACATTAAAATAACATACCAAACATGTTTCTCCAGCACTGGTCCTGTTGTATGAACAAATGTTTGGTCCCGGTGACAGGTTTCTGTGGTTGTTTTTAGGGTCCTGAGGGTCTGCCAGGACTCCCTGGTCTCCCAGGCACAGACGGACCTCCTGTAAGTACATGCAGCGCCCTCCAGAGGAGCAAATGTGCACAACACTTTACATATAATAATCATCATGTGCTCCTCTTTTGGGTTTAGGGACTTCCAGGAACTCTTCCTGAAGGCAGTGGAGATCTTCTGGTATGTATTATGTGTGTTGTGTTGCTGTTTTTGTATCATGATGGAACCGATAATCATCCTGACTGTTCAAATTCGCCCATATACCACTATCCACATTCATATGTGTGTCTGCTCGTCTGCACTTTTTGACTGTTTGGTGAATAATCTAGTGAATAAATAACACATGGGTCAGAGTATGCTCCATTCAGCCAGTTTCATTTGTCAGCTTTGCATTTAATTAAAGAATTAATGAACTACTGAGGCACAGAACACTGTTTATGTCTGATGTTTATGTTTTGTGTCCGTGTAGTAAGCAGGATAAAGCACAGCAGGAAGGTTGTTTTCTCAGAATAAACCCTTCAGTCTTCTACAACAGTGCTGCGCTTCACATCTGGCTGCTGATAAACATGTCAGGCTTTATTCTGAGATAACAACCTCCTGGATCTGCTTTATCCTATCATATTAGCTAGGATGATGCTAGTTTTATTTGCTTGAGGATTAATCGCGTTGCTTTACCTGTAGTGTCCTGCCATCTGCCCTCCGGGTCCTCCTGGACCTCCAGGAATGCCTGGATTTAAGGTATTTGACCACAGCAACAATAGATCAGCTCTGGAGAGAACAATATAGGTCTTTTATTATTAAGGATATGACTGTGTTTTGCTTCAGGGTCATACAGGCCATAAAGGAAGTAAAGGAGAGTTGGGGAAAGATGGTGAGAAGGTGAGATGCTGTGATAGATTGAAGCACTATGCTCTTACTGAACCTGAAGCAGGGAATAACATGTTGTGTTGTGTTTTTATCCACTCATTAGGGGGATCAGGGCCCGCCGGGTCCACCAGGAGTCCCAGGAACTGTGGGATTACAGGTGAGAATAATTCACAATAGGGCTGAACAGTATACTGTTTGAGCATCGATACAGCAGTGCGTGCATCTGCAATAGTCACATCACAGGATTAGATTATTAAAGAGTAAAAGAGAAAGATATTCTTGAATATGCATTTTAAAAAAATGAGTTATACAATGATCACCATGTTATTTTACGTTCGACTGTTCAATTTCTGTCCTTGAATACTGTTAGACTGTTAGAAAAGCGTAAAGCACTGTTCATTTATTTATTTACTTATTTATTTTGCTTGTATTTGTTATAATTTATGCAGATGCACAAAATAATGTTTGCAAATACAGCTATTCAAATCATCTGGGGAAATGTTATACAAATCGCAGTACATGTATCGCGATGTTCTGTTTTTCCAATATCGAGCATCTCCATCTTACCTTTGGCCATGCTTTTAGACCAGGGCCCGGTCTTTCAAAAGGTTTAATCCAGATGAAATTGATCCGGATTTAGTAATCCTTTTTTTGCAATCCGTGATCGCGTAATCCAGTTTGCTTTTTAAGCCAGTTTTTCAAAGCAACATCAGATTGGCTCAGTCTGATCCGGAGAGGAAGTTTTCAGGATCACTAAATCTGGATAACCAGTGCTCAAACAGGACATCACAATGTAGAACTCTAGATATGTAAAGAGCGACAAGTAGAATAGCCAGTGTGGGGTCAGTATAACCTTATTTTTATTAGAAATGAGACACACACATTAAAAAAATAAATAAAAACAAGAAAAAGCCAGCCCATCCCAACACAAACACTGTACAGTGAGGATATTTATAACAAGTTTCAAATATAGATGTATTGAATTAAAAAAAAGACTTAATATCAAAAACTCCACAGTAATGTCAGACTTCCTCATCTGATGTGGAGAGAGCAGCTTGTCTGAGCGTGATCTCAGGTCTGGTCTCGGTTTGCTGCAGTTTGGTCAGGGTCAGCTGTTCCTCTGCAGATGAAGCTTTGCTTCTGCACTTTCAGTCTGTTTCTGCAATTGTTGAAAGTGATTTTAAATATCAGTCATTGCCATTCTTTGCTTTTTTTGGTGATTCTGTAATCATTGCATGCATCACTAATAAATATTCTAAATTGAAAATATTTTCCATTGTGATGAATATATATATATAATCAATTAGTGACCGAATAAAACGGATTGTTTTTGGTCAGTTTTGACAGCTGTTTGGGGGATTATTTTATGAGCCCAAACTCTTTCTACTTTGCTGTAGGCCTATACTGAAAGGCTGAATATGTTAAAGCCTGTATCACTGTAGCCTGATGGATGAACAAATAAAATTACAACCTTATAAATAGTTCTCCCTGCATTCGCGTGGGTTTCCTCCGAGTGCTCCGGTTTCCCCCACAGTCCAAACACATGCGCTATAGGGGAATTGGGTAGGCTAAATTGTCTGTAGTGTATGAGTGTGTGTGTGTGTGTGTGGATGTTTCCCAGAGATGGGTTGCAGCTGGAAGGGCATCTGCTGCGTAAAAACTTGCTGGATAAGTTGGCGGTTCATTCCGCTGTGGCGACCCTGGATTAATAAAGGGACTAAGCCAACAAGAAAATGAATGAATGAACCTTATAAATAAATAGGATATGTTGTAAAATACTGCATGATCCAAATATTGCATTGTTTAATACATTTTTGAAGTTTTCATTACATTTGATGCACATGCTGAATTCACCCTCCTGATGGGATCAGTTTAATCCAGATTAAAAGTGATCCAAATCCTACAGAAAAGGTCAGAAAAACCTAAAGTTTTAATCTGGATCAGAACCAAGATTGGATTACGTGATCTAATCCGATTATGTAATCCGTTTTTTCCTTTGAAAAATCCATTTTCAAGATTTGATCCAATCCCTCATCCAAAATCCCAGTGGATTACTTTTGAAAAACCGGGCCCTGGTGTAAAGATGTGTTTGGGCTGATGGGCTAAGAAGTAGACATTCCCATTTAAACCAGCTCATTAAAACATCTGTTGTGTTCACGTTTGACCACTTTTCTGCAGCGAGGGTCTGTTGATAGTTTGACAGCATTATGAGAACGCCCCCTGCTGGACAAACATTACTATCTCCCGCTGAGGGCTGAGTGATTTATTATTTTCTTATGCTAAAAAGACCAATAATTGTTAATAATAATAGGATATAGTGTTACTAACCAATGAGAAACACGCCTGAGCTGTGCTTCTGGAGAATTCCCTCATAGAAAGATCCGCCAAAAAGGAGAAATGTTTGGATTTGTGCTGATTGTAGCACCAATGACCCAAAACACTCTACAGTACCTATAACTGTTAGTGCGTTTGTGAGCTTTATTCAGTTTCTATTCTGTTTTACAGATTAAGTGCAGTTACAGTATAAATCGGCATGCAAAGTCAAAGCAGAAGAGAACAGATTGATTTTCCCTACAAGCAAATATTAATCTAAAAACAAACTGACACCAAATATACACTTACACGCTATAATGCAATCACCAAAGACTGAATCTCTGAGGAATATCCACAAGATAAATCTAAACATGGCAGAGTTGTAGCTCTGACAGAGACGTGAGGGATTAATTGGCTGAAAAACACACAGAATATGGATCATAAGTGCACACAATCTACAGTTTATGATCATATCTTGGTTTCGTTTTGTTGATATGCGATCCAAATATTGGTAGCTTAAAATGAATGAAAATATGAGCGGATTGTGCTTCATTTTTGGGTGAACTGTCCCTTTAAGTAGGGAGATGTTTCAAATGTCTAAATGTTTGGATGATGGATATATATAATACTAATACATATTTATTTTAATGTATATTTGTGGAAATGTCTACATTTTGGCACTCATTCTCTTGTTCTCTGCTTTATTCAAGGGCTCTCGGGGGCTGAGAGGGCTGCAGGGTCCGGTCGGAGCAGTAGGAGACAGAGTAAGACCTCAAAATCCCCACACTACACACAGCTGAAGGAAAACTATCCGCCCTCCTGTTTGAATTTTAAAGTATTTCCCATATGCTGTTTCTCAGATTGAGGAGTTGTTCACAGTGTTTCCTCTAATGTTTGTTCTTCTGGAGAAAGTCTGATTAGTTTTATTTGGGCTAGAATAAAAGCAGTTTTTAATAGTGTTAAAGTCATGTTAAGCTCAATATTATTCACCCCTTCAGCAATATTAGTGTTGGATTGTCTCCAGAACACACAACTGTTATACAATGACTTGCCTAATTACCCTAACTGTACCCTAATTACCCTAGTGAAGCCTTTACATGTCACTGTAAGCTGAACACTAGTGTCTTGAAGAATATCTAGTCTAATATTATGTGCTGTCATCATGCTGAAGAGAAAAGAAAATTATTAATGATTAAAACTACTACTGTATGTTGAAATATATTTTTAAATATTTATTTTGATATATTAAAACAGATTGAACAGTTAGATGCACTCACTGAATGATCTCCGCACTCTCTGTAGGGAATACCTGGTTCCAGAGGAAAGCCTGGAATTGCTGGCATTATTGGGAAAACCGTGAGTAACTGCCCTTTGTTTTAAAGGTTTATTCTCAATAAGGTTTAGGTCAGGGCTACGGTCTTTATGTTGTGAATAATATTTGCCCTGTGTATCTTAAATAGGGGGATGTTGGAGAAAAAGGACCTCAAGGTTTTAAAGGGCCCAAAGGAGAGATAGTAAGCACTTTTTATCATCAGATCCTTGTTCACACTGCAGACCTTTCCATTTCTGTAGTATAAGGTTGACTAACGTTATCAACATCATCCTCTAAACAGGGGAAAATAGGCCCCAAGGGCGTGCCTGGAGGTGCAGGACCTAAAGGAGAACCTGTGAGGAACATATTTACAGCTTATCATTATTCAAAATATTACATTTATGTCTGATAATAATGCTGTTGTGTTGCCTAATTGTAGGGGATCCCTGGCAGGGACGGGAAGGATGGAACTCAAGGCCTGGATGGTGAAAAGGTGATAATCAGTGTGTGTTTTAAATGCGAATGTCTTTATTTATGTATTAAACACCAGCTGACTGTCAGTGTGTGTGTGTGTGTGTGTGTGTGTATAGGGAGATGCGGGCAGAGCTGGAGTGGCTGGTGAGAAAGGGCCCAATGGTCTGCCTGTACGTATTACCCTCATGTACACTGTTGAATAGACGAGCACACAGATATATACCCACGCAGAGAAGTCATGATCATAGAAATCAATAATGGGATTGTGTTTGGAAGTCTTTGAAATCAGCGTGGGAGATATTTTAAAAGGTTATTCTGACTGTGTCTTGATGCTGTGGTTTGTATCTTGCAGATTTGTGTGAGTGTGTTCGTGTGCATGTGCTCGCGTGCTCACGTGTGTGTGTGTGTAGGCTTTTACAGACTTTGAGTTATAAGCTTAAATATTATTCCAAATCTTTTCCAAATCAACATATTGTGTGTGTGTGTGTGTGTGTGTGTGTGTGTGTGTGTGTGTGTGTGTGTGTGTATCACAGCACAACTCCAGCAACTGACTCTCTCTCTGTATGTCCTGCAGGGTTTGCCTGGTAAAGCAGGAGCAAAAGGAGCCAAAGGAGGAGTCGTGAGTATATCGATCATTATTATTCTGATTATTAATACAGTAAGTTATATTAAATGAGGGGTAATGGTCTCCTCGTGTGGCAGTGGTGCTGTATAACACTGCTGAAGGAGTTTTTCTTTATAAATACAGCATAAAAGATGCATTATTTATAAATGTGTAATTGTTTTATTATTATTTTACATATTATTTAAATCGTGATTGTCATTTTCCTTTCTGCATCATTCTGTTTGATGTTTGGGAATTATGCCGTATGATTATGTATTTATTTTCATTTCTGTCCCGTTGCTGCATCGTCAATATGATTTTTTATTATTGTTTGAGTAATTAATATAATTTCCTGTACAGTTTAGTTATTAAATGAAGTCACGTCGCTGTGAGACTAACACAAGATCAAAACGTGAGCTCTCTGTACAGAGATGTCAAATATGGAGCAATCGCTGGCTTTATTGATGTCTAATAATCTTGTTTTATCACCTCACGACAGCATTTCTCATGTTAAACTCTAGTGTGACGCAGCTTTACACTGATTATATTTTGTATTCTTCATCTGACAGATTTAGTGTGGTGTTTGTGTCTCTGAATGAATCATATTTTGATCTGTCATGCTGTATAATTGACCAATTGATCTCTCCTGCAGGGTAATCCAGGAGAGATGGGAGAAGCGGGGCCGTCTGGAGAGCCAGGTATACCTGTATGTATCAGTTTCTGGCAGCTGTAGTGTATATAATGTATATAATGCATGATGATTTCAGCCAGTGGTGCTAAATCCTCTGGAGCTATAGCTGTGGAAGACACTGTAAAAATGCTTTATTGCTCAGAGTTTCTTGTCCAAATATCCAGAATTCTTAAATCAAGGATCATTTTCTACACAAGCAAAACATGTAGTGTTGTTTTCAGAAATAATGAGTCAAAATGAAGAGAGTTTTCCCCTAAAACAAGCAAAATAATCTGACAATGGGTGAAGCAGAGTAAGCTTATATAAAAAACAAGATTATTTCGCTTGTTTTAAAGTAAAACTCACTTATTTCTGACAAGTTTCTGATATATATAGTCTTATATAGAATCTTTGTCCCATATATATATATATATATATATATATATATATATATATACATACACACACACACACACACAAAAAAAAAAAAAATATATATATATATATATATATATATATATATACATACATACATACATACATACATACATACATATATATATATATATATATATATATATATATATATATATATATATATATATATATATATATATATATATATATATATATAAATAATGTTTCTTGATTTTAGAATTTATAGATATTTGGACTAGAAAAAAGACAAAAACTCTAGGTAGGAAGCATTTTGTATTGCAGTTTTTACAGTATAACACTGTATAAGATTAAAGTCCAGAAGGTATACGGCTGTGGCCGAAAGTTAACAATAATTATTTATATTATAACATCAATACAATTACCGTACAACAATAATTACTGTTTTTACATTACTCTGAGGGTTGGAGTAGACATTAATAAAATACAAATAATGGACAATTGAAAGGTGCAGTATATGAGTTTGACACCCAGTGGTTGTACTAGGTATTGCATTTCTGGATCAAAACACATGCAAGCGCAGGTTGCCAGATTGAGGACCAACAGGAGTTTGCTGTTGCTGATTTAAATCATGTTTTACCTAAAAGCAGCGGCACACGATTGAAGGAATATTCTCCATATTAAAGGAGTCTTTGCCCTAAACAACACCTGGAATTGTTTTATTAGAAACAGCTTCTGTTTCTCACAGCTGGACAACAGAAAACTGACAATGATCAGCTCAGGTACAGCTCATGTGCTTTATTCAGTGTTAAATGCCAATAAAATCAGTGTGAATGCTGATTTACGTGATGTTTATTGCTGTACTTCTGACAGCAGCAGCAGCAGATAGTTCAGCTCAGATCTGGAGAATAAATGAAAGAGTCTGAAACTGAGCTGAGACTCAGAGCAAACCAACACATATCAGTGATTCAGCATCTACATTTAATCATGCTCCGGCATATAACGCACATGTTCACAGCAGAATATCTGACTTGAGCGTTGTTTTTCAGATAAACAGGAATGCTCACTAATTTTTAAATATCTGTCAATATTTTATGGTATTTTTATGTTTTAGTCAAAAACTTACATACAGCACCTTTAATGCATATATTAATGACTACCGGCCTCAGCTGTATCCCTTTTAGCACTATTCCCACATAATAAGTAAATTTTTGAAAAACGTTTAGTAAATGCGAGTCCTCCCTCAGGGTGAGATCGGCATCCCTGGAGAGCGAGGAGAGGCCGGAGGCAGAGGTGTGGCTGTGAGTATACACTACTAAACTCTTTAAAGCTAGGATTAATAAACTGCTTTAATCCTGAGTATTCTCATATGATATCTGCATGTTCATTAGGGTGGCGTTGGAGTACCTGGAAACACTGGACCACAAGGTGTGAAAGGATTCCAGGTGAGCTGCGCATGTGTGCATTACTGTACAACAGTGTGCGATACAACTGTTATCTCCTAATGAAGTGCAATGAACTCAATTGATTCAGTTAACTTGCGTTTGTATCTAGATATATTGCTAACTGGGGATTTAGTGAGCTTATACACACTGCAAATAATGCTTTACTTGTTTTTTACTTACTTCGTTTTTGTCTTTTTTATAGTCCAAATATCTACAAACTTTTAAATCAAGAAGCATTTTCTAGACGAGCAACACATATAGTCTTGTATGAGTAATAATGAGTCAAAATGAAGAGAGTTTTTTATTAAAACAAGCAGAATAATCTGACAATGGAGGATAAAAGAATTATCGTATGTCAAATTGGAAATATATAGACCATTCTGCTTGTTTGAAGGAAAAACTCCCTTCATTTCACCTCAATAATTCTGAAAACAACACAATATTTTGTGCTTGTCTAGAAAATGCATCTTGATTTAAGGCTTTTTAGATATTTGCACTAGAAACGAGACCAAAACGTAAAGCATAGTTCTTTTAGAAAAGTGTTTTGCAGAGTGAGTGTATATCTGCACACATTTACATGAGTAAATAAACAGACTCAATGATGGGCTAAAAACTCTACGTATATTTCAGTGCATGCAGATTCAGCATGGGCCTGGTCATGACAGACGTTATTGAGCAAATGCAATATGTTAAAGGACATAAAAAAGGGAATATGGTCTAATGCATATATGTTGAAATAATTGGTAATGATGGATGAATTTGTGTGCAGGGTGTGAAAGGAGCTTTGGGAGATCCAGGTCTGCCTGGTCCAACTGGAATCAGAGGCGGGTTTGGAGAGCGGGTCAGTCATGCACAATAATCTCTCTCAGTAATTGTGTTTGTTTGTTTCTAGACTTTATTTACCCCTAAGCAGGACGTTTTTTGTATTTCAATATAGTGTGATGCAGTAAAGAATTTAAAAACAGTCAGAATTATTCACCCTCCTGGGAATCTCCTTTCCAGATATTTCCCAGATGCTGTTTCTCAGATTGAGGAGTTGTTCACAGTGTTTCCTCTAATGTTTGTCTTCTGGAGAAAGTCTTATTTGTTTAATTTGTGCTAGAATAAAGGCTGTTTTTAATAGTTTTTAACCCATTTTGAGGTCAATCTTATTAGCCACTTCAGCAATACTAGTGTTGGATTATACCCAGTAGGGTAAGCTAAATGATCCAGTTTTTGCTTTGACATATTTTTTCTCTAACCCCATTGTCAGATTATTTAACTTGTTTTCAGGAGAAACTCACTTCATTTTGACTCATTTTTTCTGAAAACACACAATATATTTATTACTTGTCTAGAAAATGCTTCTTGATTTAAGAGTTTGTAGATATTTGGACTAGAAGCACGACTCTGAGTAATTGCACATGTTTAACTCTCTCTCTCTCTCTCTGTGTGTGTGTGTGTGTGTGTGTGTGTGTGTCTTAGGGACCAGGTGGAGCTGGAGGACCTAAAGGAGACATGGTAGGATGCAGATGATGATGTGATGAAGAACATGATCAGTTGTGTGTTTTGTGTAGTGATTTAGTGTGTGTGTTTCAGGGAGTTGCTGGAAGTGATGGTCTGCCGGGAGAGAACGGAGAGCCTGTAAGTAAACCAGTCGGACGTATAAGCACAGTCATGTTCAACTCAAACATGTTCAATATATTAAAGGTTTTCTTTTATCTCAGGGTCCGTATGGTCCTGTCGGACAGAAGGGAGAGGTGAGATCACATTCATCAAATCAATCATTTTCATTTTTTCCACAAATGTCGACATGTCGTTACATGTTTTATTTTACATTAAAACCAGAACAAAATGATCTATTGAAGCATTATTATAATATTAATATTAACAGTAGTTACTGTATATATTTATGTATGCCTTTTTTAAGTGACTTTTGCTTAGAAGAGGAAACTCTGGTGCTTCTGGTGTGAATACATAATTATAAATGGACACTTAAACGTGCACGAATCTCAACCAAATACATTTGTTAGTTTTTATACTGTTCTCTGTATTATAGTTGTGTTAGAGGAAAGCATTTGTTTTATTGGTTAAACTACTGACCACATCTGTGTAAATGAAGACATTTGTACACACTTTTTACTACAAAATTGTTTATAAATCAATATTTGTACGGATTTGTAGTTAAAACGAATGAAAATAATTTATTTTCTGAAAATAATGCTCTGAATGACGGTATTTGTTTTTGCAATTTGGAAGAAATTATATCAGGCAAACCTTTTTAGAATAAATTATTAACATTTTACTTAAAAAAACAGCACTTGGGTATTTTCTGAGAAGTGCTCTATTAATGGTTTCTAGAGGTGTTTATCCATTATTTGTCTGTTTAGTAAATTGGCTATAATCACAAGATGATTAAAATAGATTTACAGTTCATATTAAAGTGCAGAATACTCCATTTTATTTAAAATAGACTTTATGGAGTTTCTCTGGGTCCAAAAGACATGCAGCATCAGTGAGTGAGCAGAACACAACAAAACTGTCGATGTGTGTAGAGGACTGTGATGATCTTCAGCAACAACTACTGTCAACTTACTACAAAACAGTGTGTGTGTGTGTGTGTGTGTGTGTGTGTGTGTGTGTGTGTTTTTATATATATATATATATATATATATATATATATATATATATATATATATATATATATATATTACAAATATAAATAGAGTCAGTTGAGGGCAGGTTTATTTATTTTTCAGATATTTCTCAAGTGATTTGTCTTTTATAATAATGTTTTAGGGGTTTTCACCTTTATTAATAGGACAATAGAGATTTTTACAGACAGGAAAGTGTGGGGAGCAGAGATAGGGAAAGGATCGACAAAAGACCTCAAGCCGGGAATCGAACTCGGGTCGCCACGAGCACCTGGGTGCTGTATGTCGACGCACTAACCTCTAAGCCAGTGGTTCTCAAACTGTGGTACGTGTACCAGTAGTGTTACGTGGGCTTCCTTCTAGTGGTACAAGAAGGAATCAAATATGTCATATGTACATGCTACATATATTTAAAAATTTATTTAAAAAGTGATTTATATATGAATATGATGAAATGAAGCCTATGTTTCCAGGTGTTGATAAATAGGCTACTATGTTAATTAGACTTTACAGGAGTACAGGAGGGTTTTTTTTTCTTTTTAAAAAGTAATCTGTAATTTTTAACTTTTAAAAGTACATTTTAATTTAAATGTTGACGTTTTGAGTGAGTAGTTACGCTACTGTATTTCAATACTGGTCATTATGGTGGTACTTGGAGAGTTTTTTTTTTCTGAGGTTGTGCTTGATAAAAAAAGTTTGAGATCCACTGCTCTAAGCTATTGGCCCCGACTTCAAGTCTTATTTAACAGATTGAGGAGTTGTTCAGTGTTTCCTCTAATGTTTGTTCTTCTGGAGAAAGTCTTATATGTTTTATTTGGGTTAGAATAAAAGCAGTGTTTAATAGTGTTAAAGTCATGTTAAGGTCAATATTATTCGCCCCTTCAGCAATATTAGTGTTGGATTGTCTCCAGAACAAACCACTGTTATACAATGACTTGCCTAATTACCCTAACTTTACCCTAATTACCCTAGTGAAGCCTTTACATGTCACTGTAAGCTGAACACTAGTGTCTTGAAGAATATCTAGACTAATATTATGTGCTGTCATCATGATGAAGAGGAAACACATCAGCTATTAGAGATTTAGAGAGTTATTAAAGCTATTATGATTAGAAATCTGCTCTCAGGTAAACAGAAATTGGGTGAAAAAATGAAATAATAATAATAATAAAATAAAATAATAATGTATATATTGTCGTCAATGCTTTTGACACTGAACACTTTTGAGTCCAAATGCATACAATATACTATTGTCATGTTTACTCTCCCTGCTATAGCCTGGTAAACATGGTGAACTCGGATCCAAAGGAGTCGTAGGACCCCAAGGAGAGACCGGAGCTAGAGGAGTGCCCGGAAAACCAGGACCGATGGGACTGCAGGGAGAACAGGGCTTCCCCGGGGTTGCCGGAAAAACAGGAGTTCCTGTAAGTCAACGCCTGACACTATACAGCCACCCCAAAATCACTCATTATGTAGACTTTAAATTACGTTTATTCAACCAGGAAGATTTTATTTTGACACAAATGACAGGCGTCTGCCAGAAGATATTAAGATGATGTGTAAGAAGAGGCATTAATGTGGATAATCAATATTTCTCAGCTTTTATTTACATTTAAACAAAAACTTTAAAGTCTGAATGAATTCTAAGCTGCTACCTTTTTTTGTTTGTTTTTTTCGTATTGTAAAGAAGTTCCTATAGAAACAGAATATTAATACGGAATATCTAGTGCGAGCTGATTGGATGTAGAAAGTAGGCGTGTCTTTCAGAAAGATGGGGAAAAGGGTTTGGGGTGAGTGATTACCACCTAACAGACTCCTCCTCCTCACCATATCTGTTTGTTGTCTGAACGGACAGCTGGAGGGGCGTGGTTAAGTTTGTTAGCCCCGCCCAATACCTCTAAGCAACCTAATCGGATTATTTAACACAAACAGGAAGTGCATTTGCAGATTTCAATTAAACATTACAAGAGCAAACTATTGTTTTCCTCTTAAACACTAGCAATGTGAGCTAACAACATCAATATGCTTAGTTTACTTTAAGTCTTGATAGAAGAATAGTTTGGGGCTTGACTCTATATGTGTGTCTCTGTAGTGATTTTGATGGTTGTTATTGCTGGGATTGTGTTGCAGGGCAAGCTGGCGAGTGAGCAGCACATCAGGGAACTGTGTGGATCAATGATTGATGGTATGAGCTGAGTTACACTCTTACACTGTAAAAAACATTAGCTGACTTTACTTTAAATAAGAGAGTAAACGTGTTGCCTTATCATTATTAAAGGTCCATTCTTTTCAGGTTTTAGTAATAGTATGTTAATCTGAAGAACATTTGTAGATATAAACCTGATATAAACATGTAAAGCTTGCAGTTTGTCACTTCCGCCTAAATGGATCAATGATTTTTTTCTCATCACTTCATACTTCAGTTACTCAGATCTTCTGACCAATCAAATGCTCTCTAGTATCAGACATGCCCCGCCCCCTTCATCTCATTGGTTGTTCATTTGATGTCCTTGAGCTAAACCACTCTCACTGGCAAAGTTTGAAGAAAAGCTAAATGCTATTGGCTGCTTTTTGTTAAAAGGGGGAGGAGTTACTCTATGTCCCGCCCCCTCTCTTCATTTTTCAATTAAGATTACATCAAATAAAAACATGCACATTTCAAAGCACTTCACAGGACTATAAGTAAACAAACAGCATAATTATTAAAGTTAAGTTAATGGATTTACTGACTTATTTTAAAGTAAGATCAACTTATTGATTTTAAGGCAACGGGTTTTTCATAGTAAAGTAGCTAATCATTTATTTGAGGAGGTTCCTGAAGCGGTTTATGTTGTCCACAGATCAGATAGCTCAGCTTGCCGCTAACCTGAGAAGACCTCTGGCTCCTGGGGCTGTGGGACGCCCTGGACCCCCTGGACCTCCTGGAGAGCAAGGAGAAGTGGGATCTATTGGCCACCCTGGATCCCTGGGCCCACCAGGATATAGAGGACTGCCTGGAGATCTGGGTGATCCTGGTCCTAGAGGTGAGAAGACGACCACATTGTGTTGTTATTAGTTGTGTTTCCAGTGAAAACAGCTGATCATTGTTAGTTTACATCAGCTCATTAAATTATACAATCATACAGCTTCTGATGTTATTAGTGTACTTTAACTGTGGAAATGAGGTCAGATTGAGCAGATTGTTAGTTTGTGTTAATGATGTTGATAATGAAAAGAGCGCCAAGGTGACTCTGCAAGATTTATTGTCAGATCTACCAATTCTATACACTTTATTTCTTTAAAAATAATCGGTATTAACTTTATGAAACTTGGAACAACTTGAAATCCTTACAGTAATTATTAATAACTGTATATATATACTGTTCATTCTGCAGGGGACGTCGGTGAGGCAGGTGATAAGGGGCCGATTGGTAAAGCAGTTGAAGGGCCCACTGGAGACCAGGGTGACCACGGTACGTATGGTCTTTATATAATAACTACATTAAGTACAAATATATATCACCAACCTGATTTCACCAAATACGACATGTTCCTGCATTCACATCTATGATGATCCTGGACCAACATTCCAATCAGCCAATCAGAATTAAGGGATGTGTTTACAGTTTATGTTAAGTTTAGGCTTATGGTTAGGTTTATGCACTTCTACTTGATTGTTATCCAACTCTTTTTCCCTTCTGATATTGAGTATAATATACAGGTATGGTTGGGTTTAGCTATGGATTACATTTTCCAACAAAAATGATGCTCCAGGATCAACATAGATGTTAATCCAGGATCGCATCATACTTGGCAAAATCATGAAGTGCAAATATATATACAGTGGTGTGAAAAAGTCTTACTGATTTCTTATTTTTCTGCATGCTTGTCACACTTTAAGGTTTCAAATCATCAAATAAATGTAAATATCAGTCAAAGATACACAAGTAAACACATCATGCAGTTTTGAAATGAAGGTTTTTATTATTAAGGGGAAACAAAATGCAGAACTACATAGCGGTGTACAAACATAACCTAAACTGAATTCAGGAATGAGAAACCAGAGTTCTGTAGCCACACACAGACCTGATTACTGCCACACCTGTTCACAATCAAGAAACCACTTAATTACAAGGTGAAGTAGACCAAAAGATCCTCAAAACAGCTAAACATCATGCAGAGAAAAACATATATTATAGAAAAAATATCAAATCCAAATTTTAAAAAAAGAGGAAAAATCAAGAAAAGCAAAAAATGTAACAATTTAGTTAAAATTTTGTAGGTTGTAATTTATTTTTGCAATATTTAGCTTGAATTTAATTGTATTATCTTTTAATTTCTAAACATGTTTGGTGACTAAAATATTATTTTAATTAATATATAAATTTTATTAATCTGTTTTGTTTAAATACACCAAAATACATCATCTATATTCACTGAGAAATGCAGGAAAATATTCATTTTCAAAATGGGCTAAATTCAATTATGAAAAAATAGTTTTTGTTTTGCCTTAATAATAAAAACTGCATGATATCTGTGCTTCATCTAGAACTGCACATCTATAATCCTCTTAGTCTATGCTGACATGATCTTCAGCAGCTCAAACACTCTAATGGCTAATGGACAGACGGCTGCTTCTCACTCAGGGCTGCTGTTTATGCTAATGAGATGGAGAGATGGGCACTAGTGGGCGGGGCTTTCCCCCTCTGATGACACGTACAAAGAGAGAATGTCAATCACAGTGTTTCTGCATCAAGAACAAACACAATTAACTCATGATCAGCATTAGAGACCGCTGCTGGAGATACACACACACACTGCTGACACACACACACTACTGGGTTCACAAATCATTTGTACTTTAAGTAATGTTCGTGTAATTGTTTGTGTCCATCAGGTCTGCCTGGTGTGGATGGCATCATTAAAGATGGCCGTGACGGAGCTCCTGGAGACCCGGGAGAGTCCGGAGAGCCAGGCAGAAGCGGCCGACCGGGACACCAGGGATCGCCGGGAATCTGCGACACAACAGCGTGTCAGGGCGCTGCACCTCACGGGAAATCCTCCAACCCCAAGAACCATTAACCAAAATAATAACAATTCCAGGAGTGCTTTTGGAGGAAAACAGAACTGAAGAAGAGTCAGCGGATCCCGATCAGCACTGCAGATCTGAGCAGATACTGATTCAGGGGAGTCTTCAAGAGCGTCAAAACGTGTAGATACAACCAAAGACTGATTCATCACACTGTGCTGATGTAGAAGAAATATATGTACTTATATTTCAGTCATCAACAACATGGTTAGCAGTGTCTTTGTGCAGCACAATTTCAAGTGTAATGAAGTGCAACTCTGAGCTTCATGAGGGATTTTACGGTGTCTACACTGCAAAATACTCTTCATTATGTTGAGTTTTAGTCTTGTTTACTGTTTAAAGAATTAATCATTCTTAAATCAAGAAGCATTTTTTTGACAATTAAAACATATAGTGCTGTTTTCAGAAATAATGAGTCAAAATGAAGAGAGATTTTCCTTAAAACAAGCTAAATAATCTGCCTATAGGGTTAGCTAAATAATGTTATTTCAAAGCAAAAACTTGATTATTTTGTTTGTTTTAAGAAAAAACTCTCTTCATTTAAAATCATTATTTCTAAAAACAACACTATATGTTTGGCTTGTCTAGAAAATGCTTCCAGATTTAAAAATATTTAGATATTTATACTATAAACAAGACATAAACTCTTAAGTAATTCCGCATTTATTGCAGTGTACAATATGAGAAGCTGGAGCCATCTAGAAATGAACACAGAAACATTGGATGTATTACTGCAAATTGATTTTCTTTGCCATTTTCTTTGATTTTTTTTTTATTCTCAATGATTTCTTAAGCATTTCGACATCAACATTGGATTGAAGCATTGGTTGCGATGCTTCAGACACACTTACTGTAAAATACGTCATCAGACATCAGTGGGCTTTATCGACCCCAATCCACTAGATATTGGTGCTGTAACTATTAAATATGATTTTAAATACTATTTATTATTTCTGAGTTACTGTTGTGTGTACAGTGAGGTTCTATAGCATGATCATTGTAAGAAAAACTGAATAAAGCCACTTTTCAGGAAATTACTTCTAGAGCGCATATATCTCTGAACATCTCAACTAAACACTAATAGTACATTAAATATATGATAACTCTTCATTTAAAGTTCACATCTGTCATAAATTTAAACGTACACTGATATCACTGAGGGAAGAGGAGTCTGCTGCACTGTTGAGAATCTCCACTGTGCTGTTTGATCTCCTCTAATAAATGAGTCAGACGACCAAGACCAAACGCAATGAACACGGTGGCTTTTGGAGGAGTGAGACGGGAGAGCAGACAGATGCTCAAGACAGTTCTGGAGGGAATAATAATAAAAGAATAATACTGAAGCACTGTGTTCAAAAACTACATTGTTGACAGTCAATTAAAAAGTGCTAATGTTGTTTTGAAGATCACATGCGATTTCTGACCAAAAATATTTAACAAGCATAATAAACAATATAAGAACTCTTGTTACAATGGCTGTGGTCGCTATCGCTTAATGAATGTGCGAATATAAATCCAACTTTACTCAATGTGTGACGGATGTGCTCCAGTTTCCCCACAGTCCAAACACATGCGCTATAGGGGAATAAATAAGCTAAATCGGCTGTAGTGTATGAGTTTGTGTGTGAATGAGTGTGGATGTTTCCCAGTAATGGGTTGCAGCTAGAAGGGCATCCGCTGCGTAAAATATATGCTGGAATAGTTGGTGGTTTATTCCACTGTGGCGACCCCTGATGAATAAAGGGACTAAGCTGAAAAGAAAATGAATGAATGAATGAATGAATGACAGATGTGAAGTTGCCACTTGTGTGACTTTGGTAAATCAGGCCCCAAGTCAAACCCACCCCCCTTCTGACAAAGTCCAGAATTCGGCCCTTATTTCAGCTCATTGGTCCTATTTTTGACAGTGTGCCATCATAAATGACCAATAACTACCAGAAGAACGCTTTAAGAAAAATAACCAATAAGAGAGGGCTTTTATTATTTAAATGGACACGTTCTGACTGAGGAAATGAGTTGAACTGATTTGCATATTGGCTACAGTTTTAATTTTTTTTTGTTTAATTGTTTTTTTTATGATGGATGACATTAAATTAGCATTTAAAAATAAAACTTTTTCATATTTTTTTTAAAAATGCATCATTACAAAAATCATTACATATATATATATATATATATATATATATATATATATATATATATATATATATATATATATATATATATATATACTGTATTAAGTTACAGTTTAAATGCACATTCGTAATAAAACATAAATTTTTGTAAACAAAAAACAGTATGATAAGCACTTTGACAAAAATGTAGGAAGTACTTATGTGTCATCAAAAAAAGTGTGGTAATGAGATCCATCCGACAAGCTTATTCAACACAAATTAGTGCTTAAAATGTCACTAAAATGCAGTATTTTAACCTTAAATATCTGCAAATAGGTCCACTTTTTGAGAAAAAAAAACACCCATTTATAATAGGCTGGCTACGAGCCTGTAAATCAAATATAACTGTTTGAAAACATGACAGAGACTAGCTTGAGTATTTTTTAGAGCACTGTAAAGCCTACACAGACACACACACACACACACAATCTAAAAAGTGAGCTGAAAGTGAAAACTATTTTCTTCATGCAAGGTGGACTAGATTTAAGAGTTGACTATAGAGGTAAAGTTGGTTGTATATTGGAATATTGAGACATTCTCCTGAATAATATAATGTCAGAAAAGTATTCTTTGCTCATTTTAAATTGGGAAATCATATTAGCAGCAAATGACTATCAAAGTACAGCATCGATCACAGTCAATTAGACAGTCATAGAGGTGAAGTTGGTTTTATATCCGCACATTGGTTCATTTAGCAGTCTCTATATTGTTTAGCATGTTACTCTGAATATTGGATCTGAATTAGCATGCAAGTATGACTTGTAAACAACATTAACACTGTCTAATTGACTGTGAACAATGCTGTACTTTGATAGTCATTTACTGCTAATATGACTTCCCTATTTTCAATACTTTTCTGACATTATATTATTAAGGAGAATGTCTGAATATCCCAATATACAACCAACCTCACCTCTATGAGTTGACTTCACACTACAGCACAGGAGGTGGCGGTGTAAACCTGTAAAACAGTTTTTTAACAGCCAGTAACCCGCCAGAAGAAGAGGAAGAACACTCACCGGGCTGATTTTAGGAAACGTGGCCTTAACAGCGATCGGTTCCCCCTCAATGAGCAGCGCACTCAGTGACACTCTAATTAAACCGCTTGTATCTAACGTTAAGCCTATCCCGGTAACCGAGCGCGCTGAAACATGGCGGATGTGGAGCAGACCGCGCCGGCGCCCGACGGCTCAAGTAATGGGTCGGATTTGGTAAACGGGACTGCGGGCCGGTTCGTGTCCAGCGCTGAGGGTACGGCTCTGGCGTACGGCAGCCTGCTGCTCATGGCCCTGCTGCCCATCTTCTTCGGGGCGCTCAGGTCTGTGGGATGCTCCAAATCCAAGGTAAACTCATCTAGATGTCATTCAGATTAGTTGTGATGTTAACGTAAGCGCCACGATTACTTTAAAACCGTAAATACGCAGTCAAACCGATCTGTCGCTGTATGTAAACACCAGTTATCTGAAGCCTGATTTAAAAAACCGTTAACTGAAGCATTTAACGTAAATAACCGTATACTGATGACGCGCGCTCATTTAATCATATTAACAGCACATCATATGATCGATACAATACTGTTGACAGTCAGTTAAATAGTGCTAATGCTTATTTAAATGTGATTTCAGACGCTATATTTAAAGTAACGTTAGCGGTAAACAATATATGGTATAATAATCAATATAATAATACCGTCATTACCTCAGTCAGTTGAAGCCAGCCTTTGAAAACCGTTAACTGATGGAGGATTTAAATTAACTAACTGTAACGATACTGATGACGCGCCATATGTTCACACATTCAGTGTGATGTTGACGATTATTTAAAACCAGAAATACATGATCAAAACTATCTTGAAGAATAGAGTAAAGTTTGTTTTGTATTAGGACATTCTCCTTAATATACACTCACTGGCCACTTTATTAGGTACACCTGTCCAACTGCTTGTTAACACAAATGTCTAATAAGCCAATCACAGGGCAGCAGCTCACTGTATTTAGGCATGTAGACATGGTCAAGAGGATCTGCTGCAGGTCAGAGTGAGCATCAGAATGGGGAAGAAAGGGGATTTAAGAGACTTTGAACGTGGCATGGTTGTTGCTGCCAGACGGGCTGCTCTGAGTATTTCAGAAACTGCTGATCTACTGGGATTTTCATGCACAACCATCTCTAGGCTTTACAGAGAATGCTCTGACAAAGAGGAAATATCCAGTGAGCGGCAGTTCTGTGGGCGCAAATGCCTTGTTGATGTCAGAGGAGAATGGCCAGACTGGTTCCAGCTGAACTCAAATAAGCACTCGTTACAACCGAGCTCTGCAGAAGAGCATCTCTGAACACACAACATGTCCAACCTTGAGGCGGATGGGCTACCGCAGCAGAAGAGCACACCGGGTGCCGCTCCTGTCAGCTAAGAACAGGAAACTGAGGCTACAATTCACACAGCCTCACCAAAACTGGACAATAGAAGATTGGAGAAACGTTGCTGCTCTGATGAGTCTCCATTTCTGCTCACACACTTGGATGCTCGGTTCAGACAACATGAAAGCATGGATCATCCTGCCTTGTATCAGCGGTTCAGGCTGGTGGTGGTGGTGTAATGGTGTAGGGGAGATTTTCTTTGGGTCCATTAGTACCAATTGAGCATCAACGCCACAGCCTACCTGAGTATTGCTGCTGACCATGTCCATCCCTTTATGAGCACAGTGTCTCCATCTTCTGATGGCTACTTCCAGCAGGATAACGCAGCATGTCATAAAGCTCAATCATCTCAGACTGGTGTCTTGAACATGACGATGAGTTCACTGTACTCAAATGGCCTCCACAGTCACCAGAGCTCAATCCAATAGAGCAGATTTGGGATGTGGTGGAGATTGGCATCATGGATGTGAAGCCGACAAATCTGCAGCAACTGTGTGATGCTATCATGACAATATGGAGCAAAATCTCTGAGGAAGATTTCCAGCAGCTTGTTGAATCTACAACACCAAGGATTAAGGCAGATCTGAAGGCAAAATGAGTTGGACCCGATACTAATAAGGTGTACCTAATAAAGTGGCCGGTGAGTATAATTAAAGAAAAGCATTATTTACAAATTCTAAATGTTGCATTTCAGTACATGTTGTATAATTAAAGCACAATATTAACTCGTGGGTAACATCAGAATAGCTGCATTGATGTTGTCAGGATGTTTAGTGGAGATTAAGATGATTTCTGCTGTTCTCTCTCTCAGGGATCTTCTGATATGCCCGAGACCATCACCAGCAGAGATGCAGCTCGATTCCCCATCATCGCCAGCTGCACACTCTTCGGCCTCTACCTCTTTTTCAAGGTGACAGCTCCTGTGTGTTTGTCTCAGAGTGGCAAAACTTTTAAAGCCTTCATAAATGTGTTCATAGTAGAGGTGCTGCGATCAGGAGTTTTGGGTTGATAACAATTACAGCGTTTAACTGAACCTTTAATTATTCACGTTTTTATAAATGTATATTGCATTTATTGACAAGCAGCATACCAACCTGAATCATAGCAGCCTGTGCTTGGTCAGCTTCTTCATGCCATTGGTTAGAAAAAAGATCTGGCAGCAGATATCGCAGTTACTTTTATGAACATTCATTACTAGTTATTTAGGATATGCATTTCACATTCTGACTCCAATGCCTGATTATTAAACTGTTAAAATGACTACAATTAAATAATATATTCTGAAGAGTAAATATGATGTGTTCTTTGGAAGAGTGCACCTGCATTCTGATCATATTATAGTGTCATTCTGGCATTATATAATGATGAGTGGCATTAAATGACAGTAATATAATTGATCACAATGTATTTTGGTGCAATATATCATACAAAGTTACACCTTTCAGCTTAAAAGCATTAATTTAATTTAATTTTCCTCTAATGAATCTGTTTATGTTCTGATACTTGTAGGTTTTCTCACAGGAGTATGTCAACATGCTGTTATCCATGTATTTCTTTGTGCTGGGAATATTAGCGCTGTCTCACACAATGAGGTACGCTTCTGACATCTTTAACGCTTGCATGAATCGTGTCATGTTTGCGATTTGTAATTGTGCATTTGTGTTTGGCTCTCTCAGTCCCTTCATGTGCAGAGTTTTCCCTGCTAACCTGTCAAATAAGCAGTACCAGCTGCTGTTCACACAGGGCTCAGGAGAAAGCAAAGAGGGTGAGTGTGTGTGCTGCACCTGCATTTACACCGCACTATTTTAATGGTGGATGATTTCCCGAATATGGTGATGGAGAGCGGAATAGGACACTGTGAACATTCCTTTCAGCCATTATTTCTGTGCCACATGGGAGAATTAAATCAGAATTGGGTCACTTGAACTGTGCGCTGTACATGCAGCCATTAAAACACATTCAGTCTGTGATGGTAAAGGTGAAATGTCCTGTTTTCATCCACAGAAATAGTCAACTATGAGTTTGACACGAAGGATCTGATCTGCCTGTGCATCAGCAGTGTGGTAGGGGTCTGGTACGTCCTCAAGAAGGTACAGTGCATTTAATCTGCTCCTCATTTAGATCAGCTTTTTATAGAAGTCTGACAGCACGTCTGATTTTGAAAATGTAGTTCCTCTCGCTCTTAGCTGTCTATATACAGGTCAAATAGAATAATAGCCTGGTATATCACAATATTTCCTTTTTATTCTGGAGAAAGTCTTATTAGTTTTTAACACAGTTGTTAATAGTGTTAAAGTCATGTTAAGCTCAATATTATTCACCCCTTCAGCAATATTAGTGTTGGATTGTCTCCAGAACAAACCACTGTTATACAATGACTTGCCTAATTACCCTAACTTTACCCTAATTACCCTAGTGAAGCCTTTACATGTCACTGTAAGCTGAACACTAGTGTCTTGAAGAATATCTAGTCTAATATTATGTGCTGTCATCATGATGAAGAGGAAACACAGCAGCTATTAGAGATGAGTTATTAACACTGTTATGATTGGAAATGTGTTCTAATCTTCTCTCTGTTGGGAACAAAAATATACAGGAGGGTGAATAATTCTGAATTCAACTGTACATAATTAAGATAATTAGTGTTCAAGTGCTTTAAAGGAAAAGTTCACCCAAAAGTGTATTCTGTCGTCAATTACTCCGTCTTTCCTTTGTTATAAACCTTTGAGTTTCTTTCTCCTGCTTAACAATAAAGTAGATATTCTGAAGCTCTTTTAAAAACCTTGAAAACACTGGATTAAATATCAAGAACTTCATTTTCATGCCAATAGTGTTTTAGTTTTGACAGAAGTGTTTGTGCGTTTGCTGACAGCACTGGATAGCCAATAACCTGTTTGGTCTGGCGTTTGCTCTGAACGGCGTGGAGCTGCTGCACCTCAATAACGTCAGCACCGGATGCATTCTGCTGGGAGGACTCTTCGTTTACGACGTCTTCTGGGTAAAACTGACCCAAATTATAATTGACTTTAATGTAGTTTTCTGAAGGAGCAGCCTTGGGCCTGTACAGTGTAGCACTGGCCTACTGTGTGTAATTGAAATGACGTGTGTACTCTGTTTGCTTTCAGGTTTTTGGCACTAATGTTATGGTGACAGTTGCCAAGTCCTTTGAAGCCCCGATCAAGTGTGAGTATCTGATCAGTCAATACTGCCTTCAGCTGAACACCTGATGACTGATAGTGCGAATGCTTTTGTTAAATTTTAAAGAGCTGTTTAACACTAGAACCACCAGGGGTCGCTGTATACAGAAAACTGCACTCATTCTGTTTAGAAATGGCTAAAAAAAACTTATTTCAGTGTATTAAATGGCTGTGTTCACAAAGAAGTGTCTATAGTCGTCAAATGATCATTTCTAGTCATCTTTATTTGTGTCCTGTTTTAGTTCAAGGCACTTTCATGGAGGTTTCACTTTCACTATTTATAGTCGGCACCGATAGTGGGCAAACACATAGTTCAGTCGACCCATCCTGATCCATCAGATTATTCACAGATCAGTGCGCAAACATATAGTGCAATCCCATACACAAACAAAGCAACCTGTACTGTACTTTTGCTGCTCATTCTCACCTTTATTTTCCTCTGACTATTTTCCCAGTGGTTTTCCCTCAAGATTTGCTGGAGAAAGGTTTGGGCGCCAGTAACTTTGCCATGCTGGGACTCGGGGACATTGTTATTCCAGGTAAACACATGACGATGATGATGATCTCTAACACACTTTAACTTGTTTGTGTTAAGCAGTCGTGTGTTGAGCACACAAACATTGCTCAAAAGATGCTCATAACCGTGTCCACTCACTTCTATTTATATTTTTTATTCAGGAATTTTTATTGCTCTGCTCCTGCGCTTTGATGTCAGGTAAACTCATTTATTTGAAGTTGATAATTACAGTTTAATGTCATTTTGGGGTTAATAATTACAGTTTGATGTCATTTTGGGGTTAATAATTACAGTTTGATGTCATTTTGGGGTTAATAATTAGTTTAATGTCATTTTGGTGTTAATAATTACAGTTTGATGTCATTTTGGTGTTAATAATTACAGTTTGATGTCATTTTGGTGTTGATAATTACAGTTTAATGTCATTTTGGTGTTGATAATTACAGTTTAATAATAATAATAATAATAATTCATTTTATTTATAAATGGCGCCTTTCTGGACACCCAAGGTCGCCTTACAGTAAGCATCATCAGACATGCTAAACAACTTAAACATTACTAAAAACAATCAATGACCAAACAAGTTAAAACGCAATAGCGAAAAAGAACATAATAAAAACATGATAAAATTGTTAAGTAAAAGCCTGCTTAAAAAGATGGGTTTTTAGACGTGATTTAAAATTGTGAAGACTATCACTGCTCCTAAGGTCTAATGGAAGTGAGTTCCATAGCCTAGGAGCCATAGAGCTAAAAGATCTGTCTCCCATTGTGCTCAGTCGAGTGCGAGGTGGTGCCAGAGTGAAGTTGTTAGCTGACCTAAGAGTACGAGAAGGGGTGTAGATATGGAGAAGTTCAGTGAGATATTGAGGAGCGAGATTATGGAGTGCCTTGAAAGTTAGAAGTAATATTTTAAAATCAATTCGATATTTTACTGGAAGCCAATGAAGCTGATAGAGGAGTGGTGTGACGTGCTCGTGAGATGGGGTCCTAGAGATGACACGAGCTGCATGGTTCTGAACCAGTTGGAGTTTATGGAGAAGTTTGGAAGGAAGTCCAGAAAGAAGTGCATTACAGTAGTCAAGACGTGAAGTAACTAATGCGTGGATGAGAATTGCTGTGTTATTAGTTGTGAGAGAAGGGCGGAGACGAGTGATATTACGCAGGTGGAAATATGCAGTACGTGTAATATTATTAATGTGACCTTCAAATGAGAGTGTGCTATCCAAGATGACACCCAAACTCTTTACCTGCATGGAGGGAAAAATTGTACTGTTATCAATGTTTATAGTGAATTTATCAGCTTTATCCAAAACACTTTTAGTGCCGATGAGAAGGGCTTCAGTTTTGTCGCTGTTTAATTTTAAAAAGTTAGCTGAAAGCCAGATTTTTATTTCAGCTAAACATCTGCTCAAAGCAGGAGGAGGAAAAGAACAGGAGGGCTTGGTGGACAGGTAGAGTTGAGTGTCGTCAGCATAACAGTGAAATTGTATGTTGTATTTTCTGAAAATGTGACCAAGAGGCAGTAGATATATGATAAACAGGAGTGGACCCAGTACAGAACCCTGTGGGACACCAGTAGTGACAATCTGCGATCTTGACTTAAAATCTTTAATTTGAACAAACTGAGTACGATCTTCAAGATATGACTTCAACCATAAAAGAGGGGTGCCAGAGATCCCTAGTGAGGCAAGCCTATTCAAAAGAACCTCGTGCGAAACCGTGTCAAAGGCTGCACTCAAGTCCAGGAGAATAAGAATTGACAGTAAACCAGAGTCTGCTGCCAATAGTAGATCATTAGTGATCCTGACAAGAGCAGTCTCAGTGCTGTGGTTGGGACGAAAACCAGACTGGAAGAGCTCAAACAAATTGTTATTAGCAAGGTATTTATGGAGTTGAGATGCAACACATTTTTCCAGTATTTTTGAGATAAATGGCAAATTGGAAATTGGTCTATAGTTGGCCAAATTGGATGAATCAGCTCCAGGTTTTTTTAGTACTGGGGTGATTACAGCAGTTTTAAGTAAAGATGGGACAGATCCAGAATCCAGTGATTTGTGAATGATGTTAGTAATCAGTGTGGACAATGATGGAAGACAGGTCTTAACTAAGCATGTAGGAAGTGGATCAAGCAGACAGTTGGTAGTTTTAGATTTCTGTATATGACCAACTATTTCAGCGGTAGATGGTAAGGTAAAAGTATCAAAAGAGAAATGTGTGATGATTTCAGAAACATTTTGGCTGAAGTCAGGGGCTGAAATATTTGTATGTAATTGATGATGAATGTCCTCAATTTTTGTTTCAAAAAAAGACAGGAAGCTGTTACATAACTCAGTTGAAGAAGAAAGTGATGTGTCAGGAAAATGTCATTTTGGGGTTAATAATTACAGTTTAATGTCATTTTGGGGTTAATAATTACAGTTTAATGTCATTTTGGGGTTAATAATTACAGTTTGATCTCATTTTGGGGTTAATTACCGTTGGATGTCATTTTGGGGTTAATAATTACCGTTGGATGTCATTTTGGGGTTAATAATTACCGTTGGATGTCATTTTGGGGTTAATTACCGTTGGATGTCATTTTGGGGTTAATAATTACTGTTGGATGTCATTTTGGGGTTAATAATTACCGTTGGATGTCATTTTGGGGTTAATATTTACAGTTTGATGTCATTTTGGGGTTAATAATTACAGTTTGATGTCATTTTGGGGTTAATTACCGTTGGATGTCATTTTGGGGTTAATTACCGTTGGATGTCATTTTGGGGTTAATAATTACCGTTTGATGTCATTTTGGGGTTATTAATTACAGTTTGATGTCATTTTGGGGTTAATAATTACAGTTTGATGTCATTTTGGGGTTAATTACCGTTGGATGTCATTTTGGGGTTAATAATTACCGTTGGATGTCATTTTGGGGTTAATAATTACAGTTTGATGTCATTTTGGGGTTAATTACCGTTGGATGTCATTTTGGGGTTAATAATTACCGTTGGATGTCATTTTGGGGTTAATAATTACCGTTGGATGTCATTTTGGGGTTAATAATTACAGTTTGATGTCATTTTGGGGTTAATAATTACCGTTTACTCATTAGTCAACTTCACTTCATGCATTTAATAACATTAACTTTAAATACATGAACGATGCCTGGTACTGAATTCATTTAATAAAATGTTCATTGTTATAGTTCTGTTTCAGTAAATGTTTTATTTAAAAAAATCTGCGTAAAAGATTAGCAAAAATTGAGAAATTATTTATATAAGAAATTAAGAGTGTAAGAGTGTTATTAACTAATGCAGTTAGAGGGTCAATTCACCCCAATATTAAAATTGTCATCATTTACTCGCCTTTCAACTGCATATAACACATATTTGACTTTGTTTATTCTGTCAAACGCTAAAGAAGATATTTTGAAGAATGTTGGAAACCTGTAACAGTTGACTTCCATAGTATTTATTTTCTTTAGTGTTCAAACTCATTAAAGTTTAAAAACACAGAAGGGTGAGTAAATAGTGAGTACATTTTCATGTTGGGTGAACTGACCCTTTATGTGTAACATTAACAAATACAGTCTTGTGGTCTGATTTTAGTTTTATCTTTGAGATGTGTAAATTCCTCTGTTTCCTCAGTCTGAAGAAGAACACACGAACATACTTCTACACCAGCTTCCTGGCTTACATTTTTGGCCTGGGTCTGACCATTTTCGTGATGCACACCTTTAAACATGCTCAGGTAAATGACAACAGATTTTTGCACTTTATAACAAATGAGCACTGAACAAGTGCTGTATCATCTGTGTTTTGTTTCCCAGCCTGCTTTGCTGTACCTGGTGCCTGCTTGTGTTGGATTTCCAGTGCTGGTGGCACTTGTTAAAGGAGAACTAACCGAGATGTTCAGGTAATTCCCCCTGAAAACTGAGCTTATATTCAGGGTCAGGGTGCTTAAGGTACATTTAGACCCTAGATGGAGACAAACAGTCAAAAACGCAAAGCTTACAGAAACAGCTGATGGAGTATACACTAACCTGCGCATTTTTCAGACACTAGATGGAGACGAACAGTCAAAAACACAACAGAAACTAAAACAGCTGATGGAGTATACACTAACCTGGGCATTATTCACACACTAGATGAAGACAGTCAAAAACACAACAGAAACTAAAACAGCTGATGGAGTATACACTAACCTGCGCATTATTCAGACACTAGATGGAGACAAACAGTCAAAAACACAACAGAAACTAAAACAGCTGATGGAGTATACACTAACCTGCGCATTATTCAGACACTAGATGGAGACAAACAGTCAAAAACACAACAGAAACTAAAACAGCTGATGGAGTATACACTAACCTGCGCATTTTTCAGACACTAGATGGAGACAAACAGGCAAAACACAACAGAAACTAAAACAGCTGATTTAGTATACACTAACCTGCACATTATTCAGACACTAGATGGAGACAAACAGTCAAAACACAACAGAAACTAAAACAGCTGATGGAGTATACACTAACCTGCGCATTATTCAGACACTAGATGAAGAAAAACAGTCAAAAACACAACAGAAACTAAAACAGCTGATGGAGTATACACTAACCTGCGCATTATTCAGACACTAGATGAAGACAAACAGTTAAAACACAACAGAAACTAAAACAGCTGATGGAGTATACACTAACCTGCGCATTATTCAGACACTAGATGAAGACAAACAGTTAAAACACAACAGAAACTAAAACAGCTGATGGAGTATACACTAACCTGCGCATTATTCAGACACTAGATGAAGACAAACAGTCAAAACACAACAGAAACTAAAACAGCTGATGGAGTATACACTAACCTGCGCATTATCTAGGTGCTAGATGGAGACAGTCACAGCATGACAGACAAGCAGACACGCATGAATGTGATGCAAGTAAAATCTGTGATGCAAGTATGAACCTATTCACTGACGGTGATTCTCAGTTCCCGGATGAGTCGGTGTTATTTAAATAGTGTTATCGCAGATTATTACACACACTTGCTTCTCATTGGTCAGTGATGACATTTCAAGGTATGTTTTTCTCAGATAACAATCGCTGAAAAACTTAATAGATTTGTTTTATTTTTTTATTTACCAGTAACATTTCCACCATTTAAACAACTATAAATGTTTGCTAGACTGTTCTCAACAAATCTAGCCATGCACGATCATGTTAAAAATAAATAACATCTCATTTGTCATCATTTTGATGATTTGGTTCACGTTATTTGCACTTCTGAACTTGCGTTAAACTGCTGATTTATACAGAAAACAAACCATGTAACATCCTCAATGAAGTATTAACATGATATGTGCTTAAAATCAGAGCGAATCAAAACAGAATTTCGAAATTGTTCTCAGACAAGAATGGCTGTTGTCGAATAGTTTTAGGTTAGCTTTAATTTCACTTCCCTAAATAATTCATCCCAATCAATGCAAAAGTAGTTAGTCAAATGAATTAATATGAATATAATAAAAATTAAACATCGCAATGTCAGTTTTTCCAATCTCATGCAGCTCTACTTATGATCTGGTCTCAGCAGGTAGTTTTCTCAGTAGTGCACTCAGTTCAATATTTCTACTAGAAATGAACGTGATGCAGTTTTAGGGACACTTGCACTCCTCCTCCTGCTTCTTCACCTTCTTCTACTCTTTTCCTTCTTTCTCCGCTGTCCTGTCCTCTGGTGTTTGCCCTCTGGCATGCAGCTATGAGTCTTCAGATGAGGTTTTGCCGCACACACCACGGCTCACTCATTTCCCCAACGTGTCGGGATCTCCAGCTAGTCTGGCTGATTCCATGCAGCATTTCCAGCTGTCGAGCCCGCGCCGCCGCCAACACCACACACCCTCCGACATGTAGAGACTGCACTCCGCTTTACATTACTGTCCTCTGCAGGTATCACCTTTCATAATCTAATTTATCTAAATATACCTTTCATAATCTCATCTAATCCATCCAAATATACACTGGGGGATATGAGTATTGAACACGTCATCATTTCTCTCAGAAAACGTATTTCTAAAGGTGCCGTTTACTTACTACAAAGTCTATCATCGACCTCTAGCCTAGGCTGTTCTGGTGCTATGTGGACTGATGGACACCCTTATGCTTGAACATGGTGTTCAATATGGATAAACCTGTAACTCTTGATCTCCCCCTCTTTGAAAAATAGCTCACATTGATCTGTATCTTAAATAATAACATTAACTATAAAAAATAAGAAATAAATATAACATAATATACATTTGACCACCCCTATAACGGTTCGTACCATTATGAATGCATGATTGAGCCCTGCAGCCTCATGATGCCTGAAAACAGTCAGCATACTGAATCTAGAATAACACCATCAGATTAAGCCTACAGATAGATACTGTAAGTGTTGGAAAGGCACTATTCTTGAAAAAAATAGGTGTTTTAATCTACACATCTACTTTAAAATGCGCCTGGAAAGTGCTTGAAAAAACCTAAAAATTTACCCATCAGAGGTTACTGTATAGGTCAGAATCAGCCCATTATTCCTTAATACACAGACAACCTAAATAAGTTTGATGACAAATGAGATGTGAATGGTTCCCTGAAGCATGCATATTTATTTACACAAACTACTGAAAACAGGCAAGGCCGGCGCATCCATAGTGGCGACCTAGGTGACTGCCTAGTGCGGCAGAATAGAGAGAGCGGCATCCACGACACCTCCCTCAACACCTGCGTCTTCAGTTATGTCCCCCCAACCCAATATCTGCTGATTCTGCTCCTTCAACAGACATTTAACTGACTATAAGAACGTTTTTTTGCAAGTACATGTCAACTTACACTAACCTCACCCAACAGTCTACTGATAATCCAATGAGAATTAGTTGGCATGTAGATGCAGCGTAACTTAAATTCAACAAACAGACCATCAAAATAAAGTGTGACCCTTTAATCTAAATAAAACACACGCACACAGAATGTGACTCTATAGGGACAGACCAGCACATAATTCTCTTCATCTTCACTCATCATGACCTCTCTCTGTCTTTTGTTTTTATCATCACCTGCAGGTACGAGGAGGAAACGCCATCAAAAGAAGAGACGACCGAATCTGAAAAAGACAAATAAAAGCCCCAAATCAGCCCTCATTCATGTTTTGCATTTGTCATAGTGATGTGGTCGCGCACAGACTCCTCTCCGTCTGCTCATGGCGGTGACGTTGTGTATTTCTGAACTTCTTTTAACGCCGCGCAACAGCTTTCTCAGTGCCTCTGTAATGAAATCCCCCTGTTCCTTTATTCACCTCAGCATTTGGAAACATTGGTTATATTCACTTCCAAAGTTATATCTGTTAGAATTATGAAGTATTTGGTTGGTAGACGTAAGACTTTCCGCATGTGATTCGATATTCAGATATCATCCGAATCTAAGGTCCGGCACCTACTCCATGTACTCCTATTTTGTTTGTTTTTATTGTAGGATCTCATGAGGGATTCGGTTTCTAGCTGTCTGTTTTATTTAATAAGACAAAGGCATTCTGGATTACATGTGTTGTTTTATTTTATGCAAACTGTGGGACCAATAAGAAAGAGACTGTTTGTTTTTCTCCCCCTGACGGAAGTTAAAGGATGAACTTGAGTAGTGCCATATTGTTTCTTGCTCATATTTAATGCACCTCATGCTCGCCATGGTTTGACCGTCTCTTCTTGTGTAACGCTTTTCTCAGTGTAAATGTTTGAGCTTATATGAGGAGCACTGTTTTGATTTTGTCTTTTATTTGCATTAAATGTGTGGTGTTTACCAATCTGGAAAAACACATGATCCGTGTGGTGGTGGCGTTAATTATTAATAATTGTGTTTGGATGCGCATACGCATCATGTGTAATGTGCATGGTGGCTGTTTTTGCGCCATTGACTTCATTTATAATCACATTTATTGATTGCTGCTGGTTTTCCCTGTTGAGAATGTGTCCAAAAATGTGATTATAATGCAAGTCAACGGGGCAAAAACAGCTGCCAACATCACCAAAGAGGAGTCAGTCTAAACAGTGCATTGAGTTTTTGGAAAACTTTCAAAGCGTTTTCCCAAAATATGAGTCAAAATAAGATTTGTCGTGAAAAATCATCCTGTTTGGGATGGGAATTTTGTCTCTGTTTTGAAGACTTTAGATTATAGATATCGTTGCGACTATTGCTTATGACTACATTAGTGATACTAAGATATAGAAAACTATTAATTTCATGAGAGCTTTTAAACCTTTCCAAGGCAAAATTTGGCAACTTGTTTGTGAAGGTGTTGCAAACATGGCAAAATCTGAGAAAAACTAGGTTTGTTTGTCGAGTTGTCGATGCCATTGTCGCTCTTTGCTATTGTGTCGTCTTATTACTGCGCATAAATGCAAACAAAATTATAATCTAATTGTTGATAATTATTCAAAATGAACAACCAAAAATGATTTAAATATAATGGGTTTCCTTGCGTCATATGAGATTATATGCACAGAAAAAAGCAATAGCATCTGGATGCAGCCTTTATGATGCAAGTTGAGATTGCAATCAGACACAATGCACTCAACTGAGCTAGTGACATCACTGTAAGGGGTGGGGTTAGGTGAGCGCATTAAAAAGCATTGCATGCAGCTCAGATTGCATCTGCTTCAGGTCTGCATCCAGACCTCTCTCAAAAAAAAGGCACATTAAAATATCCTTGAATAATCAAAACAATTAAAGAAGATTTAGGTTTAGATTTAGGCAAAAAAAAGCTAAATATTCACAGTAAAGATCAGCTAAATGAGCATGCTTCATAATACTTATAAATATCGTAACTAAAAAAACTCATAAAGGTTTATAACTAAACAAATGTGGCAATATGTGGTTAATTTGAGGGAGAGTAAATAGAGGTGAAGTTGGTTTTATATTGGGATATTCAGATATTCTTCTTAATAATATAATGCCAGAAAAGTATCGTTAATAGGGAAATTATATTAGCAGCAAGTGACTATCAAAGTACAGCATTGTTCACAGTCAATTAGACAGTGTTAATGTTGTTTACAAGTCATACTTGCATGCTAATTCAGATCCAATATTCAGAGTAACATGCTAAACAATATAGAGACTGCTAAATGAACCAATGTGCCAATATAAAACCAACTTTACCTCTATTACCTCTAAATTGAAGCCTATAAAGTTGTTGCACTAAACAAACATGGCTGACAGTTCACCCAAAATAAAATTCTGTTATCATTTACTCAGACTTTACTTGTTTTGAACCTTTATGAGTGGTTCTTGTTAATCTCACAAGAAGATATTTTGAAGTTGAAAATCTTCAACCATTGACAGTCAGCCTATTTGCTTTTCCCACAATGGAGGGTTTCAAGCTTTCTTCAGAATATCTTCTTCTGGGTTTTGCAGAAGAAAGACACTCAGAAGGGTTTATAACTTAACGAATGTAGTAAAATGTGTTTTTTAAGAGAGTAAATAGTACCTAAATAAAATAAGATAGTTGAATGAAATAAGATAGTTCACCCAAAAATGAAAGTTCTGTCATCATTTACTCACACTTTACTGATTTCAAACTCTTATGAGAAACTCTTATGCTTCTTGTTGATCTAAAAAAAATAAATAAATAAATAAATGTTGGTGCTGGAAACCTTTAGCCATTGTCATCCACAGTAGGCTATTTGCTTTTCCCACAATGGAAGTTACGGGTTTCCAGCCTTCTTCAGAATATCTTTTTTGAGTTTAACAGAAGAAAATAACTCATAAAGCTTTATAACTGTAAACAAATGTGGTAATCAGAGGTTTATAAATACAAACTGAGGTGAGAGTCGTTCATAAAGGCCTACATTTATAATTCGTGTGTGAAAATGCCTTTAACAAGCGTTGGCTGTAGAGCGCGCACTCTTCAATGCTGTTTAAGAAAGTATTTGTTGATTTTATCTTAATCTTTTTGTACTTTTGTTATTAAGTTTGAGTGCTGACATTGTTTCTTAAATTTGTCCTCCAGTACGCAGGAGTCGCTGTTCGGTTCCGGTGCGGAGTCTCGCGGCGGTTCTGGATCCTCTTTATACCGAGCGTCACGCCCCTTTCACGGTCAAAATGGAGGCATTGCTGTGCGTTTGTGTGATTGACTGCATTTAACATTAATAATCAATTATAATCTTTCATCCATTGAGCTCGAAGTGCGTGTAAACGCAGACACACGCGTTGGACTGTATAAGGTGAGTCCGCGGTGGGCTGTGGGTGCTGTGGGTGTTTCGCTTCACCTCACATGCTTCATTATTTATTTGCAGATGTGTGATGTGCTGAATGAGATGTGCAGTTTAGCAGCACGTCAAACACATGTTTCGCAGTCTCTCTTTACTCTGCAGACTGTTTCATACACCATGTTGAAGTTCGCTGTTGAACACTGAGTTCGCTGTTATGAATTAGACAGCCAAAGTGATTTCAATTATTTGATGATTTCTGAATTAATAATGTCATTGTGGTGTTTAATTTGATGAGATGTGAAATGTTGAAGCATGAATATAGTGTTACGGTGTTTTTCGAATATATTATATACATTACGACCATTCATTTACAGTATTGTGTAAATTAGGGTGAATGCAGGTTTAAAAAGCGACATCTGTCGAAATTATCCTTAACATTAAACTGTTTACTAGTTTACAGCTGAAAATGTAAAGTTTTAGGCACATAAACGCTTACCTCTGATTTAATTCTAATTTAACTCAAATTTGATGTATGTTATGCATTGTTTTTTTCCCAGTGCAACTTTTACAGTCATGCAAAATAATAATCAAGCTAAAACCCATATCCATAGAGGTGAAGTTGGTTTGATATTGAAATATTCAGACATTCTCCTTAATATAATGTCAGAAAAGTATTGTAAATAGTGAAATCATATTAGCAGCAAATGACTATCAAAGTACAGCATTGTTCACAGTCAATTAGACAGTGTTAATGTTGTTTACAAGTCATACTTGCATGCTAATTCAGATCCAATATTCAGAGTAACATGCTAAACAATATAGAGACTGCTAAATGAAACCAATATAAAACCAACCTCACCTATATGCTAAAACCTTTGTCCGAGTATTTAAACATGATTTTATTATTAAGTTTATAATAAATATTTAGTTGTGGTTATGCATTAAGGTGAAGTTGATATTTGCACAATCAGTAAAACAGTAAAGTAGAATTCAAAAAGGCGAATACAGATTAATAATAATGAGGTACTGTTATGAATTATGAGATGATATTGCTAAACGTAAGAATGACTTCAGAATAACATCAGCACTTTTTAACTCACTGTGAAAACAGTCCTTTTCTGACATTATATTAAGAAGGTGAATGTGCAAATATAACATTAACTTTATCCCAGTTTTCTTTCTTTCTATTAAAGTAAAATATGAGGTAAATCATTCATAGTTTTTCTTATAGTGTATATTTAAGTCTTGCAACACTACATAATCAGGTCAATCACACCCATTTCTTTATCAACAATCTAATATTTGATAAAACTTTATTTTGTTTGACTTTTCTGCATTTATGAGGGAAACGCTTGGTTGTGGATGTGACAGATGTGAAATTGACACTTGTGTGACTTTGATGAATCAAATATTGACATTGACAGAGACATTACAGCACTGTGGAAAACCAGCCTACACAAAAACAGAAAGGCTCTCGCTATTTTAGTTCGTAAAAGTTAGTATATTAGTTACTTCAGTTTAAAGGATTCATGGCAAGGCTGACATTTGCAAGGAATAGCTCAGTAGGGTTAAACCTTTTTTATATATATATATATATATATATATATATATGTGTGTGTGTGTGTGTGTGTGTGTGTGTGTGTGTGTGTGTGTGTGTGTGTGTGTGTGTGTTTACTGTTAAGCTTAAATAAATGTGTTCACCCTAAAATTTTTCAGAAAATCTAGTATTTCTCACAGACAAATATGAGATTGTCTAATCCTTCAGCTCTAATATTTTCTCTGTATCTCCTCTGTTCTGGGGTCAGATGGATGCGGACGCCTCTGGCACTGATCTGATGGGCAAGAGCTGGGGCTTCCGGCGCAGCACGATAGCCAAACGAGAGTTCTTGGAGGCGGTGTGCTCACTGGACGAGAGCAGCGGAGATCCTGACCTCCAGACCAACAGGGGTCGTGGCCGGGGTCGAGGCAGAGGTCGCGGCAGGGGTCGCGGTCGCGGAAAACGTGCTGCCGACGCTGGCATGGGGTTAACGGCAGCTAAACGAGGGCGTAGGGGTCGAGGGCGCGTGTGGGTACATGCAGACGAGTCCAGCAGCGAACGCAACACAGGAGGAGCCACATCCGATCGAGCTGAAGACAGCGACGATCTCAACCTGCAGGAGATGCGGAGGCGAGCGCTGGCACGGCGGATGAGGGAAAGCACAGACGGAGAGAGAAATGATGGTCTGGGGGAGCAGGAGGGTGTAGAGCAGTCTGACGACACCGAAAGCGCAGCAGAAGGAGAGAAGCAGGGTTTATTCACTGACAGGGAAGCCGCAGATACTCTGAGTTTTGCTGGAGATGAGAGGAATGAGCGACTGCAGAATCACTCTGAGCACCAGGAGGAAATCTGCATCTCTGATAAACATGAGGAGGATAATCAGGACGCTGTGTGTGGCACATGTGGACAGAGGGATGATAGTAACAGGTGAGAATCGAGTGTGTAGGGGTGTGACGATAACCACATTACCGCCATAATGAGATGTCAACTGCGGTGATGTGGTTAAGCATGTTTATGGTGAAGCTCCGCTGTAATTCCTATATCACAAACCTCTATCAACATTTTTAAATACAAGCTCCGCTTTAGAGGTCTGCATTCCCGCGGGACCCGACCAGATTTCTGCGGCGCGGGAATACATTTCCGAATAAAGCCCGGGAGCGGTCAGTAACGGGTTTAATTTGGGACGGGAGCGGGCCGTCTAGCAATATCACTCCCGACTCCCGAGCGAGCATGCGTATGTATGTGTGTAAATGAAATAGCGCGATGCTGTGTTTAGCTTGTTTGTTGCTGTGAGTGTGTATGTGTGTGTGTGCGCACGAATGAGAGAGAGAGAGAGAGAGGTTTGTCTGTGTGTGTGCTTGGTGTTTGTGTGTGTGAGTGTGTGTGTTAGTGCACGCGAATGAGAGAGAGAGAGGTTTGTCTGTGTGTGTGTGTGTTTGTTTGTGTGTGTCTGTGTGTGTGTTTGTTTGTTTGTTTGTTTATTTTTGTGTGTGTTTGTGTTTGTTTGTGTGTGTTTGTTTGTGTGTGTGTGTGTGTGTGTTTGTTTGTGTTTATGTTTGTTTGTGTGTGTTTGTTTGTGTGTGTGTGTGTGTGTGTTTGTTTGTGTGTGTTTGTTTGTGTGTGTGTGTGTGTGTGTGTTTGTGTTTGTTTGTGTGTGTTTGTGTGTGTTTGTTTGTGTGTGTTTGTTTGTGTTTGTGTTTGTGTGTGTGTGTTTGTTTGTGTGTGTTTGTGTGTGTTTGTTTGTGTGTGTTTGTTTGTGTGTTTGTGTTTGTTTGTGTGTGTTTGTGTTTGTTTGTGTGTGTTTGTGTGTGTTTGTTTGTGTGTGTTTGTTTGTGTTTGTTTGTGTGTGTTTGTGTGTGTTTGTTTGTGTGTGTTTGTGTGTGTTTGTGTGTGTTTGTTTGTGTGTGTTTGTTTGTGTGTGTGTGTTTGTTTGTGTTTGTGTTTGTTTGTGTGTGTTTGTGTTTGTTTGTGTGTGTTTGTGTGTGTTTATTTGTGTGTGTTTGTTTGTGTGTGTTTGTGTTTCTCAGTGATGGGTTGCAGCTGGAAGGGCATCCGCTGGATAAAAACGTGCTGGATAAGTTGGCGGTTCATTCCGCTGTGGCGACCCCACATTAATAAAGGGTCTAAGCCGACCAGTAAATGAATGAATGAATGAATGAATATATAAATATATTGATATGTTGTTTAATTATGGATATTGCAATGTGTATATCCTCAATAGTCACATCGCAAGATATGCAATGTTTAGTCTGCATTATAGTTGAGCAGAAGCTATAGAATTGTACTTAATAACTGTATTTATATGGAATTTATGCAAAAACTTAGAATTTTGTGTTGTTTTAGTCAAAATGTCAACATTTTAACGAAAAAGCAAGATTATTGTACTTACCCTGTGCCCTGGCAGATCATTAAGCTTGTTTTCACTGTTCATTTTGACATCTGAAGTTGAAAACAAAACAATATTTTAACTTGCTCTGCGAATGTTGTTGATATTTGGACTACAAACGAGACAAAGTAAGAAAATATGTATTTTTTTGCATTGAGATTTATTTAATTTCTCATGCTTAATACTGTTAGTCTCCCCAGAAAAAAAAAAATCCAAATGTCAGATTTTTCCAATATTTTCCAATACCTAACCCTAATTTTGATCTCCTACCAAACTAATGCTGTCTCCATCTGTCAGGTTGACGATCAGCTGTAAATCCTGTGGAGCGTTTCGGCATGTGGACTGTGTCGGCATCTTTGAGACTTGGAAAAATGAGGAATATATGTGTCCACCATGCACTGAGAACCGGGAACTGACATGCAGGAACCAGAAGACTGACGATCCGTGCCTAAAACAAGAGATCAGCTCAATCAACATGGTAATGCTGCATCATCATCTCTCATCACACTGTCTGAAAAGCGCATCTCTAACAGAACTGATCCTCTTTGTGGAGTAATAAATGGAGCACGACAGATTGCTCTTAATAACCCCCCTGGTAACTACTAAACATTAGTAGAGAAGAGATCCGGTCAGCTCTTCTTCTAAATCTAGTCTGTGTGTCAATCTCAGGTGGATGTGCAGCAGATGATAAAGGTGGAGCAGAATGTGGTGGAGGTTTCGCCCAAATGCATTGGTCCGGGCTGCAGCAGCGATGCCCTGCCGGAGTCGGTGTACTGCGGTCATCGCTGTATCGTTCAGCACGCAGCCGTCGCCATCAAGACTCTCTCTGAACCCAAACCTGAGGTCAAATCTGCTGTTGTACCGTCTCTCAAGGTGAATATAATCACATACACTCTGTAAACAATGTCTGCTGATGAACAGCTCCTGTGCTTTGTTATTTGCGGTGGTGAATTCTGTTCACATCTGATGTTGAACATTCAACTCTACAGTTTAACAAAGTGACTTTTATTCTGTAAATATAAACATATGCATGTGTTTATACGCACACACACACATATATATATATCATAAATAAGAACTTTAATGTAGATGTGATGAATGATTTTGCCAGCACTGGTGTTTAATGTTCTCTCTCCTGCTTTCACCTTTCAGAGCGAGAAACGATCATTTCTTGCGAAGCTTTTCAAGGTGAAGGTCAACAAGAGTCCAGCAGAGAGAGAGCAGGAGGGTAAAGCAGAAGAAAAGAGCGAAGAGTCTGTCTGTTCATCTGCAGTCGCTGACCCAGCACAAACAACCACAGCCACTCCACCTGAACATCACAAACTCCGTATGTATCATGGACTATTTTCACACTCCAGCCCTATTTATATCAGATTTTAATAATCATGTTTGTTAATACAATCACAAGTGGACCACATTAAGGTCCTGTTCCCATGAACACAGTGTCTTCAAAACCGCAGATTCTGCAGTGTGTCTGCAGGGTCTCAGAATATCTTAAGGACTGTAGGGGATGTTTGGGTCATATTTTGGTGTTGGGGGTCTCCAACAACAGGCTGATCTGCATGCAAGATCAAAAACACTTTGATTGTCTTGTAAAATGCGTTTATTGGTACCTGATTATCCCAGCGACTCCCATACGACTCATCGATGATTTAATTTATTCCAAACCCCTCCTTTGCATGAATCTGTTGTGATTGGTCTAATGACCCAGTCGGATGTAATTGGTCCGATGACCCAGTCCGGTGTGCTTGGTCTGATGACCCAGACTCAAGTGATTGGTTTAATGATCCAGTCCGGTGTGATTGGTTCGATGACCCACTCTGATGTGATTGATCTGATCACCTAGTCTGATGTGATTGGTCCGATGACCCTGTCCAATGTGATTGTTGCGATGACCCAGACTCATGTGATTTGTTTGATGACCCAGTCCGGTGTGATTAGTTCGATGACCCAGACTTTTGTGATTGGTCTGATGTGATTGGTCCTATAACCCAGTCCGCAGTGATTGGTCCGATGACCCAGACTGGTGTGATTGCTCCGATGACTCAGACTCATGTGATTTGTTTGATCCAGTTCGGTGTGATTGGTTTGATGACCCCGACTGGTGTGATTGGTCCAGTGACCCAGTAATTGGTGCAATAACCCAGTCTTGCAGTGATTGGTCAGAATACTCACTCTGCAGTGATTGGTCCAATGACCCAGTCTGATGTGATTGGTCTGCAGTGATTGGTCCAATGACCCAGTCTGATGTGATTGGTCTGCAGTGATTGGTCCGATGACCCACTCTATTGGTATTGGTCCAATGACCCCGTCTGCAGTGATGGGTCTGATGATCCACTTTGGTGGTATTGGTCCAATGACCCAGTATGTTGTGATTGGTCCGAAGACCCAGTCTGGTGTGATTGGTCCACTGACCCCCTCTGCAGTAATTGGTCGACTGTGTTCAGAGTGACATGGAAAGAAACGCCCACCACGGGCCACAATCATAGGATCTGCTGTTATACAATCGGTTTTAGATACACAAGCTGGCAATATTATGTGGTTTAAAACATCTCGTCCTCAAAGTCTATTAGTCTTGGCTGTTTGGATGAAATGTTGATTAGAGGAATGTTGCCTGAACAATAAACTGTCAGAAGGTTTTTATTTGTGACTTTAATGCATGTGTTGTGTTTCTTTCAGCTGTTAAAGACAGTAGTGATGTTGACCCTGCACCGTTGTGTATGAAGAGTCCACCTTCAGGTTTGCCACAGGATGCTCCCAGTTCTGAAAAGGCTCCCGCGGCTCCGCTACTGAAGAAATCCACTCCGGCACGAGCAAAGAAAACCATGCCCGGCTCTCCACGACTGGAGCTTTTGAAAGGGGCACTCAGTAAAAGCCCTTTAGCTTCCCTCAAAAAATCCAGCGACTCTAGTAGAACCACGGAAGTGTCCATCAGAGCCCCGGTAGTGTCTGCTAGAGCTCCAGAAGTATCCAGCAAAGCCCCAGAAGTGTCCAGTGGACCCCCAGAGGTGCCTGTCAGAGTCCCCGAGATATCCAGCAGAGCCCCTGAAGTCCCTGCCAGTTTCCTGGAAGTATCCAGCAAAGCTCCAGAAGTGTCTGTCAGAGCCCCCGAGATATCCAGCAGAGCCCCTGAAGTCCCCGTCAGTGCCCTGAAAGTGTCCGTCAGAGCCCCCGAGATATCCAGCAGAGCCCCTGAAGTCCCCGTCAGTGCCCTGAAAGTGTCCGTCAGAGCCTCAGAAATATCCAGCAGAGCCCCAGCGTCCAGCGGAGTCCCAGAAGTGTCCAGCAGATCCCCAGAAGTGTCGGTCTTGGACCCTCGCTGCAGCCCTCTTCTGATCAGACAAAACATCCGCTGCTTGCTGACCAAAGTTTTGCTCGAAAGGTTAGAAGACTAAACCTTGACATAAGACATGCCTAGACCCACAATACATCTGCACACACAGATTTACAGATTCAGTCTATTCATCTACTTATGCAAATGTGTTTAAATTAATCACATGCAACACTAAAGTTATATCGCAAATCAAATATACATATTTATTTGCGTTTTATTTTTGCTTGTGTGTACTCACTGCCTATAAATATTGTGTATTTAAATAAAAATGGTTAAAATGCAAAAAACACAAAACCAAAATATTCATATATTATATTTATATATTAGTTCAGCTCATGCTTCAGCTTATCTGGGGCTGGCTCACTGGGGCAGCATTCTCAGCAGAACCCCAGACCTCCCTCTCCCCAGACACTTCCTCCAGGGGTTCCCAAGGCATTCCCAGGCCAGCTGAGAGACATACAGTAGATCCTCCAGCATGTCCCGGGGCCTCCTTCTGATGGGACAAGCCGGGAACACCTCCCTTTTACAGGCATCCAGGAGGTATCTGAAACAGACACCTGAGCCCTTCAGCTGCTGCTCTGGATGCAGAGGAGGAAATTAAGTTTATTAGCCTATGGACGTCTGGATTTGGAGTTACACTCACAGTTGAAGTGTAAAAACACACTACAGGCTGCTCCAGCTTTGATGTAATTGTGACGTCTCCATGTGCTTGTATGGCCTCCCTATGCCTCTGATCAGGTGGTGAATGTTCTCCTGAGGGATCTCCTCCCAGACCTGGACTAAAGCATCCACCAACTCCTGCACAGTCTGTGGTGCAGTCTGGCGTTGGTGGATGGAGTGTGACATGATGACCCAGATGTGCAAACCTACCTCGTTTAATTCTGAAATGTATCCCCGTGCTGCAAGAAATCTGGTCGGGTCCCGCGGTACAGCCACAGGGAATGCAGATCTCTAAATCAGTCCTAATTTTGGTCAAGAAACTCATAAACATGAACACCGGTTGCTCTGATGAAATTGGAGATGTTAATTTAAACTAAAGATAAAGCTAGTGGCTTGTGCATGTGTAGTTATGCTGTTTGGCTTGGCTTTCTGCTATATTTATTTGTCGTTGTTTATATCTCTGCCGTTGTCCTCTTTTGTCAGGTTAAATCAGAGTGACGGGTTGATCTTCTCAGAGAATGAGGTTGAGAAGTTTGCTGTGGATCTGGAGAAGGAGATGTTCAGCATGTGCTACACCACAGACCAGGAGTACAGGAGTAAATGCCAGGATCTCAGCCTCCGCCTCAAAGATCCCCAAAACAAGGTGATTTGTGTGTTGGGCTGCCAAAGCTACTCCATTGAGAGGTTTGAAATGTTCATTCCACTGATCTGACTGTGTTTTCAGGAGCTGTGTCTTCAGGTTTTGAAAGGGAATCTTCCTGTATCCAGACTCATTTCTGTCAGTCAGCAGGACATTGTTAAGGTAAATTACACCGTCAACTAAATAATAATCCATTTAAGGGGATAGTTCACCCCAAAAAACTGAACCTTCTGTCAGCTTTTACTCTCAGTTTTTTCCTGCTGAACACTGAAGCTGTTTTGAAGAATGCTGAAAACCGGTAACCATTGACTTTCTTAGTATTTGTTTTTCCTACTATGGAAGTCAATGGCTACTGGTTTTAGCATTCTCCAAATGATCTGTTTTTGTATTAAACTCGGGTTTATAACCAGTGGAGGGAGAGTAAATAATGAGTAACTTTACAGTCCGCATGAACTGGATGCTGCCGCTTTTTGTATTGTGATGCAGTTCCTATAGAAGCGGAATATTAAATGAGAATGCAGTGGGCGTGGCTTGTCTACTGTGAGCTGATAGGATGATGATAGGCGTTTCATTCAGAAAGAAGTTATTACGGCATAACAGACTCCTCCTGCTCATCATTTCTGTCTGTTGTCAAAACTGACAGCTGGAGGGGCGTGGTTTAGTGTGTTAGCCACGCCCAGCACCTCAGACAGACCTACTCTGACAATTGAACCGAACACAAACAGGAAGTGCATTTACAGATTGCAATTAAAGATAACAAGAGCAAACTATTGTTTTTTTGTCTTAATGACATGCACAGATGAACTGTTCAGCAATGTCAGCTAACAACATCACTATGGCTTGTTTTTAATTTCATCTGTACTTTAAGTTCTTGTAGAGTGTTTCATCCAGTTTGTTCGTCTTTGACAGGAGACCTCTGCAGACCCTGAACCTCAGATCTCTATGAAGGAAGAATCGTCCTTTCTTTCTGTAGACATGGAAGAAGCAACACCTTCTCCTCCTGCTGCTGCTGCTGCTGCAGAGAAGGAGTCCATGAACACAGATACGCCCACAGTGAGTTTCTTAAAGGGACAGTTCACACACACAAAAGTCCAATGTCAAAGGTTTAATAAACATACACACATGTGAATCAGTTATTTACTAAACTAAATACCATTTCCTTTAAAAATACATTATTATTGTGCAAAAGTGGCTCTTTGCTTTAACCCTTCAAATGGACTACCCTTTGGTTATGTTCTGTTTGTAGGCGCTGTTGTTGCCCCATTGACTTCCATTATAATCACATTTATTGATTGCAAAGCCATGCCAGCATATACTCATGCGTTCTTGATTGTTGCTGTTTTTTTTTTCCTTTTGGGATGAGGGAACATTTGTCATTTGTACTAACGATTAATTAGTGATTAGTGTTGAACGTTGAGGTTACCATGTGTAATTCAAAGCACTTTTCATCGCTTACACACTGTTAGTGCCATTGGAATATGTAATGAAGCTGGTCCAGACTTTGTGAAGCCCTGTCCTAGAGCATTGCTTCGTTCTTATGAACAATCATGTGTGAAAACGAAATCTTGTGTCTGTTTTCAGGAAGAGAAGTCATCAGCGTCTCCACTGAAGCAGACCGAGGAGAGGGAAATCAGCTCAGATTCTCCTCACGGGATGAGCAGCATGCTGAAAGACACCACAGCAGAACACAAGCTGCATGTCTTTGACCTTAAATGCAGGATATGCACAGGTATGATCTTTACACACACATTTAAACAATCACATCTGTTTTCCTGGAAATATCATAAAGTATTGTAGACTAATATTCAAGTGTGACGTGCATTTTCAGATTTCAATGTTCGATTACAAAGACGAACCATTGTTTTGTTTTTGATAACATGCACAGATTAAATGTTCAGCACAAGTCTAGCAGTGTGAGCTCACTTACTATGGTTATTTTTGGTAATGTGGAAAGTAATTTTGGAGATTGCCATATTGCCCAGCCCTAGCCTTAGTAGTCCTAGTGTTTAAAAATGCACATAATAATAATAAAGTTACACACCATTTCCTCACCCCAGTATATTGCTTTTATGTGTTCAAACTGCAGGTCAATCATCCACTGATGGTAACTGTGACATCAAGCCCAAGACGAAGACAGAAACTGTAGAAGGGGAGAGCTCTGAACGTGTAGTTCAGCCGACGGATGCAGCCCTGGACTGTAGTGACCTGGAGTCTCCTGCTTCTCCCAGTGCGGAGGATGTGGAATCAAAAACACACACTGTAGACTACTCTCCGGTCGTCATTCCTGCAGTTCCCCTGGTGTCCATCTCTGGGAGAGACCCTCGAACAGCACAGTATCACAAAACTGCGTCATCTCCTGGAACAGAGTCTGTCTCCACATCGCTGCAGACTCCTAATCCAGCAAGAAACACCACTGAAGCTGTAAATGAGACGCAGCCCACGCCGGTGTCTGTGCGGCTGCCTAAATCCATCCTCATGAAGCCCTCGCCATCATCTCTGCACACTTCATATGCGTCTAATACAAGGTTCGTGTTTGAAAATCCTCAAGTAAATCATAATTTGTTTAGTGCTGGTCAAAGATTAATCGCATCCAAAAATGAAACTTTTATTTTGGATGCCATTAATTTTCCCCAGCACTCAATGTATTGTTGTTCTATTTTATTTATGATGTTATTATTTCATTTATTATAATCTTGTCTCTCGCTCTCTCTCTCTTAAGGCTGGCAGATTGTGATAAAGGAACCAGACAGTTTCTAGCTAAGCAGAGCATTTTATGGAAAGGTTTTCTCAACATGCCGACTGTGGCCAAGTTCGTAACAAAAGGATATCTAATATCTGGTTCTCCTGACATCCTGAAAGAGGTTGGTCTTTAGATCATTTTATTTTTATGTGCATCAAAATTTTATTTGTCACATACAAGGCTATACAGACCTTAATACAAAACTAATATCAATAAGAGTCTAAATTATGGAGTATAATAAGAAGTGAAAACACTGGCAGCTTTAGATATGGAAATTATTAGGTTATTGTTGAAAGAATGCAGTACAATATTGAGTTACTCCCCAAAACAGTGACTAGTTGCATTACTTAGTTATTGTTTATGGAAACTAATGTGTTACGTTACTGTTAAGTTACTTTTGCATTACTTTTTCTGACCTGCAGAGGCTGCTGATCTCTTTCAGAACTGTTTTCTTTTGTATTTTCTAATGGAAGAGCTCTGTAATGAACAACACACTGAATAACCTTCATTCACCTTTAAACGCAAAAATAATAATAGTCTAGGATAGTGTGATCTTCTGAGAACCGAACTGATGAATTACTCTTAACACTTATTATAGTTATAAAAAAAAAAGACCAAATCTAATTATATACACTCACCGGCCACTTTATTAGGTACACCATACTAGTACCGGGTCGGACCCCTTTTGCCTTCAGATCTGCCTTAATCCTTCATGGCAGAGATTCAACAAGCTACTGGAAATATTCCTCTGAGATTTTGCTCCATATTGACATGATAGCATCACACAGTTGCTGCAGATTTGTCGGCTGCACATCCATGATGCCAATCTCCACCACATCCCAAAGCTGCTCTATTGGATTGAGCTCTGGTGACTGTGGAGGCCATTTGAGTACAGTGAACTCATCGTCATGTTCACCAGTCTGAGATGACTGAGCTTTATGACATGCTGCGTTATCCTGCTGGAAGTAGCCATCAGAAGATGGAGACACTGTGCTCATAAAGGGATGGACATGGTCAGCAGCAATACTCAGGTAGGCTGTGGCGTTGATGCTCAATTGGTACTAATGGACCCAAAGAAAATCTCCCCCACACCATTACACCACCACCACCAGCCTGAACCGCTGATACAAGGCAGGATGATCCATGCTTTCATGTTGTCGAGGCCAAATTGTGAGCCGAGCATCTGAATGTGTGAGCAGAAATGGAGACTCATCAGAGCAGCAACGTTTCTCCAATCTTCTATTGTCCAGTTTTGGTGAGTCTGTGTGAATTGTAGCCTCAGTTTCCTGTTCTTAGCTGACAGGAGCGGCACCCGGTGTGCTGCAGAGCTCGGTTGTAACGAGTGCTTATTTGAGTTACTGTTGCCTTTCTATCAGCTGGAGCCAGTCTGGCCATTCTCCTCTGACCTCTGGCCTCATCAACAAGGCATTTGCGCCCACAGAACTGCCACTCACTGGATATCTCCTCTTTGTCGGAGCATTCTCTGTAAACCCTAGAGATGGTTGTGCGTGAAAATCCCAGTAGATCAGCAGTTTCTGAAATACTCAGAGCAGCCCGTCTGGCAGCAACAACCATGCCACGTTCAAAGTCTCTTAAATCCCCTTTCTTCCCCATTCTGATGCTCACTTTAACCTGCAGCAGATCCTCTTGATCATGTCTACATGCAGAAATGCAGTGAGCACTGCCCTGTGATTGGCTGAGTAGAAATTTGCATTAACGAGTAGATGTACCTAATAAAGTGGCCAGTGAGTGTATGAAGAGCATAGCTATTGAGGATAAAACAAAATATTAATAAACTTAACTATAAAAACAAACATAGACAAATCAGAAGGGTTTCTAATAATGTGTCTGGTGCACAAGGAGAGGAATAAGTGTATCCTACAGGTGGTTTGTCAAACCCACTCACCTGCACACTCATAACTACACAATATATGACCAGCTCTAAATGATAGTGTATTAGATATAAATGTGACAGATGGTTATCACGTTCTGTTTTCTCTGTTTAGGAGTTACCAGACACTATACACATTGGAGGCAGAATATTACCTCAGACTGTATGGGAATATGTTGACTTGATTAAGACCTCAGAGGCAAAGGTAATCCCACCACCTCAGATTTATTATTGAAAATACAAAGCTATTACTTCTGTAAATGCCTAAATGCATTCTTTCTGTGAATGCAGGAGCTGTCCTTAATACGCTTCCATCCGGCGTCTGATGAAGAGGAGGTGGCATATGTGTCGCTGTTTTCATATTTCAATAGTCGTAGGAGATTTGGGGTCGTGTCTAATATTTGTAAACACATCAAGGATCTTTACCTCATTCCACTGTGCACTAAACAGTCCATCCCTGCAGCTCTTCTTCCTATTGAGGGACCAGGTATGCCATGCAGATATATTTATCACACACTAAAGGTTATTGCACACTGAATCTGAAACATTCACCCGGGATTTTCACACGGTAACAGTTGGAATATCCGTGTTCAATAAAAAGGTCAGGACAGGGTTTTCCTCAATGTGAAAAATATTAGTAATTTATTGGATACAAATAATAAAATTAGATTCACATAATTCTGGTATGCTCAATGCAATGCAATAATTGCATTCAGGAGGTGCACAACAACATTTATTCCTGACTCCAACTTTCATATTAACAGGTGGAGTTTAGTGGAATTCATTACTTGTCAGTCATTCTGCATTGGCCGCACCCATACATACTTCCTCTTTTTCTACAAATTCTCTGCACAACATCTAAAGCATAAGACTTCCCAACTGCAAATACTATGTGTTCAGTTTCAACTCATCTCTGCTAGCAGAAAGTTTAGCTGCAGAGCTCAAGTTCTTTTAGACGATCAGGCATTTGCATTTCTATCAGCTTCATCTGCAAAAATGCTTCATTAGCATGCAAGGCATGACACACTCAAGAGAAGACGTTTGGTTAATATTTCACCTTAAGCAATACAAATACAACTGATTCATGAACAGAAAAGAGTTCAATTATAAATAATTAAAAACATTTCTTTCTCCAGCATAATAAATAAACTCGTCCTCACGTTGTGTTAGTTGTATTGACACGCAGCCTCAGAAGCTTTTGTCCGCCCCGGCACACTGGGCAGACGAACGGGTTTCTCCCCTGCTCAGGTTAACTGTAACAACTTGTCCCTCCTTCTCCCGGATTTCGGCACCACTGTAATGAAGATAACGGCCACCTGGTCGCCGGGAAGGAGGCGTAAAACTGACAAACTTTTAATAAGTTTTTAATGAATAAATAAAACAAACTGATAGCAAAAGTAAAACGATATGTCCGGGCTCGGTCCTCTCTTCTTCTCTTGTAATCCAGAGCTCCTTCTGTGGGATTCGAGTTTCTCATCTGCGGCCGGCCTGGTTTCGTTCCCATGGCTCTCAGCCCCGCCCCCTCGTAACATGATTTAAATAAAAAACTATGTTAAATTTCAGGACCTAAAATTACAAACCTCGACAGTTCAAGGCATTAAAATCAACTCAGGCTCATTGTGGAAACGTAGTCCCGCGGACGTTTCTGGAGACCTCGGAATACGTCCCGGCGGGTACGTACGGCTGCAGTTTGTTTTTGCGAATCTGCGGCCACGCTGTTCTCACGTGAACCCACCAGAGGCCGCTGTCCGTCTGACCAAATGATTGACTGCGCGACCGGCCAATCGGCTGACCCGCCCTCCTCCTTCCCTGAACCCAACCAAATTTACCTATTAACCCGCCCGCCCGCTCGCTTCCCTAAACCCGAGCAACACTTTACAAAAGCCGTCCAAAAAAATAAAAGCCCTGAATTATTTTTATTTTTTTACTGCATTTTCGGATTTCACCGTGTTCTCACCCTGTAACGAAACTCGTTCACTTAATTTTTGGGATTCTGTTTTGTCTTACCTGATTGCTGGAACCGCTCTTCTTCGATCGCCATAGTCGACCCCTCTCTGCATCTCGAGCCTGCCGACGTACACGCTGAGCTGAGTGGACAAACGGGTTGCAGCGGGGAAGCCCTCCAAAAGGAGTTAAGCGGTCGGCCAGCCGGCCGGCAGGCAAGCGCGAAAGGGAACAGCATCACACAGCCCTGTAGCGTTCGCTTGAAAAAATAAATGCAGCCGTTTGTACCTCCCGGGACATATTCAACTTTCTCCAGAAACGTCCGTGAGACTACGTTTTCAGAATGAGCTTGGGTTGATTAAAATGCAAGCACTTGTAAGTTCGCCCTATTGGACAAGCTTTTTATTTCAATACTTTTGGAACTGATTTTGTTCCATACGTCACGACTTGATAAGCAGATAACAGACACCATCTCACCCGTCAAATAACCATCTAAGATGCAACCCAAATATTTAGCTTCATGTTTAGGTGTAATCATTTCAAAAAGTGATGATTGTAATCGTTTGCTCTGTCTCCTCTTAGGGCTCGAACAGGATCACCCTAATCTCCTAATAGGGTTAGCAGTCTGTCAGAAACTGAAGCACCCTGACAGACCTCCTCAAGATGCTGCTGAGAAGAAATCAAAATCCTTGATTTACAAGGAATCCAGCACTCCTACCTCAATAAATGATCTTGGACCGTATCCCACGAAGGCTTGTGATGCTGATGTTTTCCTCAACTCACATTCAAGTGGATCTCCATCTTCATCTTCTGTACCCGTGTCAAAACCAAGCATGTCTGTCAACATGGGGACATCCAAAGACTCCACCACCCCACTTCAGACCATACTGAACACACTATTCGGTCAAAAGAAACCACTTTCGGATTTGAATGAGTGTAAGAAAGTGGATGATGTTCAGCAGGAGGACGCAGGGAAGTGCGTCGATGATATGCCTTATGATCCTGAAGACTATGATCCTGCTGTTTCTAATGAAGCAATGGTTTCTTTGAGTCCACCTAAGCCTGTGGAGCTTAAAATTCCACCTTTAGCTATTAATAATGAAGATGATGATAGACCGTATGACCCAGAGGAGGAATACTGCACAATTGATCACGGCGAAACTCTTAGAAGTAATTTACCCAAAGTGTCAGAAGCTAAAAGTGTCGAAAAACCCCCAACAGCGAACACTGATATCGCCTATGATCCAGAGGATGAGTCTGTGTTTGAAGAGATGCAGAATTACCTGACAAATAATGCAATACCTCACAAACCCACAGTCTGCCTATCCAAATACAAGGACGACATCTCAACGGCGACTCTCTCCGAGCAGCAGAAGATTCTCGAGGAGCTGAATAGGCAGATCGAGGAGCAGAAAAGGCAGCTCGAAGAGCAGACAGAAACCCTACGCCTTCAGAAGGAAGCCATCGGACTCTCCATGGCGCATTTCTCAGTTTCTGACGCTCTCATGTCGCCACCGACGCAGTTTGGCAGAGAGGAAACCGAAATTGAGACAACAGCCTACTTTTCTATGAATATTCACAATAAGGATCCACGAATCTGTCGAAAAGCAAGTCAAGATGTGTCTGTCGATAACGCAGAGTGTGAGGGAATCGAAAAAGAAAGTGCGCAGAAGCAAGAGACGAAAAACGTGGCGTCAAATAAATCGTTAATCCCAAAGAAAGAAACCCTAGAAGAATCACCACATCAACAGAACACCAAATCCTCACATTCAGAGAAAAAAGCAGACAGTAGACGGTCCACACCCAGCTCACGAATGAAATCACGACACGAGCACAGGTCACACCATCATGAGAAATCATCTTCAAGAGCGTCACATACAGGCAGACCCTCAAAAGACGTCTCAGACAAACACTACAGAAGGAGAACGACTACAGAGCGGCCCTCTAGAGGAAGTTACGGAGACAGAAAGAGAGCATCATCATCATCAACATCTTCAAGGAAAAGTTATCATCGTCACCATCACAGAGACTCACCCTCAAGGTATAGCAGGAGAAGCCATTCCTCATCGAATTCACTCTCAAAACAGAGAGATAAATCTGCACAGGGCGACACTGGGCAATCAGGAAAGATCGAACAGCAGGAGTCTGGAGCATTGCTGGAGGACAGCACTCAATCTGAGCAAGTTTCTGACTGTCTTACTGTGCATCCTCCTCCTGCAAGTGTTAAAGTGCAAAGCGAGACTACTAAACCTACAGACGAGCAGTTGGGAGAAGATCAGCAAGATGGGCTTTTAACTGCACAAGACGAGGCTGAGCAAAACCAGGCACTTCAGACATCCCAGAACTCTTTACAGTCGCAGCCAGGCAAGTTATTCGACAAAACTCAAGCTCAGTTGATGCCATGCAAAACTGACGTGTCTTCTACACAAGCACCACTTGGTAACATTGCACATGAGGATTCCTCACTCAGAGGTTCATCAGCATTGAAGCCACACACAATTCAGCCTGATGACTTTCATTATGACTCCACGAGTCCATCCACACACAATCCAACCGTTTTTCCTGAGCCTGCTCCGATTGATCATAAGAGAGGCATTGCATCAGCTCAGAGGCTGAATTATGACTCAACACCCCAATCGTTCTCAGGAGATTACCCTTTTCATCCGCAGTTTAGAAATCTGCCTCAGTGTGACTCTGATAAACCCTACAGCAGAGAGATGCCTCAGGATTTTAGCAATGATGCTGAACATGGCCAGTCTTGTGTAGCTCGTATGCAGGATGGGTTACCCAAAAGGGTCCGCAGAAGGTTTTCACTGGAACACACAGAACAGAGTCAACAACCCAGACCCAACCACTTCCACGAAAGCAACTTCCAAGCAGCAGAAATCAGTGTCTTACATCACAAACAGAGCAGTTTGCCTTGCATGCAGGAACAACACATTGAAGAGGATGAATCTGGCCAGTTTCCGCAAGGTAAGTTATTAGGGCGCAGGGATTTCTTCAGACCTCCTAATGCTAAAGAGTACTTCCAGCGTTCATCGTTCGATGAGTGGAAACCAGTGAGAGAGCCTTCCTTCAGGACTAAAGACTCCAGTGCACACGCGTCCCCACAATACACCTCTGAAACACAAAGCTGCAACCAGACATTTGAAGAGGATGAAACGGACACAATGCAACCTTGTTTTTCCAGACAAGCTCCCACACATTCTCGAGACCCAAACCGTGGGTCGATGCATAGACCATACACACAAAGAGGCCTGCAAAGGTCTGAACTTCGAGGATTGAGAAGGGGTATTAGAGGGAGGTTTTTTGGAAGGGGTCCTAAAATGAACGTACAACCCCGCTTTGAATCACCACAGCAGTTCTTGGACCAAAGAGGAGAACCGCCTGCTAATGCAGAGGCATCGAGACCTCCAAGTCTTCTCAGTCTTGTCTGTCATAATAAAACACGTGCACCTAGATTTCCCGCTAACGCTGCTACCCGGTTTAAAAAGACACATCCGAATCAATGTGAGGTTCAAAATTTGGGGCAACCACGCAAAATGTTCCTGCATGGTCACAGACTGATGAATACACGACCCTTACGGCGGTCAGGTCCACTGCTGCCCACTCCACCCGGAAGACCGGTCAGCATTCCCAGACTACAGCGATGTAACTCCCCCAATGAAGGACACAGGGAATATCTGCCGTGAGAGCTGGATATGTCAACCTCAGTGGATTAGTGAAGAAAACCCCAGCGGTGCTAACAAACATCACTTTCCGTCAGGGAGTCGATGGTGTTCAGATAAGGAGAACCGATTGTTCAGCAGTTGTGGACCATCATGAACATCCATGAAGTTTCAGCTGTAGAGAAAGAAGAAAGGTCAAACATTTAGAGATGAATGAACAAAAGACAACAATTAGACTAAAACTTGGTTATGAGTGGACAGCAAGAACACATGGATGCAGAAGTCTTGCAGTGTTTGATAAAGCTGAGATTTAACCTATGTTGGTGCAGATGTTCAAAGGATAGACCCCTCTATAAAGGGTTTAGATGAGGAAGATCTTGTTATAAGACATTAACAGAAACCCAGCAAGTATTTTTGTGCTTAAAAGTAGTCTAAAAGACGTCTGATTGACATCTAAACAAAAACAAAGGCTAAATTTGGGCTGTCAATTAACATCTAATCGACATCTAAGATCAGTACAAGACTAAACTAATCATCAAATACACAGATTAGATGAATGTAGTCGATCATTTCAGCCTATTTGATGATTAGTCTAGATTTGAACTGTTCTTAGACATCTATTAGATGTTCACTGACTGCCCAAAGACTAGTCATCAAATACATAGATTAGACCAATGTAGTCAATCGTAGTACACTGAGATGACTGACTATATTTTTCTAATCTATGTATTTGATGAGTAGTCTAGATTTGGACTTGTCTTAGACGTCTATAAGATGTTTACTGACAGCCCAAATCTAGATTAGTCTTCAAATACACCAAGATGACCGACTATATTTGTTTAATCTGTAAATTTGATGACTAGTTTTGGACTGTCGGTGAACATCTTATAGATGTCTAAGAACAGTCCAAATCTTGACTAGTCATCAAATAGGCTGAAATGATTGACTACATTCGTCTAATGTAGGTATTTGATGACTAGTCTGGTTTTGTACCGTTCTTAGATGTCTATGGACCGAGAGGTCCATCTTTTGGATGTTAGATATCTATTAAATGCAGAATGGCTTGTTGTAAACTGTCCGAATAGATTGTTCTGGAAAGTAAGGCAGTGTTTGATTGTTGTGGGAAGGCTGACGGTTCTGCCTTATCAGTCTAATTGTTTACTTTAAAACAATGTTTAGTTTTTGTGTGTGAGAGAAAGATCTGGTCATTTAAACTACTGACAAGGTTTGAATGTTGTTTCTGTTGTTTTAATCTCCTGTAAGAATGTTCTGCTGAGCTGTAAACATGCATTTATGTTAATAGATTTTTAAGTACTTTTCTAAACGTGCGTTTGTAAGTAACTCAGAATCACAAAAGACGAAACGCTGACCTTTTCTTCCACTGATTTCCTTTAGTGAAGACGTTAATCACACACACACACACACACACACACACTGACCAATATAGTCATGAACTGTGTGTGTGTGTTTCTAATAAGGATACGCTACCTGAACATGGACATTCAGTTATTGTTTACTGACGCTCATGTGTTTCCAAACCTGCACTTTTATTCTTCTTCAACACACACACACACACACACACACACACGACAAAAGCGGTGCTTCCTGAACAACATCTCATTGACTTCTGTTGTATAGTCAAAATAAAAGCTGTGAGGCGTTTCTCAAGTGTAAGCTGTGTCTGAATTGCGATCGCATCTAAATAATTGTACCGTTATTACAACCATTCACATCTAATGTGTGTCCCACTGGGCTTTCATTTTGCAGAAGAGATGCAGAAAACGTTTCTTAAGGTGCTGTTGACTTGAGATGTTCACTAGATGTTGGTGTCAACCAAAGAAATCCAGATATGCAAAGAAAATAAATCTAGTTAGCTTACAAATGAAGCTCTGTGTGTTAAACTGAAATGACGCAGGGAAAAAGTGTTGAACACATGAAGAAAGAAAGGTATAGTTGAGCAGGGAAAGCCCAGACAGCAGCTGAAATCTGTCAGTAGTTCTTCAGCAAGCCTCTGCCCTTCCTCAGTGTAAATGAAGATCAGCTGCTTCAGTCCAACATCTACATCAGCAGGAGGATGAAGATGAAGCCAGGGTGGACATTTCAGCAAGACAATGATCCAAAACACAGCCGAGGAGACTCTCAGATGCTTGAAAAATCCAATAATTTTGACTTCAGTGGTATATAATAGAAAGAAATATCTAATAATATGCACATAGAGCAGGCCAAACAGACTAAATAATCAGTAATATTAATAGTTTCTGCTCATCGATTCTGTTAGATCACTGAAGTTCAGCTGAGATCAGACTCATGTATTCGCTTCCGATGATCGACTCGAGTGGTGGAAAGCAATGAGCTTACCGTGTGTGTTACATGTTAATATCTGCGTTGTTTTAGACAGAAGGACTGAGACATTGGAGCCTCTGAAGATGAATTACAGCTCCTATGGGATTGGATTAAGAGGCTGCTCGGATCGTTTGCTAATGAAAGTAAATTAAGCGAGACTCGGTGCAGGACCCTGCTGCTCTGATCGAAAATAACATGAACATGTGTCTCGGAAGGGTCTCACACACACACACACACACACACTAATCTGATAAAGCATATAATCAAATGAACGCTGCAGGATCCTCCATTAATCTGAAACTGGAAACACCCACCTTCTCCATCAGGGGGGAGAGACACAGATGGCTAATTTCAACACAAACCATGCTATTATTGAGTTTTGGGCTATGTAAAGTGTTGTACATATGTATACTACTATACTATATATTATATACTACATAGACAAAACTATTCGCTATCCTGTAAAATTGTAATTTTAAAAATGATCCTTAAATTTTGCTTAGCATTAATATTTTAAAACATAATTTAACTATTAATAGCTGATGTGTTTCCTCTTCATCATGATGACAGCACATAATATTAGACTAGATATTCTTCAAGACACTAGTGTTCAGCTTACAGTGACATGTAAAGGCTTCACTAGGGTAATTAGGGTAAAGTTAGGGTAATTAGGCAAGTCATTGTATAACAGTGGTTTGTTCTGGAGACAATCCAACACTAATATTGCTGAAGGGGTGAATAATATTGAGCTTAACATGACTTTAACACTATTAAACACTGCTTTTATTCTAGCCCAAATAAAACTAATAAGACTTTCTCCAGAAGAACAAACATTAGAGGAAACACTGTGAACAACTCCTCAATCTGTTAAATATAATTTGGGAAATAGCTGAAAAAAGAATCAACATTTCATAGTCAGGTGAATAATTATGCTGTATTTGATGATATATTCAGTGATGCTGCTCTTTACACTCTCGAGTTTATATGGGGTGAAAAAGAAGATGGATTTATTTTGTTCTTCTGAGCACAAAGTGATGATTTATCCTACATTTTCAACATGTGTTATAGAAAACTCACTAAAGTGTCGTTCAGTGTTTAGATGTCAACAATTGTGTGAGGATTATTCAGAGCAAGGATAATTTGATGACATGTTAAAGACCTTTTCGTCTTTATAATTCACCCTTATCATTCAAACTACTGTTTTACCTCACCAAGACTAAAAACTAGCTTTACTAATCAAATTTTGTGTTTGTTTGTATACATATACTGACCGGCCACTTTATTAGGTACACCTGTCTAACTGCGCATTAACACACATTTCTCATCAGCCAATTGCATGGCAGCAGCTCACTGCATTTCAGCATGTAGACATGATCAAGAGGATCTGCTGCAGGTCAAAGCGAGCATCAGAATGGGGAAGAAAGGGGATTTAAGTGACTTTGAACGTGGCATGGTTGTTGCTGCCAGACGGGCTGCTCTGAGTATTTCAGAAACTGCTGATCTACTGGGATTTTCACGCACAACCATCTCTAGGGTTTACAGAGAATGCTCAGACAAAGAGGAAATATCCAGTGAGCGGCAGTTCTGTGGGCGCAAATGCCTTGTTGATGAGGTCAGAGGAGAATGGCCAGACTGGTTCCAGCTGATAGAAAGGCAACAGTAACTCAAATAAGCACTCGTTACAACCGAGCTCTGCAGAAGAGCATCTCTGAACACACAACACGTCCAACCTTGAGGCGGATGGGCTACAGCAGCAGAAGAGCACACCGGGTGCCGCTCCTGTCAGCTAAGAACAGGAAACTGAGGCTACAATTCACACAGACTCACCAAAACTGGACAATAGAAGATTGGAGAAACGTTGCTGCTCTGATGAGTCTCCATTTCTGCTGACACATTCGGATGCTCGGCTCAGACAACATGAAAGCATGGATCATCCTGCCTTGTATCAGCGGTTCAGGCTGCTGGTGGTGGTGTAATGGTATGGGGGAGACTCCTGAAAGGGGGTCCAACCCGGTACTAGTAAGGTGAGTGTGTATAAATAGATTTGGTCTTATTTTCGATAGCTATAATAAGTGTTGGGTAATGCATCACAAATAACTCAAATTATGTAATAATAATACTTGTCTAAGTAACATCTCATCTGTATATACGGCATGTAGAGCTCTGGCTCAGGAAGATCTCTGAAGATCACAGTATCCTATATTATTATCATTATACTGATGTGTTTTAAAGGTAAATGAAGGTTATTCAGTGTGTTGTTCATTGCAGAGCTCTGAATAAGCTCAAGTCTCAGACAGGTAAGCAAAAGTAACTCGGTAGCAACACTTTACTGACCAAAGAGTAATGCAGATAGGCACTGCTTTGAGGAGTAACTCAGTATTGTAATGCATTGCTTTCAACAGCAACTTCCCCCAACACTGATATATTCAATTTTACTATAACAGTAATATTAATTCATGCTCAAAATACAGAAGTGTTGTCTGCAGAGATGCTGTCAATAATGGAAGCTGCTGTGGTGTAATCAGTGTATGGCGTCAGACTGTGTGTGCACATTGGGTTCTTACACCATCACTCAATCAATAGGATGTGACTGTCATTTTAGAAACACCCTGCACAATTGCAGAGCACTCATAGCTGCAATTCTTTGCTTGTAGATTGATTGTAACATTGATTTTTATTCAATGACGTTGAAACACTGCAACACACTGTTAAACACTGTGATTGGACAAATTGAGTTTCAGTAATGTTCACAGGCCCATGTCTAAATCTGTGAGCATTACTTGCTTCACTATTGCACCAGTGATTAAAGTAAGCATATAAATAGACAGCTGTAAATAAAAGTAGTGGGTTTGGTGTATTAATTATGCAGTGGTCAGCAGGTTGGTCAAAGAGCAGCGAGGAGTTCACAGAGATGTACTGCAGCTGAAAGCCTCCAGCTGTCACTGAAGAATCAGAGAGGAGTTTCAATGTCAAGAGATTTCCTAATGCAAAACACACACACACACACACACGGTAATACTGTAACCAGACACACAGATTTTGCTAATTAACTGTAGATATAATTGATTATATGTGGACCCTTAGCATTATGTAAATCCTTTATATCAGGGGTGTCAAACTCAATTCCTGGAGGGCTGAAGCCCTGCACAGTTTAGCTCCAACCCTGCTCCAACACACTTACCTGTAGGTTTCAAACAAGCCGGAAGGACTCAATTAGTTTGATCAGGTGTGTTTAATTAGGGTTGGAATTAAACTGTGCAGAGCTGCGGCCCTCCAGGAACTGAGTTTGACACCTGTGCTTTATATAGAGTGCCTGTCACATTCATTCAATCACTTTCCTTCAGCTTAGTCCCTTATTTATCAGGGGCCACCACAGTGGAATGAACCGCCAGCTATTCCAGCATATGTTTTACACCGCGGATGGCCTGCCAGCTGCAACCCAGTACTGGGAAACACCCATACACACTCATTCACACACACACAAACACTCTAAGGCCAGTTTAGTTGATCAGCTCCCCTTTAGCGCATGTGTTTGGACCAGGGCCGCTGCTGGCCAAAAGGATGCCCAATCCGAATTTTTACTGTGGTGCCTGCACAGAGGAACAAAAACACACACACACATATGTATTTAAACATTTATTTATTTATATACATACATAAACATATATTAAAGCGCTTAAAATTATACATTCACATATTTACATTACAAAATTATAGTTTGCATTAAAATAAACACTGACTAGTCTTCTGCAGAAACATTCCTAATGTCAAACATTTGCAAAAGGTAAGAACTAAAACCCTCTCTGTACCTGTAGAGATGGACGGTCCTCAGTGCTGCAGCCTCTGTCTGTCTCTGTGCAGCTGCTGGTGTCTCTGACTGGAGCAGTGCTGGTCAGGACACCTCATCTTCTTTTGTGACCAATTTCAGCGTTGACCTCCATGAACAATACAGAAGAAACTAGTCATTTAATTAAAAACTCATGACAACAATGAGCGAGGCAAGCACTAATGTGTGATAATGTGTAAACTACAACCAAAATGTGGATTTAACTTGCATTATTATAATCTATGGTGACAAAGATTGGCCCCTGCTGTCAGTATATCAAAGACATTTGTGGTGTTTTTTAGGAATTATTGAGTGTATTTTTAAACAAAAACTTTGTTAACATTCAGAAAAAAATCATCAGTTCAGGTCTAACCAGCAGTCCAATAGCAGCAAGAGCAGGAATAAGGTATAAAGTGCAGTTACAGAAAAACTATGGTGATATTTACAGATGGATGTACTGTGAACATTATGTACAGGTTGTATTAAAGTAAAAAGTCACCTAACTTGAAGATAAAATGGTTGTTTTGGGTTTGCATTTTGTTATTTTTCAACAGGAGTGTTCAATAAAACAGTCTTTAAAAGTAAAAGTCTCTGCTTTGGCGGTGAAAGAAGCGCGCGTGTGTGTGTGTACGTGTGTGTGTGTTTGTGTGTGTGTGTGTGTGTGTGTCGAATTGTCTCTCCCGAACCCCCATTCGAGCCCCGCCCACAGTCTGTTTGGGGGCGTGGATATGGGCGTGGCTTGTGCAGATGTTGACAGAGCCCGGGCAGTTCCGCAGCATCTCCTCCACACACACACACACACACACGCGCGCGCGCTCTCTCTAACCGGACTCTTCTTATATTTCTTCTTCTTCTTCAGTCATCATGGGTAAAGTCGAGGGAGGAATGAAATGTGTCAAATTCCTGCTCTTTATCTTCAACTTTATATTCTGGGTAAGTCACGCAGACTGCACACACATTCACACATTCACAACACTGTAGTGTTCAATAATACAGTAGTGAATTTAAAAAAGGTTACCACAGATTAATAACAATGTGGTGCTGTTATGAGTTATGAGATGATATTGTTGAATATTGTGTGTAAAATCGTATGTAAGAATGACTTGAAGACAACTCCAGCCTGATGTTATTGACTGTCAGCAGTGTGATGTACTCTATTCTAGTCATTGGCTGATCATATGATTTACCTGTTCAGAGTTTAACTACAATACTTTTCTGAGGTTACATTAAGAAGAGCGAATATATCGTAGCATTATTGTGCGGAGTTAATATATATATATAGCATCGTGTAATCATGGGGTCAGTTCTGCGTGCACCTACCATGTATTTGTTCAGTGTGTGTGTGTGTGTGTGTGTGTGTGTGTTTACTGCTGGGCTTTAAAGCCTGTATCTGAGGGAGTCTGAGAGTCAGTGTTTGTACGACTCAAATCAGATTTTCCACAGGGGAAAATCCGCCCCTTTTTCCCCGGAGCGTGTGTTTGTTTGGCGGGCAGCAGCCGCGGACACTGGCGCTGGATGTTTGTATCTGTCTCCTCTCTGAAAGCACAGGTTATTCACTGCTTTCACGCGTTCGTTCGTTCATTGACTATTACTAGGGTGGCTGAGAGAGTTTAACGCGCTGCAGTTCCAGAAGACACGTGGAAACAGAAAAACAGCAGCAGATTACAGTTTTTCTCAGTGGCTTTGGTGCATTTCTCACAAGACTATTTACATTTGCACAAGGGTTAATGCATTACTTAAAACAATTAGTCAATTAGTCAAAATCTTGCAGAGCATTTATTAATAATCATAGGTCAACATTTAGCAATGCATTATTATGATCCAAAGATGTGATTAACATTAGTTAATGCTGTAACAATTCACAACTTTATTCTCATGAACTAATGTTAACGAGAATAAATGAATAAATACTGTAATAAATGTACTGTGCATTGTTTTTTTTCTTGTAAGAAAATACATGAACCACCTAAAGCACCATTGTTTTGAAGTGTTACAAATAATTAAATAAATATTTATAAATATAAAACAAACATTAAAGATAAATATCCAATATAAAATGTTTACAAATAAATATATAAAAAGTGATATAAATAATATAAAAATATGTATAAATATTAAAACATTCATGTATAATATTTACATATCATTTATATACATATTTAAACGACTATTTAATAAATATAATATAAATAATAATCTAAAATAAATATGAATAACATAAAAATATCTAAATAATATAAAATAAATATTTATACAAATAAGATATAAATATAAAAAATATGTTATAATAATAGTAATTATAAAACAAAAAATATTAATAAATATAAAATGTAAAAATATCTATAAATGTAAATATAAAAAATATAAATTATAAATATTAAAATATGTATAAGTATTTAAATATTGATAATATTTATTTATTATTTAAATACATTTTTAAATAATTATTTAATACATAAAATATAAATATAAATTGTACATAAATTATAAATGTTAAAACTTTTACAAATATTTATTTATTTATTTATTTATTTAAATACTTATTTAATAAGCATTTATAGATATAAAATATAAATATAACAAAGTAAATATAAAAATAATATAAATTATGAATATACAAATATTTATACATATTTTTATTTATTTATATAAATATTTTAAATACCTATTTAATAAGAATTTATAAACATAAAAATATAAATATAAACACATATAAGTATAAAAATATTTATGCTTTTTTATTTATTAATAAAAATATTTAAATACATATTTATAAATATTTATAAATATAAAAATATAAAATGTAAAAATATCTTAATAAATTTAAATGATAAATATAAAAAAAGTATTTAAATATTTATGTATTTGCTTTTTTTTTTTTTTTGCTGCTAATTTAAATTCCGTCAATGAAGCCAATACTACTTTATAGGAAAGTCCTTACAACCACAGATTTCACTGTTTCCTCTTCAGAAATGTAAGCAATGGCAGTTTCTTTATAGCTACTCATGACATTCACTACCAGTGTCTGAGTGCAAAATAAATCCTGGTGCAGACTTTCATTCCAAGCATTCATTTATCCGAGCTCATCCAAACAGCGATCCCAAACATGCACACTTCAGTCAAGGGCAGCTCCTGCTTTAGTTTTTTCCATCTGCAATGTGCTTTAGTGCTTTAAAAGCGCCTTGTGAAGAAATTCCACAACTTTCCAGCGCAAATGCCAAAGCTCTGGTGGCAATGCAAGACACATTCCTCCCTATTAGACCATCCAGATGACCACTGCTTAAGCTTTAGTCTCATTTATTTGATATAGTTCAGTGTGGAGCTACAAAAAATAGAAACACCAGTGAAAAGAACAAGCTTAATTCTGGTCCTTTCCGTGGCCACAGGTGTGTAAAATCCAGCATCTCTGCATGTAGACACTTATACAAACATTTGTGAAAGAACGGGTCTGTCTGGTTTGGTGTGAGGAACTAAATGCAGAAACCAAAAGAGTTCAGTTTAAATAAAAAGAAAAGAAAACAGCTCAGACTACTAACCCATAAACAAACTGTTAAACTTAGACTGGACATTACAGCACACAGGGAATGGCTACAAGACAGAGAACACTGAGGTAATAAATAAATAAGGATAGAAATGCATCTTCAGTAAAGCCATTATGATCTTAAATATAGTGCTATGCAAATTAAGTTAGGTTTATTTGACTAGATATACTACATTTAATTGAATTAATATTATTATTAACAGAAACATATGCTATATATCTTATTTGGCTCTCATATTATTTGATATGGAGGCTGTAAAGCATCATTATTAGCACACAAGTCTCTGTGATTAATTTATAGGCGAAATGAACCATCTATGTTTGCCATATAGACATCATTCTAAAACATGAATGTGTGTGTAACATACTCTCTCCCAAACATAAAAACTATGTGTCTTTGTAAACAAAACCTTGTAAAAACGCTATAGATTTCTATTATTTTCACAGAGATAGACTACAGCGCTGCGTCTCTGTTCTTACAGCTGCTATCTGATAACAATTTAATTTAATCATTTCACGATTAAAAATAAAGCCAAACTAAAAAATGTAAATAAAACAAAACAAACATCTCAGTCTGTCATCTGTGGCCTTCTGTTGCTTATGCATTTGCACTTGTATATCTGACACTCCTATTGCTCACAACACCTGCGCTCTCACCTTTATCTTTTACATTTTGGGAGGTGTAAAATTAACATATGTGGTTTTGACAACCATACACATTTAGAACTGTGCAATTTCATCTGGAGAACACCTCCTGAAGTGCTATGAGCACTCATATTTATATCCATCTCAAATGCATTTCGAAGGGTATTTCCACCTGCCTATATCCTAATCAGAGAGCTTGTCTGATCAGAAACAATTAATGACGTGACCAAGTGTAAACAGACCCATACATGGTACTGACCTGACTGCATTGTGCCAAGGGAACGTTTAATGAAGGGGGATTTATAATGTGAGGCTGTTTGTGAAAGTAATGGACTGGCCTGCACAGAGTCCCGACCTCAACCTGAATAAACAGCCTTTGGATAAAACAGAGCAGAGAGTTTGAGTCTTAATATTGTGTTTTAAAATGGTCCAGAATGGTCAAAATTCCCACAAACACACTCCTGGAGCTTGTTGAAAGAAGAGCTGAAGATATTATGTCTGCTTCTTTAACAGAAGAGAAAGCAAACCCAATTAAAACATGGATGTGTAAGATGGTGTGGAGGAAATGGACTGGCCTGCACTCAGTGCTGACCTCAACCTGAATGAATAGCTGAATAGAGAGTGTGTGCCTTAATGATGTTCCTCAAAATGATCCAGAATGGTCAAAGTTCCCACAAACACACTCCTGGAGCTAATTAGCAGTTTTCTTTATTTTGTGATGCATGGTTTTATTTTTCCTCATTTTTCTGGTTTGAGGACTTTGATCTTTCTCCCAACAACTTTTAACCTTGAAAAGTTGTCAAAAGTGACATATAAAGTGCTGTATAGTGTGTGCTGGTGTTGTATATTTCTCTACAGAAAGCTTGTAATACAGTGCAGCACATGTTCTGCTATTCTACACTCTTATTCCTCTACATATTATTATCTCAAACCACTAAAATGTCAATAAAAGTCACTTTGTTAATGTGTAGAGTTGAATTATGAGCATCAGGAGTGGACAGAGCAGAGATCAACATCCCATAATGCAGTTCACCACCGCTAATAAACCTAAAATACAGTATGTTTTACAGTGCAGTTGTTGTTATCCACTGTATGGATTTTATCAAAGCACTGAAGATGTCAACCCTTAATCCCATAATTCAGAATAAGCAGATATTAACTCTTGGATTAGCAGTTCTCCTCCAGCTGTGGCTGGAATAGCTTGATTAATTTAAGGAAATCTCTGCACGGGAGCTCGGCTTTGTTCAATTTGACACAAAAACCTAAATAGTGCCTTTTTTCCAGCCTATAACGTCTGGTTGTCAAGCTGGCAGCTCAGATATGGAAAATGGGCACAGTCCGACTAGACAGAGCGGGACGGAGAGCGGAAATTATGGAGGAAACTGATCTCTGAGCTGTTTAGAGCGGCTCTAATCTGGCTGATGCTATCGCTCATGATCGCTAACGGTTTGTTTGTTTGTTGTTAGCTTGTTGACTGTTTGTTAATTATATCCAGTGACAGTCATTAAGGAATATTCTGAGTTCAGTTAAATATTAAAGATGCAGTATGCAATTTTCCTTCGTGCACTATAAAAAATATTCAGAAATTAATATTATTTTGCTTTATTATTATTATTATTATTTATTTTTTTAATAGTAGAAGTATCATTATTATTGTTATTATTATTTTTTTTTTTATTTTTTTTTTATTAATAGTAGTAGTATTATTAGTATTATTATTATTGTTGTAATTATTATTATTATTATT